ATCCCAGCAAAGAGTATTCCATGGCAGACCAGTACTGGCAGCGGAGGCTTCATATAGAAGGAGTGCCAGTTGCCATAGGTAGGTCTCCTTCCCGTGAATTTGTCTGGCCCCCTTTCAAAGAGCATCTACATGAGCGGCCATTGCCACCACCTCTTCTTTTCCAGAGAATGCGACCCAATTGCCTTCTCAATCCAGATGCGACCCAATTGCCTTCTCAATCCAGCCTGCGGACGGTCCGGGAATCAGTGTGTTTTTACATGAGTAGAATGCGTGCTTTTATTTAAAATGCACCTCTGGGTTATTTGTGGGGCCTGCCTGGTGTTTTCACATGAGTAGAAGAATGTGTGCTTTTATTTAAAATGCATCTCTGAGTTATTTGTGGGGCATAGGAATTCATTCCAGCCCCCACACAAAATACAGTCTGGCCCACCACATGGTCTGAGGAACGGTGGACCGGCCCATGGCTGACAAAGGTTGCTGACCCCTGAACTATCCTACTGTACAAAAGTAAATTTTGCAATCATTGCTTTACCCACGATTGCCCCTGGCCTTGCCCCCTCCTGGCATGTGGCGGCTTGTGCAGAAGGGAAGGCACGCCTCAGGCTCAAAGAGGTACCCCAGCCCTCGTTCACAAAACAGGAAATGAGAGGGCAGACTATGCATTTAAAGCATATCTCCCTCACCCACCTGCTTTCTGGGAACTGTGGCTTACCCAGAGCTACAGTTCCAGCACCCTTAAGCAAACTACAGCTCCTGGGATTCTTGGAGGAGAGTGGTATGCACTAAACGCATGGTACCCATGGCAGGCTTTGCAATCTCCCCTAAAAGCTTCCTCCTCCTGCAGTTCCACATGTCGGCTTGGAGGTGCAGGCTGCCCTCTGCTGCTCAGTCCTAGCACTTCGGGGAAAGAAGATAAGATTCTTGCAGTGGCAAAAGAAGCTCCATCTGCACCAGTCTCAAAAACAGCCTCTTTTTTCACTTGCTCCTTCAGTTTTTTCAGACAAACCATAGGATGTTTATACTGATCGGATTACATGCCGATTACATATGAAATCCGCCTTTCTACTAGCTGGCACAGTGAAGGTTACACAACCAATTAGAATAGGTGGCGATTTGCTTGGCTTTTGGGTTATCCAATTTTCCCCCCTGTCTCTTAACTGCAGTTCTTTGCTGTTTCCTATGCCCCTTCCAGCTAATCTCTGCCCTGCTTTCTTTTCTGCCTTGTTTCTTTTATGTTGCTGCCGCCAATCATTTCTGGGTGCAACTTTCCTATCTGAGGGCAATTTACTTGGAAGAAAGTATTTTTGCACTTTGTGGGGTACGCTTCTATGTTGGAGTGCCTGAGACTAAGGAACCACAGGCTGGAATATCCTTTATTATTCACTTGTAGGATCCCTGATCGTCGAAGCGCATTGTTAGCTGCATTCGGAAGTGAAGTTTAGCTGGAGTGCAGTAGCAGTCTAACGATGCCCTGAAACCACAGGCATTTTCCTTATTTTCAATAGGAAACAATGATAGAAGGAAGCGTCAGCAGATTTTATGCAATGCTTAAACATTGAACATGGGCTTTTCTTTAAATGAGCAACATGACTCTAGATCTGAAAAACTAATAGGCAGAATTTTTGGCCCTGGTCTAATGATAGGTGAGAACAGTGAACAGACCCTCCATAGTTCTACGCTTCAGGGTTTCAGCAGGCAAAGTGGATTTCAAAAATGTGTATTTTCAGCTGTGGTGCAGGTGTGCCTAAATTGACTGTGGACATTTCCTCCCACTTGTGGTGAGCCAGGGCGGCTCAGCAACGCAACTGCTTGTCTCCAGTGGAGGCAAGCTCCTCTCTCATGGAGAGCCATCCCTCCAGACGATGAGAGTCTAAGTCCAACCCTGGCAGGCATGTCCAAAGTCTGTTTCGGGGCCTAATCCGGTCCACTGGTTGGTTGAAACCAGTCCCTGTGGCAGTTTATTTCGTGGGGTAAAATCCAAAAAAACCCTGAACTTCAACCCTAAAAAAAGCTCAACAACTTTGGGGTTAAATCTACCACAGCACTGACTGCGACATGGTCACTCCCTGGTGGTGAGCAAAGAGGACCTGTAGCCAATCTAAGGTTCTGCACTTTGGCAGGAAGAACCAGCTGCACCAATATGAGATGAGGGACACCTGGTTTGCTGGTAGGGAAAAGGATCTAGGGATCTTAGTGGACCACAAGCTTAACATGAGCCAACCTGAGAGTGATGCAGCAGCAGCAAAAAATGCTAATTCTATTTCAGGCTGCAACAACACAGGTGTCCAGATGAATGGAAGACAATAAGACAATGAAATTCAAGACAGTAACAATTTATTGTGCATTTATTCATAATCCATTAAAAATATTTATTTTTATTCCATTCTCTTCCAGTTCTTTTTCTTCTTGACACGTGGAGTTACACAGGGAGTAGATCATATATCCTAAGGAATGGAAAAACCTAAAATTCCGTGAGATCTTTTGAGGCAAAATAATGTTAACAATTTTCGGATCTCCCTCTGTCCCCTGCCCTGTCCTGTCTTTTGCAAAACAAAGGTGTCAACCCTGTGCCCAGACAGCAAGACCCTCCCCCCTTGGCCTCCCTGAGGTGGTCCAGAGGAAAGAAGAGCAAGGCATAAGGCACCAGCTGGGCTGCTGGAGTTGCCAGAAGGAGGCCTACAAAATGCCACCCAACCATCTTAGGGACTCCACTCTGCATCTGTGTAGGGTTTACTTGGGAGCCTTTTCTTCCCCTGAAGCCATCCGATGGGATCCCTGTCAGTGATTGTAAAAAAAAAGGAAAGGGTTCTGACCTCCCTTTGTCTCCTCAGACCCTTGTCGGCATAAAAGAGTCCACAAGAATATCCTTGCAGAGTGCTTTCTGCTTTTATTCTTAAAAGTCTTTGTGCAAAAGCAACTGACCAACTGTACACACCTCAACACTACCAGCTTTCACTAACTAACCAACCAACCCAACACCAAACTAACATTTCTCTCTATATATACAACCCGGTGTAGACTGCTGACTTATGCTGACCCAGCTTTTTTAAGCATTAAAGAAACAGCGGCCATTTTAGCTGTGACACCCCTTCTGTTTCTTAAATGCGAAAAACCCCAACAGGTCAAATACATACATACATACATACATACATACAGTACACTATATACATAAACCCAGTTTTGTCATCAATTAATTATGGCATGTTGCTGGCAAAGGCTTGGTAAACAAATCAGCAATATTATCCTGTGATTGACAATACTCCAGTTTGATTACCCCATTCTGTACACAATCTTTAACACTTGCATGACGGATAGCAATATGTTTTGATGCGGATTTCATTATTTCCAAGCCCGCTAACACAATGCACGATTGGCTATCTTCATACACTTGGATAGGCAAATCTACTTTACAATCTAGATCTTTTAGTATCTGTATAAACCACATGATTTCATTGCATGCTAGCGACAGGCTCCCATATTCTGCCTCACAGGATGAGGTCGCAACAAATCCTTGTTTCTTTGACCTCCATCCAATTATGGAATTGGCAAACATCATAACCATTCCACTTGTAGATTTTCTAGTAGCTACACAGCTTCCCCAGTCCGCATCAACAAATACTTCTAGTTTTTCGTCTTGTGTACTAGATATCTTCAAACATACATTTAATGTCCCCTTTAGATATCCGATAAGCCTTTTCAAAGCACACCAATCGGCAGTACTGGGTTTAGATACACGTTGGCTCAGAACATTTGCAGCACATGCAACGTCTGGCCTTGACCACTGGCTTAAATACAGCAGTGATCCTATTTTTGAGTGATACAACTCAGGCTGATCAAATTCATCATCACACACTGTCTTTGGGAAATCTGGTGTCATGGGAGTCTGAACTGGCTTGCAGTTTTCCATGCCAAACTGCTCTATCAAACGAAGAATTTTCTCTTTCTGGCTCAATAAGAAGCTTCCTGACTTACTTCTACTCCCAAGTAATTGCTTACAGGCCCTAAGGCTTTAAGCTTAAACTTCTTTTCCAGTTGACTTGTGAGCTTCTGGATCTCATCTGTGGAACTCCCTGCTACAAGCAAATCATCAACAAAGACTAAGAGCATTAGATATTTGTTGCCTGTCCCCTTGGTGTACAGGCATGGATCAGCCACACTCCTTTTAAAACCAAGTTTTACAGGGGCTTCATTTAAACACTGGTTCCAACACCTTCCACTTTGTTTGAGACCGTAAAGAGCCTTTTTTTAAAGGCCAGACTGCACCATTCCCCTCTTCAAACCCAGGGGGTTGTCTCATTAACACTTCATGGTCTAAATTTGCATGCAGATATGCAGCATCAACATCAAAATGGTGCACTGCTAATTGTCTTGCAGCAGCAATAGAGAGCATTAAACGAAAAGTTTCACTCTTTACAGTTGGAGAAAACACTTCATCATAACTCTCCCCTTTAATCTGAGTGAACTACTAATCTGGCTACTAATCTGGCTCAAAAACGTGGTTCCCCAGATGCAAGGGTTTTCCTTTTACAAACCCACTTGAATGACACCACTCTGCCACCAGGTTGCGGCATTATGACCTCAAACACTTTGTTGCGTTTAAAAGAGTCCATTTCTTCTTTCATAGCTTGTTCCCACAAAGCACGTTCCCCAGGGGGTAAGTCTAAGACTTCATCATAACTTTGTGGTTCCACACAACTCACACTGCATACTTTCATTCCTCCTAGGGTCAAACGCTGAGGAGGTACACCCTTGTTTGAACGCTGGGAGTGCCTAGGCACAACTACTACTTCTTCCCCCCTTATCTCTGGCCCTTCTTCCTCTTCCTCTAGAGAAGTATTATCTATTGCCACATCTTTTGGGGAAATCTGTGCCTCCTCCTCATCCTGCTCCTGTGTTGCCAATGGCTGAGAAGAAGCCTCTTCTCTTACTTGCAGAAGCAGTAGGCAATCTGGGTTCGCATGGATCGCAGTCCATCTGTCCTGGTCAGCAAAGTCTGCACTTCATGACAGAACCACGCGTTCTGGGCGTAAATTGAAATGCCACCCTTTGCCATAGGGCTGATATCCCACAAACCGCAGTCTCTGCACTCTAGCGCCCCCTTTCTGGCGCTGAGCTTTGGGAATATTTACATGTGCCCAAGAACCCCAGTTATGGAGCATTGTCCACTCTGGTTCTTTCCCAAACAACACACAATAAGGAATATCTTTTATAGAGCTAGACCAGGTTCTATTAATCAAAACGTTTGCTGTAAGGAAAGCCTCACCCCACAGCCTATGGTTGTTACCCAATCCTGCATCCACTAGCAGGCAATCCTTTACTGACTGTATTACAGCCCCACGTCTTTCACACAGATCATTTTCAGCAGGGGTATAAGGGTTAGTCAAACGGTGAGTGATCCCCTTACGTCGCAACCATGCTCCAAATTGTTTGTTCAGAAAATCTCCACCCCTATCTGTTTGCAACTGCACAACAGGGCGAGCAAAGAGCTTTTCAGCTTGGGCAACCCATTCTCTGAATGTGGGGAAACACTCCGATTTCTGCTTTAACAAAAACAACCAACTAAAACGTGATTTATCATCTGTTACCAGAAAAGCATATCTGGCGCCCCCTTCAGTCTTCTGTGGAAAAGGGCCTATCACGTCACAATGGACAAGTTGTAAAACCTCTTTAGATACTCTGTCACTTTTAGAAGCCATAGGCTTCCTCTTAGATTTGGCCATTTTACATACATTGCAATCTAGGAAACAGTTACAGCTATTTACTTTTAGGTTCTTGCACACCTTTTGCATCTCTGAAAGCACATGGAAATTGGCGTGACCCAGTTTTCTGTGCAGTTCATGTACACACCCCTTATGAACTGGCAAATTATCCTGAACCACCTGGGCTGCTTTAACAGGCTTGTCCTGCATTACATATAACCCATTTTCCAACTTTGCATGGCCACATACCTGAGTTCCATTCTTTATCAGACAACCATCCTGCGTGAACTTAACACTATACCCTGCATTAATCAAACAGCTTACAGACAGTAAACAATAGTCCAAACTGCTGACAAACAGAGTCTCTGGTAGAGTAGTGTTGAAGCACTGCAGGAAACATGTTCCCTGGCCATCAATCTTGCTTCTACGACCATCAGCAAGATAGATTGAGTCTTTTCCATCAGCTGGCTTCCCCAGGGTCTTAAAGTCCTTCCTACTGTTGCAGATAATCCTGCTGCTACCAGAGTCCAGCAACCATGTTCCTCGAGGTATCTTCCTCTCCTCTTGAGAAAATGCTGACACAAGATGAGCAGAATGCGTGTTCTTCTTCCCTGAAGAGAACCCCTTCTGCTTACATTTCTGCATCAATTGCTGTCTCTGCTCCATGTCGTCTCCTGGAGGTCTTGCCCTGCATTGACATTGGAGATGCCCGGCTTGGCTGCATCTATAGCATCTCCTCACCGCCATGCCCAAGTCCCAAACTTGGCGTTGCCCCATTGGCAGATTCTGCTGCTGGCCCCCTCGGCTGTAACTCCTCCGCTCTTGGAGTTCAGCCTGTCTGTCTGACCTTCTTTCTGCTTCTTCGGTCAATCTTCCAACCACATACTCAAGGGTCAGATCTCGGGGACGCATACTCTCCATGCTGTTAATCACAGGCAACCAGCTTTTAGGCAAACTTGAAAGGATAATGTAGGTTTGATCAGTTTCATCCTAACGCTTACCTCTCTGTTGTAGTTGAAGAAACAGAGATTTCAGTGTTTGAAGATGAGTTGCCAAACTCTCACCTTCTTTCATAACAGTCCTGAACAGCCTTCTGGTCAGAGAAATTATAGTTCCAGCAGTTTCTCTGACATGCATTGCCCTTAATAAATTCCAGCACTCAAACGCTGTGCTGGCATTTGCTACATGCAATAACTGAGAGTTGCTCAAACACAGCATAATTTGGGCACGAGCCCTTTCATCCAGCCGTCTTTTCTCAGTAGAGTCCCGTCTCAAAACCTCAGTTTCAACACAGTCCCATAGTCCATCTCTCCTTAACAACTGCTGCATTTTTATTGACCAACTCAGCCAGTTGCTTTCTGAGAGAAGTTCAAAAGGGATGCCTCCCCCAATATTTACAACTTGGGAAGACTGGAAATCTGCCATCTCTGCTGGTGCTTGCTGAGCCCCTTCTGTGGGGTCTCCAGCAATCTCTCCTGACTCTCTCTTTAGAGTCCGACTGGACAGTCCTGGCTGGCACTCACCGGCTTCTGGCTGCTCCTCTGTTGACCCTCAGGTCCTGCCTGGCTCTGCAACTGGTGTAGCCGTTCTGTGAGACACCTACTGTGGTCCTCTAGCAGTTCAAACTGTTCCAGTAGCCGACGCTGAGTGCTTTCCTGATCCTCAGATCCTAGCCGCTCCAGTGTCGCTGCAGACAGTTACGGCTATATATCCTCAATGATGATGTCATCTGGATGGAAGAGAATGAGAAGAGAATGCAAATGCAAATGAAAATGAGATTTTCCCACAGGCCTTTAGTCAAACGGCGCTGTCTCCAAGGTGTGGGGCTTACCTTCTTTTGGCTTCCGGCGGAAGCAAGCCAGTTCTGGCCGAACGACTGTCATCTGCAGAGGAAAGAAAAATCGGGGTCAGATGAGAGCAAGAGAGCACAGAAGCAGCGCCAAGTCAGGAAGGATGGGTCTCCCTCTGTCTTGGCCCCAGTCCCTTGTTCCAGAGGACCTCCCTGGGCCCTGCAGCCTCCTGGGCAAAGGTGGAAGGGCAGCAGCAGGAAAGGGGGCAGGAAAAGCTTCTTGCCTCATCCTGGCCCCCAGGGACACACCCCACATCATCTGCGCAAAAGATCACTTGGGGATGTGATCGGGGGGGGGGGGAGAATGGAAGTAACCAAAGAAATGAATAGAAGAAGGCAAGGTACTTACTCTGAGTTTGGGATATTTCCGGGCAATGGCCAGCAGCAAAGAGATGCTGCTGGCCGCAAGTTGTTGAGCCTCCCCACTTTCCCCCAGGGCGTATCCTCTGAGGTCCTGCAGGAGGAAAGAGCATTTCAGAGTCAGGGGCCAATCTGGGCCAAAGCAGCCCCCACTGCCCCCACCACGGAGTCCCTGGCACTTCTGGACCATGAGGGGTTGCCAGCTTTGGTCTTGGACCAAATTGGGGGCCAAACAGGCTCTGTGCCCCAGAAATGGGGCAGTTCATTGGGTAAGGGACGGGGGGGGGACAACCCAAAAACCACCCCTGATGCCATCGGGACACTTACACTGAGAAGGTGGAGGAGGGTGCCAGGGTTGGGTGCTTCCATAAGAAGACTGCCCAGCAGAAGCCGGTAGTGCCTCTTCAGTTCCTGCGGGAAAAGAGAGAAGAGAGTTTGAATGCTGGGCTGGATTCTGCAAGGGTGTGACGAAGAGGAAGAAAGAGCCTGTGAAGGGAAGTCGAAACAAGTGACATACTTCTCTCTTCTCCTCCTCCTCCTCCTCCTTGGCCCCACACAGCACGGCCTCCAACATCCTGTGCAGGATGGCACTGGTCATGTCAGAGGTGAATTTGGGCCTCATCGTGCTGCAGAAATGAAAGGGAGAGGGTTAGAGTCTCCCTTGCCCCTTTCTCCCTCCCGCCTGCTCTTTCCCCCTGGAGTTCTGCCCCCCCCACAACCCCATCCACGCCAAAGACCCCACTCACCTTAGCTGGAGGAGGGCCTCCAAGGCAAGGGCCAGGGTCAGGGGCCGATCCCTGGAGTGCTCCAAGGGCCCCAAGATGTCCTGGAAGAGAACAGAGGAGGAAAATCAGCTCCCACCCCAAACACCAGGCTTGGCTTTGCAGGGGAATGGCAACCCCATGGCCTAAGCCGGCAGGGTCCTCCTCCCCACAGATGAACAGCCCCTTCCCCCCACCTCTCTGCGGGGGTCCCTCACACCCCCCATCACTCACCAGAATGGCTTGGGCCGTCTCCTCCTTGGAGCACTTCAGGGATCGGAGCCCCCTGAGCTCAGCTGCCTGGCAGCTCTCGATGACCCCCAGGATGTAGCGCTGTTCATCCTCTAGCAGCTGAAATGCAAAAGTCAGGCTGTCAGTTCCTTGTGAGGGGAGGACTTCTCCACATCTGAGAGTGCAGAGTGGGGGGCAAAGAGCCCGGAGGACAGCGGGGGGCAGGTCTGAGGGACCCAGTCCCTGCTCTTGTTTTCTCTAATACTCACCCCTGGGGCTGGGACGTGGAACCGCAGCAGAACTGCAAACAGAAGGACATGGGAAGAGGTGAGTCCTCTTTTGCATCCTTGGACTAGTTGCCCCCCATGCCCATCCCTGCCCTCCTCTGTCCAAAAAAGGAGGGCCACTGGCTTACCTGGCGCCACGGGCTGCTCTGTGTCTGGCTGGGGGGCCACCCTGTGGCAGCGCCTGAACAGGCGCCTTAAGCACCTGATCCTAGAAGAGATGAGCAGAAAGAGTGACTCAGATGCCAGCAGCCGCAATTCTTGGGTGTGAGGAGGGGCGTCTGGAGAAAACAGTGAACCACTGCAGAATTGGCAGAACAGAAATACGTATGTGGAGCCTAACTGATCCTTGCCGGCCCACTCTGACCAATTCTTTCCATCTCTCTACAGTTCAGTGAGCTGAAGGGGCATCATCAGAGCCTGAAAGAGGCTGCCCAAAGCATGAAGGGCTGGCAGAGAGAGAAAGGAGGTCCCAGGTGCTCTGGGTTCAAGAGCTACCACCATGTCAGGGCCCAGAGAGCCTGGCCCCCTCATTCATGCAGTCAAGCAGTGTATAAATTTCATGAAGCATTGTTACCAGAATTTTTGGAAAGGGTGGTGGGGGGTTTCGCCCTCCAGCAGGCACCATACCCCCCTCCGACTGTACCCCAGATCAACACCTTCACGTCTGCAAATGTCCCCACAAAAGACATCCTGACACAGTCCTTTCCTTTTTCTACTCCAAAGGCTGCCATAAATAAGGGTAGAACATTTGCCCTAATGAAGGCTGAGCCTTTCGCTCACAAGGCGCTCAACCAATCAGCTCAGACTACCCAAATATCCAATAGCAACCAATGAGCGCCACGAAACAGTGCCCTCCAGCACAAAGCACTGACAACAACAACAGAACAAAGCACACAGGCACTGCAGCTGCCAACCAGCCGTGGCCTCTGCTCTACAAGTAGGAATTCGCACTGGGAAAAGGGGAAAGTCAGAACCAGCCATGAAAAGCATTCTTGGTCCATTGAAACTAGTCCTTCAAGTTTCAGTCTAGGCTCTTGAACTACCAACCCAACTGTACACTTGTGAAACATGGACCACTTATAAATGCCATCTCCAACTCCTTGAAAGATTCCATCAATGGTGTCTCTGAAAAATGTGACACACCACTTGGGAAGGCAGGCGAAATAATACCAGTGTGGTCTTTGCCTCCTAGGATGGGTCAAGGAAAGCGTTAAAATGGATGTGATGTGATTGGCCAGTGAGAATGCAAGGGGGGAGTAAAAGATAGAGTGGGAGGTTTTGAAAAGTCAGTTGAGGTCTGGGGGTTGACAGTTGACGTTTGTCAGTTGGGAGTTGATTTTTGTCAGTTGGGAGTTGAGGCTTGGGTGTTGGAGAAGGAAGAGGGTGGAATAGGCAGTGGGTTGGTAGAGTTGTATTGTGGGAGAGTGAGAGGAATTGTTAGGGAGTTAGATAGATAGTTGGGAATAATTCAGTTTGAAGTTGTAGGAACTAAGATTTGAGAAATTGACAAGAGAAAAATAAACTGAAACCATACGCTTATTCCTGCACTTAAAAATAAACTTGATTATTTGTTTATGCTAACAACTGTCTGGACTCCATGTGTCCCTGTGAGAAGTGGGGTGGTGGCAGCGAAGAAAGCAACCGCAGTGGTGGCACAGGGTCAATACACCATGAAACGGGGGCCCTGTGTGATCGCCACACCAGTGTCCTGGAAGAAGCAAAGATCACCAGTGTTGAAGCAATGATTCTTCAACACCAACTTCGTTGGACTGGTCATGTGGTTCGGATGCCTGATGATCGTCTTCCAAAGCAACGATTCTATTCCAAACTTAAAAATGGAAGGCGTAATGCTGGTGGCCAACAAAAGAGGTTTAAAGACTATCTCAAGGGCTCACCTTTGGTGGACATGCCCAAGGATTAAGGCTTTCTGGGAGATGATCTATAACGAAATGAAAAAGGTATTTAAATATACCTTTCTGAAGAAACCAGAGGCCTTTCTCCTGGGCATAGTCGGCCAATTGGTGCCAAAGAAGGACAGAACTTTCTTTATGTATGCCACAACAGCAGCAAGAATACTCATTGCAAAGTATTGGAAGACACAAGATCTACCTACTCTGGAAGAATGGCAGATGAAAGTGATGGACTATATGGAACTGGCGGAAATGACTGGCAGAATCCGAGACCAGGGAGAAGAGTCGGTGGAGGAAGATTGGAAGAAATTTAAAGACTATTTACAGAAACATTGTAAAATTAATGAATGTTAGAATGATGTTGGAATGAATCTATGTGACTTTAGCAAAAATGTATCAAAGATTTAAGAAAAATAGACTGTTAATTGGTGAAAAGAGGGAAAGTAAACTTATATTAAGATCAAGATAAATTTTCAGGATAAAAATTTTGAAGAGAGGGAAAGGATTTGCTGAAATGGATAATTGACTTAGAATACAAAAAAGGGAGGTGTGAGGAGGTCAGGGAAACAAGCAAATGAAAGATAAGTTATGGGAAGGCTCGATTTGTTTTTTCTTTTGTTTTTAATTGTTTCTATTTTTCTGTTTTTTTATTGTGATGTGTTGTTTTGTCATTGTTTGGTGTTTTTTCTTTTGCCTTTTTGTAAACTTAAAACCTTAATAAATACTATTTTTTTTTAAAAAAAAAGACTATCTCAAGGCCAATCTAAAAACATGTTCTATAAACAAAATATAATACAAAAAAGAATAAGAGAGGCTAAAATCAAGCATTTACAAGAAGAAATAGGCAAACAAGAAAAATTATTAGCGAAAACACCAAAAAACGAGATTGCAAACCAAACCATTAAAATATTACAAACACAGCTCTCAACGCTCTTAAATGATGAAACAGAAAGAAATATAAAATGGATGAACAAAAATCATTTGAATTTGGAAACAGACCAGGTAAATTACTTGCGTGGCAGATAAAGAAAAGAGAAAGAGAAAGACAAATAAACAAAGTAGTATATGAAGGAAAAGCAGTGGAGACAGAAGAAGGAATAAATAAATGCTTTGTAAAATGCTTCACCAATCTATATAAAAAAGGTGCAGAAACTCGACAACAAATTATAAAATATCTTCAAGGAAAACAAATCCTAAAAATAGGTGAAAACAAACGGAAGCAGCTAAACGCACCAGTAACAACAATGGAGATACAACAAGCAATTTCCAATCTTAAACTGGGGAAGGCTCCAGGTGCAGATGGACTATCCGCGATACACTACCAAAGGTTAGAAGATGCTATAACAATGCCTTTTAAAAAATTAATGAACGAGATCATGCAAGAAGGAAAAATACCAAAGTCGTGGCAAGAAGCCAATATTGTATTAATTCACAAACAAAGCACAGGTAGAGAATGAGTTAACAATTACAGACCCATATCATTATTAAATAATGATTATAAATTGTTCGCGGGGATATTAGCAAATAGGCTGAAATCGGTCCTAAAAGATGTAATAGACCAAGACCAAGTAGGATTCCTCCCAAATAGGCATATAAAAGCAAATATGAGAATAGTAATTGATCTAATTGAATATTTGGAAATGAGACCCAACAAAAAAGCGGCGTTTATGTTAACAGTTGCCGAGAAGGCTTTCGATAACCTATCAAGATTGTTCCTTCAGGAAGTAGCAGAAGCAGTAGGACTGGGTGAAAACTACTGCAGAGCAATAAACACAATATATGAAAACCAACAGGGATGTTTAATAATAAATGGTGAAAAGACGGATCCTTGAAATATAGAGAAAGGACTTGAAATTATATTATGAAGCATCTTGCCTCTGTTGGTTGAAGGAGTGGATGAAATTTGAGAATACAGAACTGTTGGATTTAGAAGGTCATGATATTAGATTTGGTTGGCATGCATATTTGTGGTATGATAAGAAAAAGGTTCATAAAGGATTTGGAAACCACATATTTCGAAGATCTCTTATCAAAATCTGGGATAAGTATAAAAATCTATTGGAACAAAAAACACCGCATTGGTTGTCTCCATTAGAAATGATGTGTGTAAAAAAGGTTAATATGAGTGGGAGGTGGATAACATATGAGGAATTAGTAATTAAAGAAGGAGGGAAATGGAGATTGAAGCCATATGAAGAAGTGAAACAGTATGTTAATGATTGGTTACACTATTATCAGGTGAATGAAAGTGTTTAAACAAGATATCAAAGAAAATGGTTTCTGTGAAAAGGAATCGAGGTTTCAACAAGAAATATTACCGTAAATAACGATTTTAAAATTCTGTCAAAAATGTATAAACTACTGCTGGAGTGGCACTTGAAGGACGAGGAGGTAAAATAAGTGATGATTCATTGGGCAAAAGATCTAGGATATAATATTCTATTAAGTGAGTGGGTCAAATTATGGAAAGAAGGTTTGAGATTTACTGCATGTAATGCATTGAAAGAAAACATGATGAAGATGATGTATAGATGGTACATCACGCCAGTTAAGTTAGCAAAAATGTATAAAGTCAGCAATAAATGTTGGAAATGTAAAGAAAAAGGAGGATTATTTTATCATATGTGGTGGGAATGTAAAAAGGTGAAACGCTTCTGGGAGATGATATATAATGAGTTTTAAAAAATGTTGAAATATACTTTTATTAAAAAGCCAGAAGCATTTATTTTAGGTATTGTTGGAAATGATATAAAAAGGAAAGACTGTAAGTTGTTTTTATATGCAGTAACAGCAGCAAGAATATTATTGGCTCAAAAATGGAAGCAAGAAGAATTACCAACATTAGAAGAATGGAGGATGAAATTGATGGACTACGCAGAATTAGACAAGCTAACAGGAAGGATCCGAGACCAGCGAGACCAGAGGTTTACCAAAGACTGGACTAAATTTACTGAGTATCTGAAAAGTATTTGCGATGATCAAATTACGTTTGTAGGACTACAAGAAGCTCTGTGAGGAGTAATTTAAGAAATATTGTAAAAAGGGAAAGGAAGAAATGATTTGTTAGAAAATGTAAAGGCAATATTAAGTTAAGAATTGCAGGAGAAATAATTAAGACGGAAGGCTATCAGAGATGCTGAAGGAAGTCCAAATAAGGATATATGTATAATAATTTGTGTGGTATGTCTTAAAATTTTTGTATGCTAAAACTAATAAAAAATATTACAAAAAAGAAAAAGAAAAGAAAAGACGGATCCTTGAAATATAGAGAAAGGTACCAGGCAAGGATGCCCGCTTTCACTGTTACTTTTTATACTAACTTTGGAAATCCTGATTTTAGAAAGAAAGAAAGAAAAAGAGATAAAGGGAATTACATGAGGCTAGGATGTTTTCAAAATTTTGCGTACAATATTATATTAGCACCTGAGGAGCCAGAAACCAGTCTAATGAAAGCATTGAGGATAATGAATGAGTTCGGGAAAGTAGCAGGCTTCAAGATAAATAATCAGAAACAAAACTTATGGTAAAAAACATACAGGAATTAGAAAAGAGCGAACTACAGGAGAAATTGAGTTTGGAAATTGTTACAAAAGCAAAATATTTTGGTATAGAATTGACAATGAAAAATATTAATCTATTTGGAAACAATTATGAAAAAGCCTGGAAGGAAAATAGAAGAGATCTAGAAACATGGAGTAGATTAAAGCTGACATTAATGGGGAGAATATCTATAATTAAGATGAATGTTTTGCCCAAAATGATATATTTGTTCCAAACAATACCAATAATAATGAAAGGAAATTGTTTTGATGAATGGAGAAAAGATCTAACAAAATTCATATGGCAAACCAAAAAACTATGCATAAGGTATAAACTATTAACAGATAAAAGGGAGAGAGGACGACTGGCATTACAAAATCTAAAATTATATTATAAAGCAGAATGTCTGGTGTGGCTAAAAGAATGGATTATATTGGAAAACACTAGTATTTTAAATCTAGAAAGTTTTGACAGTAGATATGGATGGCACGCCTACCTAGCATACGAGAAGATTAAGGTACATAATGGCTTCAAAAATCATATACTCAGAAATTCATTGTTTAAAGTTTAGAATAAACTTTAAAGTTTTACAGTTTTGGAATAAACAGCTATTAGAGCCACAAATCCCTTTATGGATCTCTCCATTAGAAGCCCATGCAGTTAAACAACACAATATGAATCCGAACTGGGCAACATCTAGACAAATACTGGAAGAAGACCAAGGAAAGTTAAAATTAAAAACATACGAAGAATTAAAACAATATGGGATGGATAATTGGCAATATATACAATTAAAAAGTGTGTTTAAGGCAGATCAAAGAAAAGGTTTTGCCAAAGAACAATTGCTATTTAGCACCATTATATTACGAAACAATAGGAAATTATTATCAAAAATTTACACTCTATTATTAGACTATGATTTGATGAGGAGGTAAAAGAAATAATGGTCAAATGGGCACAAGATATCGGCCATACTATATATTTAGAACAATGGTAGAAACTCTGTCGTGAGGATATTCGCTTTGCCCACCAACCCGAACAGATAAGCTTTGGGATTTTTTTATCAAGGGTTTGTTTAGCATTTTCTTAAGTTCCTCATGTATTATTCCCCAAAACTTCTTTATTTCCTTGCAACCCCACCACATATGAATTATCATTCCAGGTTCTTTGTTACATTTCCAACAAAGGTTGGATTTGAATTTATAAATTTTGGCGAGTTTAACTGATGTTAAATATCACCTGTAAAACATTTTAACCAAATTTTCCTTTATCGTATAGCAGGTGGTAAAGCGAATATCCTCGCGACAGAGTTTCTCGCATTGTTCTAAATATATACTATGGCCGATATATTGTGCCCGTTTGCCCATTGTTTCTTTTACCTCTTCATCCATAGCGATTGTTCTTTGGCAAAACCTTTTCTTTGATCTGCCTTAAAACACTCTTTTCTGCTCAGAAGGAAGATGGCGACCAGAGAAGGCACTTGGGACATGGCTAGGGGCAGCCATCATCCCTGAAGCATGAGACCACGTACACAGCAACCCTTCTGCCGGGGTGATCATCACTGCCCTCCTGGTCTCTGAGTGCCAGACAGGTAGCCATCTCAAGGACCAGAGTGGATCCAACCTACATGGATTGGGGACTTGGCCAGTACAATAGGGGTTACTCAACTTGGCTGGGAAACAGGACCATGTATATATTTTTCTTTGTTTTACTTAATGGGTGTAAGGTGGAGGTCAAGGGAGGGACAGGGACAAACCTGATACTCAGGTGTCCGCCAGAAAAACCTCCCAGTTTGTGACACACACACACACACACACACACACACCCGTAGATGAAGAGAAAGGGATGCTACTTACAGTCTGCCCATGTCGTCCACAAAAACCCTAACTATTCCTCTATCTAAAAAATAAAAATATATACAGACTATGCACAGGTGTGCACAAAAAAACAAAGAACAAAAATATTAAAACAAAGAACAAAAAATAAAATAAAATAAATGAAAGTGTTAAAATAAAAGAATAAAAGAAAATCAAAATAAATCAAATCAAATAAATCAAATAAAAGTAATAAATGAAATCAAAATCAAAATAAGAAAACAAAAAAGAACAAATCACTAATCCTCCTCTTACTCGCTACCAACTGCCACCACCAACTGCCACCACCACCTCTCTCCTCTAAGCTCTCCTCACTAACCCACAATGGCCGCCTGCAAGTCAGTGGCTTTTAAAGGAGAAGCAAGAGATGTCACAAAGGAGGGCGGGTCCTTGTCACCGTGGCAACCCCCCCCACCAGGACCTGGCCCCACCTGGCCCTTCCTGAGTGGTGATGCTCCTCTGTCAGAACTCGGAGGCACCTGCTGTTCTGCCTGCAGAATGCTCTAATCCCAAACTCTCTAGCCCTACAACTGGCTCTGCCACGATAAATCCATTTGTTTCTAAGGTGCTTGGTGGCTCTCTTTTTCTACGTTTGCTGCGGGGGGCTTAATAATATCACTACCCTTCTGCACTCTGTGGATTAAGCAGGGCATGGATTTGCAAGCATTTGTAACTTCTGCCACATAATTTTCAGGTGGAACTCAAATTGGGAGAGAAAAGGGTAAATGCAGCCTGCTCTTTCCATGTGGGGGGCACATTTCGTAGTGCATGCAAGATTAATGGTGGGCCATAACATTAAAGGCAGGCGTGTGGGGGACCTGTCCGGCCTAAGTGGGGAAAGGAACCATCAAATTCGCTCATAAAACCTCTCTGACATGGGAGCACATGAATTCCAGAGCCATGGGCACATGAATGCTTCACAGTCTGTTGTTTTTCTGCGGAATTCACATTTGGAAATATGCCCAGTCGCAAAGAGCACATACCTGCTTCTTTCCAAAGGAGTGTTAAAATCAATTAACAAGTCCTCAAAGAGGCAGGCCTGTTCCAGTCCCCACCTCAGATAGTCTCAAAGGGCGAGGAAGCCAGTGCAAGCAGGAGTTCAGCAACATCTGGAAGGCCAAAGGTTCCCCACACCTGAGCTAGAGACTGTGCAGGTATCTGTGGATTCTGGAGTCCCAGAATTCGCCTTAGGTATATATTTTTTCCATGGATGTTAGTGACTTCACCTGCCTGATGCTGCATAGGTGACCTAGGATGAGATGGCTGGCAGGTACTCATGCTATGGCCTGGCTGACTTGCTTGCACAGTAAACGGGAGATGAGTTCTCAGTGTGTAATCTGAACAGAGTGAAGAACGGTAGCAACTTCCCCAAATCTCTTGCTAAGTAGCAAAACTCTGTATTGCTTTGTCTGCTTGCTGGCATTCACAGCAGAAAGCCATTTGTACTTCTGCCTCTGTTCTGGTCTCTGAATAGAAGCATGGTTCGTATCCCACTACTGACACCAGTTTCTGTTGACCGTTAGCTGTGGATTCCAGAGTTTTGCAGGAATGGGTAACTTAGCAGCATTTTAAACAGCTCTTGTAAAGTTGGAAAGGACCACAAGGGTCATCTAGTCCAACCCTCTGAAATGCAAGAATCCTTTTGCCCAGCATGGCACGGCTTCCACCTTGGGATTAAGAGTCTCATGCTCTACAAACTGAGGTGTATGTTCTGGTTTAAAATAAAAATAAATTCAGCTGATCTTAAGAAAGACCCTCAGCTGTGGATTGTTGGTCGACACTGCAGGGGTGTGTGTGAGAGTACAGATCCTCCAAGCGTCATTCTGGTTTCTGATTTGATCCCGGAAAGTCCCGCTTTTCCTTAGGATGCCCATATTTTCATTGGAGAAATGTTGGAGGGTGTGGTATGATGTCCCTGTTTTCATCAGAGAAACGTTGGGAGGGCATGGAGTCGTGCAATCCTGGAGCCAAGAAAGATCAAGTAACTATGCAACCTTTAGAAGGCAGCTGAAGGCAGTCCTGTATAAGGAAGTGCGTAATGTTTTCTTATGTTTTTATGTATGTTGGAAGCCGCCCAGAGTGGCTCCGGCAGCCTTAGTCAGATGGGTGGGGTATAAATAAAATAATAATTATTATTATCATTATCATATTATATCATTAATATTATAATATTTTTATCATCAAATATTATTATTGTTACAATAATTTTAAGGTCTTACATAGCACACACACACACACACACACACACACACATATATACAGTGGTGCCTCGCAAGACGAAATTAATCCGTTCCGCAAGAGTCTTCGTCTAGCGGTTTTTTCGTCTTGCGAAGCAAGCCCATTGACGGATTAGCGCTATTAGCGCTATCAGCTGTTTAGCGGCTATTAAAGGCTTAAAGGCTTAGGGGATTAGCTGCTAAAAGGCTATTAAAGGCTATTAAAGGCTTAGCAGATTAGATAAAGGGGGGGGAAAGCGAAAAAAAATCTCAAGACTCGCAAGGTATTTTCGTCTTGCGAAGCAAGCCCATAGGGGAATTCGTCCTGCGAAGCAACTTCAAAACGGAAAACCCTTTCGTCTAGCGGTTTTTCCGTCTTGCGAGGCATTCGTCTTGCGGGGCACCACTGTATATATGTCTGAAGCCTACAGAAAAAGTCCTGAAAGCATTTTGTCCCTCCCAAATTTACCTCAAATATTGTCCCCCCATTGTCTTTTTGCCCACAAATCCTGTCTTAAGGGCACATTTAAGATTTCCGAAATTAAGTAGTTATCATCACAAAATAGCCAGGCTCTCCAGGTGTTTCCTGCTTGGCAGGGGGTTGGACTCGATGGCCCTTGTGGTCTATTCCAACTCTATGATTCTATGATTCTAGGTAAACCCATGCACAGGTTTCCTGCTGGCCCCTTCTCTGATATATGTATTGGGGGGTGGTCTTGGGCTACACCCCTTCTGTGATGTATGTATGGGGCTGGTCTTGAGCACCAGGGCGGGGAATTTCAAAAGTTTCTTCGTATAGGAGTTTGCCCACCATTGTTCTGGGTCCCTCTCCCCCTTTGTGTGTGGGGTGGAGCACCCTGTTGCAACTGTTCAATAAAGATCAGGCTTACGAGCTGCTTTGCTTCTCAACATTCTCTGCTTGGCCTCTGTTATTTCCTCCTACCGATAGAGAACCTACCAAAGGACTCTAGATGAGCTCTTGGGGGCCCCATAAGCGAAAAGGAGTTGTTCTTTTTCTTATAACAATATCATGGGATAGGACGTCCCTATTTTGCGTGGGAGAAACGCTGGAGGGTATCTGAGCGCGCACAACATTTGCCAACGCTGCTGGACGGGTCCCGCTCCCCCGCAGCCCCAGCCGCTTCGGCCGGGGGGACGATGCCCGGGAGCGCGCATTCCCCCTTCCGCCCGGCGGCGCGCTCGCCCTCCCCTCCAGCTCCGGGCTCCTCCCCTTCGCGAAGCCGGCGCGCTGCTGCGCTCGGCCCCGTTCCGCCCCTCCGCGGCTGCCGTAGTCGGCCACCGCCGCTGCCGCTCTCCCTTCCCTTCCCTTCGCTCCCACGTGGTTGCCGGGCAGGAGCAGCTGCGGTGGTGGCGGCGTAGTAAGTGGCCGGAGCGGCTCTTGGCGGAGGGCAGGGGCGGGGAGCGAGGGGATCCCTTGGTGGAGGAAGGAAGGAGAGGGAGAGGGACCCCGGCTGCGCCCCGCTCGTATGCCCTTCCTAGCCTGGCTGCGGTCGGGGCGTCTGGCCGCTCATTCCCTCGGGAGACCAGCCGGTGGCTGGCGGCTGAACGGCATGGCTAGCGTAGGTATCGCCTCTTGATCTTCGTCCGGCAAAGCTTCCTTACAATATGACTTTGATCAGCTGGCGCTTCTTAGGAAAGGTGTTCACTTCAGGGCGCAGGAAACTGCCTTGATGCGGAGCTAACTCAGGACTGCCGCCTCTTGCAGGGTTTGAGAGAGGGGACCTGGAGATGCCACCGGGGGGGCGTTCGGCATCATCGTCATCCTTGTTCTTACTATTAATTAAATTTCTATACCGCCCTTCATCCGAAGATCACTGGGCGGTTTAGGAAGACACAAAGATTCATACGGTAATAACAAACCCAATCCATACAGAAAAAGCGATTCAGTGCAGATAAAAAGATAAGAGGCATGCCACTAGACTACAGCCTTTTCCTATGCAACGTGGTGTTTCTGTTGGTTTATATTCCGTTCTTTTTTAAAAAGTGTAGTTTTACCTCTTTGTCCCCTGAATTGCAGGGATTCTTCTGTTGTTGATGCGTTACCTGATCTTCAGAGATGTGCACTGTGAGCTGCGACGAAGTTGCTCGTTTTAGCTTGGCGTATGGCATTGCGTTGAATGATGATGTCTGTATACGTATCTATATGTGAAGCAGAATTAAAATGCCACCAAAACCCCCAGTAGCTCCTTTTGGACTTACTTGCTTGATTGCCCTAAGAAAATTGTCTTTTGTCAGTTGATTTTGAGTGATCGATTCAATATCTGTGTAAAGAAGGTTTCTGTGGCTGACGTGCCCTTTAAATGAAGGACTTCATTAGCTTTCGGATGATCTCTTCTAGTGCTTTGCAATGGCCGAGGAGTTGAGAACCATGGCTGGCAACCAAGCCAAGAGGCTGAAGAGCAGCTGCAGCAACATAGAGGAGGCAGCGGAAGAAGTTGGAAAGCAGGAGGAAAACGGGCATGAAACGAAACGGATCAAGACCAGTGGGGAAGAGGTGGAGGACGGGGTGAAGAGGTTCCCCAAAAGGAAGGTTGTGATGCTGATGGCATATTCAGGGAAAGGCTATCATGGGATGCAGGTGAGTGGTTCAGGTACCTATGCTTGGGGAGTGTTTGTGGAGTTACCAGGCTAATTTGTCATTGGCCTTTGTTTAGGCATGTAGGTATAAGATGAGGATGGGGATTGGTGGTCTTGCTGCTGCTGCTGCTCTGTTTTGTCCACCTATTTATTTATTTAAAGCGGTGGGGAACCACTGGCCCGCCAGATCTTTGAGGCTGGTGGGAATTGTAGTCCAATGACATTTGGAGGGCCAAAGGCCCCCTGCCCTATGATTCACACAGGTGAATACCACTGCTTCCCCCTGTGCTATAGGGAGCCTTCACTGCCTTTGTGACAGTAGAATTTGAACACAAGGCTGCAGAGCGGAAGAAAAGCAGGGCGACTCCCATCTTGCCTCCCTTGAGAGACCATGTGCCTTTGGGTCCCCTCTTAGCCACCACTTTTAAGACTTGGTGTCTGAGTTTGCTTTCCTCCCTTCTTCCTCTCCATTATTTTCCCTGCAAGTGCCATGTCTTCTAGATTGCAAATCTGAGGGCAGGGACTCGCCCACTACTGATGTTTGCAAGTTCTTCCTTTTAGCTAAAGGGCAGGCTAAAGAAACCAGACCAGTTACCACATTAACACCTTTCTTTGATCCATCCCAGGCGCTTGTACCTGGGCTGACTTCCTGATCCTTAGCTCATCCTTTGTAGCAGCCAGGCAGCTCCAGCTCTGGCAAGTGAGATGCATTCAATCTTTTCTTCTTTTTCATTCCAGCGCAATGTGGGGAATGCTCAGTTCAAGACGATTGAGGATGACTTGGTGACAGCCCTCATTCGATCAGGCTGCATCCCAGAGAACCACGGTGAAGACATGAAGAAGATGTCTTTCCAGAGATGTGCCCGGACAGACAAGGTGATGCGGTTTTGTGTGTGCAAATGGGAGTTTCAACAGCATGGAGTGTCGGTATTGTGGATTGCAGCCCTGGGGAGCTCCTGTCACACAGTGTAGAAAATACTGAGCTTGATGGGCCAATGGTCTGACTCTGTATAAGGCAGCTTCTTATGTTTCTATATGTGGCACCCTAACACATATGTAATATACATGGTCCCCAGGTTATGGTTCGGCATAGAGACCCTTGCATTCTTCAACTCAGTTCCATTTTGTTTGCTTTCAGATTATACTAACTTCCTGAATCCATGCTTAGGACCCTCAGCCCATCACTGTCTGATGGAGACTTTTCTGGTTCCCTCCTCCCTGTTGATTTTAATCCCTACCTGTTGATCCACACAGGGTGTATCTGCAGCTGGGCAGATCGTGTCGCTGAAGGTCTGGTTGATAGACGATATCTTGGAAAAGATAAACCACCATCTTCCTCCTCATATACGAATTCTAGGTAAGGGAGTAAATAACAGGAGCTTTTGGTTGTGGGCCTTGATCTCGGTGAAGTCACCTTTCAATCTTTCATAAGCAGAGCAATAGGGATGAGCCCTTCTCGCCAGCTTGTAAATGCATAGGCGAGGTGGGCCTTGGTGTTGAGGGTGCTTTGAGTTAAGCTTTGTGACATCAGAAGACCCCTCCTGTCCCCCAGGTGCAGGAGTAGCCAACCTGGAGCCCTGCAGATGTTGGACTCTAGTGTCTATCAGCCCCAGCCAACATAATCAGGGGTTAGGGATGATGGGGGTTCTCATCCAACCACTTGACTACCCGGCTCTTCTGGATAGACTCCAGAAGGGACCTACAATTTATTAGTAACACCACGTTTCCTCATTGGTATCCACATGAGAACAGAGCATTTTAGAGCTCGTTAGATGACCAAAATCCTTGCCAGCTTTCTTAAGAAATGCCTTTACTGAGTTGCGTTTCCAAGTGATGCCCGCTGCAGTCTTGGATGGCCGCTATAACTAAGGTCCCATACACAGACAGACTTTGTATTTGTGGTCAACCACAGGTGAAAGACATCACTCATTATCTGTTAACCTGCCCCTTATATAGGTTTCTGAAACCTTGGTTCTCAGGGACAGCTCAGTCGGTAGAGCATGAGACTCTTAATGTCAGGGTCATGCGTTTGAGCCCTCTGCTGGGCGAATAGTTCCTGCGATACAGGGGGTTGGACTAGATGATCTTCGTGATCTTTTCCAACTCTACAATTTTATGATTCTGTAAAAGCATCATAGCAGAAAGGGTTTGGTTTCTTTTGAGTGACAGTAATATCTTTGTAACACACAAAGTAACCTTTTCTGCATTGTTTACAAAAAAAAATCAGGAAAAGGGGGTTAGATAAAATCACTATACATTGTTTCCGTGATTCAGAGGTTTAATCTGAGATATAAGCCTCTCTTACATCATGGAAGTCCGCTTATATTATATAGGGGTGTGTGCGTGTGTGTGTGTGTGTATTGCATTATTTTATTAATCCTATTGCTGCAAGTTTGTCATGGCCTTTGGCTAGAACAATAAACTTCTGAACCGGCTCCCCATGGCCCTGGAAGGTTAGCAGAGGCAGGGTCTTTGGCAAGCACAATTTTTTTACTTTTCCCCACCAGTACCAATGTTCCCCATGACCTGGAGTGAGTTGGCATTTTTTAAGTAGGCCCTTCCCACTTAGATGGGAGAAGCTTATGTGCCAGGCCAAAATGATATAATTGCTGATTGTGGAAAGTGAACAGCGCAACAGTCAAGACAGGCCCCAAGTTGTGCCAGACACGATGCACTTCCTTGTGTGGTCAGTTCCACACACACACACACACCCCCCGCCAATGGAATGTGAATAGTTTTGCCACCTGTACATTTTGAAGCCTCGGTGTACTGAGAAATTTGAGAGTTCCATTAAGCCAAAACTGTGGACCCCTGAACCTAAAGCAGGTCTGGGAGAGCCTGTGATCCTTCTGATGTTGGGACTCCAGCTCCCATCATCCTCTGCAAGGATGGACAATGGTCAAGGATGATGGGAGCTGAGCTTCAGTGACATTCGGAGGGTGACAAGTTCCCCCCATCCCAGTGGTGAAGTATCCTGGGTCCACGGTTCACCTGAAACTTACTTGATGGGATTGTACAGATCCTGTTAATAGAACATGCGTGTTTTAATCTAGGACTGAAACGGGTCACAGGAGGCTTCAATTCCAAGAACAAATGTGATGCCAGGACATACTCTTACATGCTGCCAACTTTTGCCTTGGCACACAAAGACTGCGACCTCCAGGATGACACGTACCGCCTGAGCACGAAGACGCTGGAGACCGTCAACAGCCTTCTGGCTTGCTACAAGGGGACGCACAACTTCCACAACTTCACCTCTCAGAAGGGGCCCAAAGACCCCAGCGCCAAACGCTACATCATGGAAATGTACTGCGAGGAGCCCTTTGTGAGGGAAGGCATGGAGTTTGCCGTGATCAAGGTGAAAGGGCAAAGCTTCATGATGCACCAGATCCGGAAGATGATTGGGCTGGTGATCGCCATCGTGAAGGGCTTCGCTTCCGAGGCCATCATGGAGCGTTGCTGGGGGGAGGAGAAGGTGGACGTCCCCAAAGCCCCGGGGCTGGGCCTGGTTTTGGAGAGGGTTCACTTTGAAAAGTACAATAAACGTTTTGGGAACGATGGGCTCCACGAGGCCCTGGAGTGGGTGGAAGAAGAAGAAAAGATTGCTGCTTTTAAAGAGCAACACATCTACCCCACAATCATAAGCACGGAGAAAGAAGAGAAGTCCATGGGGTGCTGGGTGGAGACGCTCTCCAACCACGACTTCAATTCCACTGTCTCGAGGGCACCAGTGGACAACAGGGATTCAAAGGTAACCCAATTGGTGGCCATCACTGCATTCCAATGTTTAACTATGCGCAGTGTGAAGAAGTGTCTCTTCCATCTGTTGTGAGTCTTGTAACGTGTAGCTTCATTGTTTTTCCACTATGAGAGTGGGAGGAAAACCTTCCTGGATCCACTTTCTCCACGCATTCCATAATTTTTAAACCTGTGTTTATGAATGCCACTGACAGTTGTGACTACGCTGTTTCTTTATCTCCTTTTTCCAGAGTGACGATCCTGAGGGCAGCGATGGATGCGGAGATGACTCGGACTGAACTGAAATCCGCTCCAGAGGGCAGAAATATAATAGCGCGTGGGTTGCCCCACACCGTTCTGGGAAACTTCTGCTCGATAACTTTGGGGTCATCTCTCAACTGGTGGTGTTTATCTGCTTGGGTGATGAGCATTGCCCACCAGGCCAAGTTGTGGGAGGCGAAGAAAAAGGACCTTTAGAGCAACTTTGTCTACAGTGGGAAATAATGTCAGCTGGAGCCAATAGTGCATTAATTATGCTTTACAAATGAATTATGTCATTTTTACTGTGTCCAATGCACAATAGAAAGTAATTAATAATCAGACTCTTAAGACAATGGAAAGGTTTTTTAAGTATCATTTCCCCCTCCTTTTTAAAATGAAGGCCAAAGTTTCTTCCTCCTTTCTTTTGGGCTTTTTCTGATTGTACTTCATTCCAGCTCAGCTTGCGGAAGGGGAGACACCCTCTTCCTTTCCTTAGCTTGCCATGTCTTTGCCTCTGGTGTCCCAAGAGACAAAATAGTTTCTCTGAACAAAATCTGACTGTGGAATATCAAACTTTTCGCTTTCTCTCCTTTAAAAAATGAGCTACTTGTGTCAGAGGGCTTTAAAAAGAAAAGTTTGTCTCTGGTTTTTGTTTTCTTTTTTGAGAATAAAATAAAGACTTCTCATGGCACAATTAGAAAAGAAAAATCATACCTACGTTTTCTGTGTATGAAATAAAAGAGCTTAAGATTGTGAGAAGAGTCATCATCCTGTTTTTCCTGTGGCCAGCCAGACTCTCTTGGGAAGTTTGAAAGTAGGACCCGAATGCAACAACACTCTCTCCATTTGTGATTCCTAAAAACTGGTACCCAGCAACCCATTGCCTCTGACAAAGGAGAGAGAACATTGCCATGACACGTGTGTGTAATAATAGTAACAATGGGATGCTTTCCTGCCCTGATCCTAGGTCTGCAATCATAATAGTGCCCGGGTCAGTGACTCTGGGGTCATAGTTCTGTGTGGATCTCCCCCTCCATGGGCAGAGAGGGGCAGTTGCATTTGGAGCGACAGGTGCCTCCATCTTCCTTTACTTCATCAGATGAACACCACATCATCTTTAAAGTGGGGTACACGGTTCTCCTCCCTCCAAGTTAAATCCTTGCAACAATGCTGAGAGACAGTGACTAGCCCAAGGACACAGTGAGCTTCCTGGCTTGAGTGCAGATTTGGACCCTGGTTTCCTAGATCCTAGTTCAGCATCCTAACCGCTACACCGCACAGGCTCTCAGTGGGATCTTGCTTTAATACTGGCAATGGGGCAGCTTCCTCCTTGACACCTGAAGGCAGAAGGCTTTGCACACACTTTGTGACTGTATCACTAACTGCTAAGCTGCAGAGGTCATATACACAAAGCACTCTTAACACAGCTTGAACAGTCACCCTAAGAAGAATACTGAGAACCAGTGCTCCCACCCCCCAAAAAATGTTTAAGGGTACTCTCATTTTCCTACTCATATTGAAATACTGTTCCTCAATGTGACCAAACTTAGATTCACAAAATGTTTAGGGTATGCGTCCCCCACCCCCGAAAAAAAAACTGCTGAGAACTGTAGTTTACCCTACAGTGCTACAGTTCCCAGGATTCTTTTGTAAGGTGGGGTGTGTGTGCTTTAAGATTGTGCTTTGCATGCAGCCAAAATATGTTTTCTCATTTATATGCGCGACTTTCACTTCGGAGGAGGTAGGGATCTGTGTCTGAAAGTGAAGTGTGGTGTCGTGGTTTAGGCTAGGTTTGCAGAGACCCACGTTTAAATTGTTCTTTGGCCAGCGACTCTACTGAATGGTTTGGGGGTGATTGCTGTTTCTCAGCCTGGCCTTCTCCACTGAGTTGTTGTGGTGGACAGAGTGGATGGTAGTAAAGCGGGGGGTAGGGGTGGGGAGGAATTAATGGCCCACCTTGAAAGTTTGCTTTTCAAAGGTTTCCCAGGCAGCCTCACAATAATTACAACTCCCGTGATTCTCTCTCTCTCTCTGTGAAATAGCCCTGTCAGTTGTTTTTCATCTGAATATATACCTGAGCAGGCATTCAATTGCTGCCAGGTTTGTTTATTAAAGAGTTCCTCTTAAGGAGCTCAAGACAACTTATACTGTATAGTTTTTAATAGATTATAAATATCTATATGCTTTCAATTGTATCAATGTTTGATACTTTTTTAAAAAAAGTTTTGCTCTGTGTTTTTAGCAGTTCTTATTTTTTTGTCTGTAAGCAGCCTTGACTCTGTCAGGGTTCAAACAAACAAATGTATGTATGTATGTATGTATGTATGTAATAATATGGTTCCTATTTCTTCCCTCACCCATTTTATCCTGCTGGGTAGGCTCAGGCTACACTGAGAGAAAGCTGCTGGCTCAAGGTCACCTTAAGCCTCTGCCTTAGCCCAACAGCCTTAACAGCTGCACCTCAGTGGTGTAAAAGCCAGTTCTGAGAGGAGGGGGAATTTAGTGTGTGTGGGGGGGGTGACTTGTGACGTAATATGACGTCCCAAACGTCATGGTTCAAGGCTTCCGAACCGTCATGCATCTTGGGAAAGAGAACGCGCATCGCGTATAACTCTCCTTATTGCGTCCCTGCTGCGTTACCGTACCCTTGCTCGCCCGCCCGCCCGCCCCGCTATATGACCGCTGAGCTTGTGATAGGCGGGCTGCTCTAACAGTCACTACCGCTTGCCCAATACCGCGAGAGCTCTCGCGCGGCGCCGGCCAATGGCACCTTGAGCTCGCGCAGCCCCTCCTTCCCGAGCTCGCAATAGTATCTTGTGGAAGGGGAGAGCTTGCGCGCGCGCCCTACCCCCCCTACGGTGTCCTTCAAATGGCATCGCCCACCGTGGATCCTCCGCGAGGCGGTGGCGGGACAGACCAAATGCAATCTTTCGAGAGGGGTGAGCCTGTTTAATGGGTAGGTAGGCTTTGTGCAAGGGCGGGTGAGGTATTTAACGTTAGATACTGAGGTGGTATTAGCATTATTAGCTTGACTGCCTATTCTTTTCTTTTCCCTCGGCAGGAAGGTGGGGGAGGGGGGACACACACACACGACTTCTGCAGTTGGTATGGAGCAGGCTGAAGTTCCACCGGGAGAGTTTCCCCCCAGCCTTGCATTCACTACCCAGAGGACACGAAGTGGCACAGAAGCGAAGATGTAACCTGCTGTTGGAAGCCCTCTTCCATCTTAATCAGGATCTCTGTTGGGGCCTTCTGCGTGCATTCCCACTGAGCTGCTGTCCTTTCTGCATGGCGCTTTAAAAATGCAATAAGAGAGGTAAAGTGATTAAAGGAAGCGATCAAAACCACCTATGTGTGCATGTGATGGTGGTCTCAATATCTTTATTCCTTGCATCATTCCAGTGTGGTGGTTGTATAAACTAACAGCACTGAATTTTGAATTGCATTTTGTTATGTTTCTGTATACGCTGGAAGCCACCCAGAGTGGCTGGGGCGACCCGGTCACATGGGCAGGGTACAAATAATAAAATTATTACTATTATGGTGATATAATCTACCAGTACTGTGGTGGGTAATTAGTCTTGAGCATCTGTTTTAGCACTTGTTTTCCTCTACCTTACTCCAGAGGCTCTCTAACCAGTAGAGTGCTTTGGCATTGCCTGAGGATATATTGAAGTCATGCTCATATCCCTCCCCAGTAGGATGCTTGCTTCCCATTGGGGTCTACAATTTGAGCAAACATTCATCTGATGGTAGGTACTTACAAGAGGCGTGAGGCGGCACATGTACAGAATGCATACAGTGGTACCTCGTTTTACGAACTTAATCCGTTCCGGAGGTCCGTTCTTACACCGAAGCCGTTCTTAAACTGAGGCGCGCTTTCCCTAATGAGTCCACCAGCCACCATTGCCCTTCCACTGTTCGTTGACCGAGGTAAAGTTCGCTAACCGGAACAATACTTCTGCTTTTGCGGAGTTCGTAACCCGAATAGTCAGTTAACAGGACTGTTCGTAGACCGAGGTACCGCTGTATTGGCAAATTACGGCGGTGGATTGCAGCTTTACAGCATACCCAAACTCTCTGTGAGCAAAATCGGGGGAAGGGGCATGAGATCTGGGGCTTAGCACAAAAGTACTTGTTAATAATTATCCCACATCTTTGCAGTTGGTGGTGGTGGTAATGGCGGCCATGTTGGCTGGCTGCCTTTGAGAGTGTGGCGGGTTTAAAAGTTGATTGATTTATTTAATGCAGCTTTGTAAGGAAGCCCATGATAGCTGATTAGCTTAAAGCAGGCATAGGCAAACTCGGCCCTCCATATGTTTTTGGGACTACAACTCCCATCATCCCTGACCACTGGTCCTGTTAGCTAGGGATCATGGGAATTGTAGTCCCAAAACATGGAGGGCCGAGTTTGCCCATGCCTGGCTTAAAGGCTAGCAGAACAATCTGCAAAGAGGCTACTGTTGTGTGTTTTCATACTGGCTGCAGAGGAAGGTGACATCCAGTTAAGTCATACTTGGATAAGAATAACCATTTAAATAAATGTGCTTAAATGGGTCTACTCTGAGCATGAGTTACATCGTATAATGCAAGTGTCCCTGCCCAATCTGGTAGAGATGATATAATAGTGAAAAAGAGAAGAGGAGACCAGACTAGCAGGAAAATTCAGACACTAATTCTTCATAGAGTATTCCCCAGTATCACCCGTATTGGCAGGGAATGCCCTGATGGTGCTGCTGCCACTGGATGTTGCCCAGCTGGTGTTGACCTATGTCAGGGCCTTTTTGGTGGTGGTTTCCCATTTGTGGAATGCCCTCCTTGGTGAAACGCATTTGTATCCCTCACTATTCACTTTCACAAGGAATTTAAAGATATTCTTGTTTACCCAGGCACTCGATGACTGAAATATACTGTTCCTGGCAACCATGAAAATGATTAGTTTCAAGAGTATGTGATTGTTTTTAGACAAATTTTTAATTTTACTTTTAGTTGAATTGTTTTATCACTTTTCTGTGTCCTGCTGCCCTAGGTCCCTTGGGAGGTAAATTTAATAAATGAATACATAAAGTTATATATGTTTATTTTATTTATTAAATATCTATTCTGCCCTTCATTTGAGGATCAAACGGCAGTTTACAATAACCCCCCCACAAAAATACATACTGTAGTAACAAAAAGAAACAATACCCCACAGTTTAAAAGGCCATAGATTTATTTTTATATGGAGACAAAAAAGTGATATTTTGATTTTCTATTCATATATAGTTAATACTCCTCTATTGTTTTTTAATTATTATTTCTTTAGGCACTTTGATCACAGCTGCGGTATCCATGCTGAAGAGAGATTGTGGCTCAGCATCATGTTCAGCCATAGCAACCCTATTCGTATGAGTGGACTCATTCTGCAGTTAAGCCAAGTTTCCAACACACCTGCTAGAAATGGAACTTCCTGGAGGCGTCTAAACTCTGAAGTTTGTGAAAGGAACTGTTCTTGTAATTAGTGCTGTTCAAGCCAAGCAGCTGTGAATAATTTGTATGCATCTAAGGCATTACCTATAGGGATTGTGTCTAAACCACAGAGCCTAGGGCTTGCCGATCAGAAGGTCGGTGGTTCGAATCCCCGCGACGGGGTGAGCTCCTGTTGTTCGGTCCCAGCTCCTGCCCACCTAGCAGTTTGAAAGCACATCAAGTGCAAGTAGATAAATAGGCATTGCTCCGGTGGGAAGGTAAATGGCGTTTCCGTGCGCTGCTCTGGTTTGCCAGAAGTGGCTTAGTCATGTTGGCCACATAATCCGGAAGCTGTCTGCGGACAAACGCCAGCTCCCTCGGCCAGTAAAGCAAGATGAGCGCCGCAACCCCAGAGTTGCCCGCGACTGGACCTAATGGTCAGGGATACCTTTACCTTTAAGGCATTACCTATTAATGTTCCTATTTTACATTCATCCACACTTTATTAGATATTTTTATATAGATACATATATAATTTCTGAACTTTGAAGTCTGAGATTGTACTTTTTAATTTTTTTAATGCTGTGTCTGATGTAATAAAGTAGATCATTATTTGTTAATTGAATACAGTAATAAAAAGTTTGATAGTTATTCATATTGAATATTATATTAATATATTATTAAATAAAGCATACCTTTGCACAATTCTCCTTGAGTCTTTGGTATTTTCCTCATCTCACCCTGTTTATTAATATAATCAATAAAGCAGAACCTGTTTCATAAAATGAATCCATTTCCTGTTTTTGTCTTTATGCCAGGCCTTGATTTAGTTTGTTTTTCTGCTAATATAAAAATGCGAACTTTATTATACCAAGCTTCTAACGATGGATCTTTAGAGTATTTCCAGCATTTTTCAACCAGTAAAAACCATGATACCCTGATAAAAACAAGAAGAAGCATTTCCTTATATAGGATGTGGACATTTTGACAATGAAAGATTTGACAACGATATTAATTTTGGAGCCATCTGTATTTCCTTCTTTACAGTAAGACTGTACAGTATTTATATGCCTCCCATCCCTTGCATCTCCTCCAACAAGTTTTGTGCCCATTATTCTTTTAAACTTTGGGCTGTTCCTATTGTCCCATTGTAAATGTTTGATGCCAGAACTTTCATTGTAGAGTCAAGTCAAAAGCATCAATTGCTCAAATCCTGTTAAAGACCTAGTAGCCTGATTCCTGCTCTTTTGGTTTGAGATAAAGAAAAGATTGATGTAACTGGGACCAGTTTACTCATATCGTACCCAAGCTGATCTAATTTGGGAGCTGCCCCTTTAAACAGATCGTGTATAAAAACTATGCCCCACATTTGCCACTGGCTTAAGTATTGAATTTTGCTCCTCCAAAAATAAAATAAAAAATAAAATAAAAGGGAGTAACAGAAAAGAAAATGGAGTTTACTCTGTCAGGAGTTTAGCCTACACTTCAGTAGGACCCTCGCAGAGACACATGCCTGGCTGGCATGTTCCCTCCCTTCTGGTCTTTCGTTCGGGAGCTTCAAAAGCTTTCTTCAGCCCGAACATCACAACGACCAATGCCAACCGACACCGGCACACTTAGGGATCCGCAGAGTTTGCGCGTGGCTTGCATGACAGACCTCAGCAACTCAGCATTTTGGCTAATCTACTTTATTTACATATAAACACACACAGAGCACTGCAACATGGCTCCCTCTCTCTCTAGCATCAGACAGCAAAGAGATAAAGAACAAAGGACAATAGTCCCACTTCACGGAACACAGTAACACAAACATCCTGTCTGTAGTGGTTAAGAGCAGTAGATTCGTAATCTGGGAAACCGGGTTCGCGTCTCCACTCCTCCACGTGCAGCTGCTGGGTGACCTTGGGCTAGTCACACTTCTTTGAAGTCTCTCAGCCCCAGTTACCTCACAGAGTGTTTGTTGTGGGGGAGGAAGGAAAAGGAGAATGTTAGCTGCTTTGAGACTCCTTCGGGTAGTGATAAAGCAGAATATCAAATCCAAACTCCTTCTCTGTGGAGTCAAAACATACAGTCATGTGAAAGACAACAATCCTATGACTGCAATCACGGAGCCAGGAATTCTAACATATTCTGCCCCCCTCCCAGGCTATAAGCATGTAACTGAGGGAGGGATTATATGTAGTTTCTGGATACACCCCCTAAATTTGTAAGGTAAACTGTGCACTGCCCTGTACTTAGTCAAACCCTGCAGGGAGACTCACCTGGTACCATAATTGTATACTGTACAGTGTTTTTCTTCTGGAAAAAAAGTGCTGGAAATACCTATCCTTCAGTACCCCCATAAAAAAGCAGTGATTATATACAGATTTAGGTGCCAGACTTTTGGCTCTGAATTCTGTGGCCTTTTGAGTGGCTGGGAAGTTTCAATCTTGCCTTGTTTTTAAAGGATTGCCTTTCAGATTTTTCTTTGTTTTTCTTCGATGCTGGTTTTAAGTTATAATACAATGATGAAAATAATTTTATTATTTATACCCCGCCCATCTGGCTGGGTTTCCCCAGCCACTCTGGGCAGCTTTGGGTTATCACAGTAAGAAAGAAAGATGAATAAATCCAATAAATAAAAATAATTGAGAATTTATTATTCTCCCCGTTTCTTTTAGTGGATTTATTGATCGGTTTTCAATGTTCTTTCAAGTTGGATGATTACTATGGGTGATTATTTATTGTATTTGACTGAAGTGGTGTACATCGCACTCTTAAAAATTGCTGGCATTTAGTGCTTGATTTTACAATCAGGAATTATAGCAGATTTTTTAAAATGGCTAATTAATTTTTAAACCCGAGTCTAAAATTATGCAGAAAACAACTAGTGCGCATGTACCAATTCAGATTCTTTCTCTCCCTCCTTCCCCCTCCTTTTCTGTCTCACTTTGGCGCATGCGCCGTCAGGGCCGTCCCGTCCCCGCGCCTAGAGAACGTACTTTACGTTCACGCTGGGCGGAGCCTCTATTCGCATGCGCATTTCTCCAAACCGAAGCCAACTAGTAGAGCTGGGCGGGCGGGCGAGGGTGGGGTGAACCTGGCGTAAGCTGCTTACCCGGGTTGACCGGCGCGACGTCCCACGAACTGACCCTCACCGGCGCCCGTACAACCGGCGCATGCGCATGCGTCTCTCTCTATCTTTTTTTTGTTTCCTCCTCCTCTTCCTCCGCCAGTTTCCTGTCAGGAGGCGGATGGCAGAAGCAGGGCCCGGCTCGGAGCGGGAGGGACGAGTTGGGGAGGCGCCTTGACTGGAGCGCAGCGGGTTGACGCCTCGCCGGAGAGACAAGGTAGAGCCGGCCGGTCCCGGGAGGGCTTGGCGGCTTGTGTGTGAGGGCCGAGGTGTCTAGGCCGCTCTAGGCCCGGCCTGAGAAGCGAGCCAGGCCTCGAACTCGGACCTCCCCCCCCCTTTCTCCTCTCGCGCGCGCCTGAGGGAGTTAACGGGCGCCGGGAAGGGCCAAGAAGGGCCGGTCCCGCCGGCAAGAGAACGCAAACGCCACTCCAGGAGCTTTTTCTGCCGGGGCGCTTCCGCGACAGGGTGACGGGACCTTTTTCGCCCTGCCGGATCGGGCCAGCGGCCCCTGTATCCCCAGCCATCCTAGTTTCAACAGTGGTAGGGAGGGAAGGGCTGTGCCGGTCCGTGGCTGCGGTTTAGGGCACCCGCTTTGCACGCAGGGTGTCCCAGGATCAGGCCAGGTTGGCTGGGTGGAGAGGAGCCAAACTGAAACCCTGGAGAGCCAGTCATTGCATTTGTTTTTGTTTTATTGCAGGCACCCGCAAACTCGGCCCTTCAAATGTTTTGGGACTACAACTCCCATCATCCCTAGCTAACAAGACCAGTGGTCAGTGATGATGGGAATTGTAGTCCCAAAACATTGGAGGGCTGAGTTTGGGGATGCCTGGTTTAATGCATTTACGCCCCACTTTTCTCTCCCCAAGGAGCTCAAGGTGGCACACATGGTTCTCATTTAACCCCCTGCAACAACCCTGCGAGGTAGGCTAAGCCGAGAGACCGCAACTGGCCCCAAGGGCAAGCCCACTGTGTTTTGTGACTGGGGATTTGAACCCAGGTTCTTTAGTCCACTAACACTAACCTCCACACCACACTGTAGAACGGCCTTTCCCAAGGCTAGGGTGTTGTTGGACTACGACACCCATCACCCCTGGTTAGCAGGACCGATAGTCAAGGACGATGGGTATTGTAGTCCAACAGCACCCCAAATTTGAGAGGTGCTGCTGTAGCTGTACCAAGCTAGATGGAGCCAATTGTCTGAGTTGTTTAGGCATAGAAACACAAGAAAATTCCTTTTTTTGTGTATTGTTGTTAATATTGATATGTTATGGGCGTAGAGAGCTGCCGCTTTGGGTGTCATCGATCATTCGCTTCTCACAGCCAAACCCTTATACAATGACTTGGAGAAATAAAAGTAATAGAACCATTCAGACAAGAGTACAGATTTATGTGATTCATTTTAAAAGGATCATGAACTCCTTAATCAAATAGATCTTTTAAGTGCCATGCATAATAAAATTGTCGATAAAATACAACTAAACTCCACCAAAAAAAGTATGCATAGAATAATTTTTAAAATTCAGATTTAATTTGTAAAATGTTTAAAACAAATGTAAGTAATTAAATTACATGTCTGGATAGACTTGTGAAAGTGCTACTGGGTGCAGAGAAAAAGATACTGTACTAGATTAAGACACCAATTCTTTTTTCCCTTAAGGAAAGAAAATTAGCAAAAATAAGGTTTTAACTCCTACAGTGAAATTTATTTTAAGTTTGTTTCAGCAAAAACCTACAGAGAATCTTGTGGCTCCTTAAAGGTGGCCAAATTTATTATGGCACAAGCTTTTGTGGACTACAGTCTTCTGTATCAGAAGCATGAGATTTTTAAGGCTTTCCTGAATGCTAGAACTGAAGGGGCCACACAAATGTTAACTAGAAGGGAGTTCAATAGCTGCAAAGCTACCACCTGGAAATAACTTATTAATTAAATATTTAAGAAATTTTATTTTTATTAGTGCTTTGGGAACCTGCTGCTATTATTCAGAAGCAAGTGAATGTGGTTCTCCCTCTCCCACTTTTTAAAAACACCCACAACAACCCTGTGAAGTAGCAAAACAACAAAACAATAACAGATGTATTATGACATAAGCTTTCAAGGTCTGCTAGAGTCCTGTCCTTCAGATGTGTGAGGCGCTGCCCTGAGTTGAAGCGGGGAATGATTGTAGAAAGAGGTTAGAGAGAAATAAAATTCTGAATAAGCACGTTAACGGTGGCAGTTCCTACACCCAAGTTATTAGCAACTTGAATAAGACTTTGTGCATCATATTGTCCACAGACGTGAAAGTCATAATAAATGTGTTTGGTTTTAAGATGTCATTTCATTCTTCTATTTATGTTTCACATCATAAAAATGAGACAGTAACTGCAGAAAACAATTTTAATCCTTCTGTTGTGGTTCAGCATAAAACATTTAACAGAGTATGCAGTACTATCCAGGAGAATATTAACCTTTCTTTTCTTGTCTTACACTTGAAAGGTGCAACTAGTGGTAATAGATCTAGTAGCAGTCAGGCGGAGCACATCTGTTTAAATAATTTGGAAAAGTTGGAAAGAAATTAAATACATTTATTTCTATAGTTCCATCAAGGTACATACGTGTATTTTCCAGGGTAACATAAAAAAGCCTGGACTGGAAACTTGGGGAATTCTTTAAAAACCCCTCACAATCATTTAATTTCAAAAGTGGTTGAGGGCACAAAGGGAGTGGAAAGACAAGCCTGACAAAACACTGGAGGAATGCTGTCTTTACTGTGTTGCTTAATGAACTTTTCTAAATTTCCCTTTAGACATTGAGAACATTAAAAAGGTGATAATGCACCATGGCAATGGTCCTCAAAATGCCCAACGCCAGCTCCAAAGGTCCCGCTCCTTCACTGGCAGCGAGGGTGAAGACCAACAGGCGAACCTGCCCCAGTCCCCAGCACCTTCGTTTGCTCCTTCAGCAAGCCCATCAGCACCACAGTCTCCCAGTTACCAAATCCAGCAGTTTATAATGAGCAGAAGCCCAGTCGCTGGGCAGAATGTGAACATTACCCTGCAGAATGTTGGACCGGTTGCGACAGGAAACCAGCAGATCACGCTTACTCCGTTGCCGATCCCGAGTCCGACCTCCCCGAGTTTCCAGTTCAGCCCTCAGCAAAGGAGGTTTGAGCATGGGTCCCCCTCCTACATTCAAGTTACTTCGCCGTTGCCAACACAGGCTCAGTCTCAGAGCCCCACGCAGCCTAGCTCTATGCCAGTGCAGTCCATATCAAATGTTCGGGCGGGCACCCCAGGGCCTGGCTTGGGGATGTGCAGCCAGAGCCCGACACGAGGCTTTGTTGATGCGAGCGTTCTCGTGAGACAGATTAGCTTGAGCCCTTCAAATGGCGGGCACTTTGTGTATCAGGAAGGCTCCGGCATCACCCAGATATCTCAAGGAACCACAGCTCAGGTGCAGCTTTCATCTTCCGGAGCACCTGCTGCGGTTCGAGAACGTAGGCTGTCGCAGCCCCACTCGCAAACCGGTGGCACCATACACCACCTTGGACCACAAAGTCCCGTCGCTAGTGGAGCAAATATCCAACCTTTACCTAGCCCTGGTCACATTGCAACAAATAACTTGCCACCTCATATCAGCAACATCATCCAAGGCATGCAGCAACAGCAGCAGGTTCTCCAAGGTCAGCAGTTGAGCAGATCCCTGGGATATGACCGGACTTCTAGTGGGCTGATAGCTGGAGTTGGAGGAGCTTCTGCTTTTGGAATGACATCGCCGCCACCTCCCACAAGCCCTTCCCGGGCCAGCATGCCACAGGGGCTGACAAGCCTCCCTCTTGCTCCTTCAGTAAGTGCTGTGGGGAAAAAAACAAAGAAACTGGAGGAGATCCCCCCAGCCACTCAAGAAACCGCTCAGCTGAGAAAGCAATGTTTGGACCACCACCTCAAGGAAATGGAAGTGTTGAAAGACGCTTTCAAAGAGTATTTGATTGAGTTGTTTTTCCTGCAACACCTGCATGGAAATATGATGGATTTCTTAGCTTTCAAGAAGAAGCCTTGTGCTGCGTTGCAAGCATACCTCAGGCAGAATGACTTGGATTTGGAGGAAGAGGAGGAAGAGGAACAATCTGAGGTTATCAATGATGAGGTAGGAACTTGCTGTTCCAATAATTTAGAAACCTACTGAAGCCTAGAATTATTTATACTAGTTATTTGATTTCTATTTCTGCAATCTGTAGCGTGCATACTTGGAACTCAGTACATTTGAAATCAGTAAGATTTGTATTGGAGTACGAAGCATGATTGGGTTGCAAGATTTATTAGGCCAGTAGGTAGCGCAGCATATCCTGCAGCATTCGTCTTTAAGGTTTGGTGTTTTGATGTTGCAAACAGATTTGCTGGACTTAGGTTTAGGATCTTAAATTTTGCTGTTATTTGTAATTCCATTTGATCTTATTTGTGGTTTTGTTCATAGATTGGTTATGGTGTAGTAGGTAGAATGTTCCTCTTTGATCAGGAAGATGCGAGTTCAAATCCTGTTCTTACTTTAGCCATGAAATCCAGTTGGTGACTCCAGACAAGTAGCCATCTCTCAGCTTAACTTGTCTTGCAGTGTTGTTATGATAAAATTAGAAAGTGTGGGAAATGGAGAAAATTCCTATGCAATGTTGCCCTCAATTTTTTAGAGCTAGCTCAGGGTACACATATGAAAATGATACGAAGTTATGATGTGCTGGCTTGCAGTGTTACAAAAATAATGGCAAAATCCTTCGGGAAATATAAATATTTTCTAGTTGTAACCAAAGTGTCAGAAAAGCTGGTTTAACATGGAAGCAGAAGTTGTAGGGCATTTTTCTGTTTTCTGTTTGCTTGCTTTCTCACCAGTCATGCTCACACAGGAACCTTAAACTTGAGTATAAATTTGCACAGTAGGTTTACTGGCACTCAGCTCAAATGGCAAACTTAGCTGTCAGTTAAAAGAAGGTTCAGCTATGTAATTTGTGGTTTATCCAGTGTGTGGTTACTCAGAAGCAAGTCCCACTATGTTAATTGGGGCTTACACCCAGGTAAGCGTGCATAGGATTACAGCCATGATTTTGTAATAACATCAAGTGAAAACTTGAAGCAGGCTTAATTTAGGGCTCCTCCAGTTTCTCCAAGTATCACTGTAGTGCAAAATAATGATAAAGGCCTGGATACAAAGAACCCGGTAGCTCGTTCCACATTAGCAAATAATACACTCTGGGGCTATGTTTATCAAATAGCTTCCTCCTCTCTTGCTGCATAGCAGAGTTTGAAACTGAACTTCTCAAGCAGGCTCTGGTGTCTGCTGTTGAAAAATGGTTTGTTTGTTTTTTATAATCAGCCCTGGTGAAAGAAAGCTACTGGGATCCTGCTCCACGTGTTTAATTTTGTTACATTAAAGAAAAGTGCAGTCTAAAATAAATTTAAACTCTTCATTATCTGTAACTAACTGGCGCAGACACCACTTTGTTGTTATCTTGCAAAAACTGTCAAGCCTAAAGTCTGTGTCTTTTTTTATAAAAAGCAAATTAACAATGCAATCTTATACATTCATACTCGGAAGTCAATTCCATTGAGATTTGCAACTTGAATGGTTTTGCAAGCTTAGCAGTAAATTGTCGAATACTTATACAAATGTTTACTGGTAAAACACAGGTATAAACAGGATTTCTGGAAGTCCCATATTTCAAAGGGGTTCATTCCAATTTATGATACTATTGATTCTAAAGGCGATGTTTACCTACTTTAAACTTCCAAATAATGTGTTTATTTTTTAATTTAAATAATTTATTTACCACTTAACTACAATAGTCTCTAAGTGGTTCGCAAAGATACAATACAAAGAATAAAAATAAGTTAAAATTATAAAATCAAGCTTCAATTAAAATGCCTGCTGGAATAAAAAAGGCCTTCAGTTCAATAGGTGACTCTTTACTTGTTCAATAGGTGACTCTTTACTTGATGCCAGATCTCCAAAGTGTTTCCTTTTGTGAAGAGTTGGAGGCCTTTGAATCCCTCAGTTTGGAACAAATTGGTCACTCCCATAATGGGAGCTTGTAATGTCATGAGTGAGGCATATAGCGCTTATATGCAGGGAATACCTCTGAAACAATTTCAGGACTGAGACCTTGTAATAGGTGAAGGATGTATAGTTGCTGACTTGCAAACTACCATTTCCAAAGAGCCAGTCTCTTCTTCCAATTCAGTATTGTAAATATGTTGACATTTTCAATACTATCTTGATTACCTATTTAATGGCAGTTGTTAGTACTCTAATGACCTATTTGCTTCCATCAAAATGGTGGGGGCTGTGTGGTCTCACAAAACTATAGAGTGGAAAGCAGGTGAACATCAATTTGAAATTATTTTTAATGAATAGTGACATAATTAACAAAACGAAAAGAACAACAAATAAAAAACAAAACAAAAAGGACAACAGGCACTTGACATAAAACTCCTTATTGCAGCTCAAGGGGTTTCAGAGTAAGACACTCCTCCTTCAGGAGCTTGAAATGCTTGAGAGTTCTTAAAATTCAAGAACTCATTCTTAAATATAACGAGCTCAAGCTTGAAAAAATAGTACGTACAACCAGGGCTTTTTCCAGCCAGAACTCACTCAAACTCAGTTCCAGTTCCAGTACCTCTCAGGTGGGCTCCATTGCCATTCTAACGAAGGAGGTGTTCATGGTGAGCTTCAGCACCTCTTTTTCTAGAAAAATAGTACTGAGTACAACTTTGTTTATTTAATTCATAAAATTTATGCACTGCTTGACAGTTGAGGACCTCAACATGGTTGAATCTCTGCAATTTATAATCAAAGTGATACTACTTTGGATCAGTGTTTCTAAGTTTTACAGAAGTGCTTGTCAGGCATGATGAATACTCAGAACACTAAATGTGGAATCAACTCTTGCTTGTTAAACAAAATCAAATATGTTTTCCTGCAGAATCAATTCTAATGAAAAATGCAGCAAAAAGCTATCTCATTGGTGTTGTGCATCCCTTTGGTTTCAAACTTTTGCTATGAAGACAGATGCTCCTAATTTTCGAAATGGTTATTCTTCAGAAAGTCTTTCCAAAATTCATTATAAAGGTTGAGTAAAGGCATTTAAATTCATCTGAGTAGGCCTGGTGGCATGGCACATAAAATCAAATGTATCACTTCTTAAATTTTGATAAAGTACATTCCTTTCTATAGACAGTAATTTTTAAGGAGACTGATTTTAACCTATATCCCCCCCCCCAACAGTATATCATTTCCCACCCCTTTACTTTTTGAATGGTCAAAATGATTTATACCTGCTTAACCGGTCCTGTGTGACATAAATGGATGTTTAAAGCCTTTCACTTAAATTTATAACAGTTTTGCAGGTATCCCTATTTAACACTCAATTTAAGAAAACCTTTTTCCCCCTTTGTAAAAAATAAAATGGACTTATGGAAGACGTTTGAAGAAACAAGTAATAAACTTCCAGGAACATTGAAAATGTTACATTTTCTTTTGAAAAACAAGGCACTTTGGGGGTACCTCTTTCTCTTTGTATTTTGTGCATTTCCTCACTCTTATTCCCCCTTCCTTTTATCACCTTCTGCTAAAGCAATGCAACTTCATCCCTTGCCTGGGTGGGCTGATTATTATGGGAGTTTGGGGGAGGCTGCGAGGAGGGGAGAGAATGCAGGCTATGCTCATTGCTTAATAAATGTTGGGGCTCTTCTGAGTGTGAACTGTCTGTCATGCTAATTTTGTTGTCTGTTAGAAAGCCAATATCTCAAGTTAACCCATGTTTATTTGCCTATTCTAAATTTCAGTGAAGACTTTAGGTGGCGAGCGGTCGCAAGTAGCCTGTGCCTCGCCCCATTCTGCTGTCTATAAAGACAAAGCAGAACATCTTATTTATTTTCTTTTTTCTTCTTAAAAAAAAGTGGGTTCAAGTCCCATCACACCCATGGGCCTTTTCTTAAAATCCCCTCTTCAGCGAGGAACCATCAATACAATGCAAAGTGGAGTGTGTTGATCAGATTTTTTAAAAACGGAAGAAAAGAAAATGATTTCCCTTTTTGTTTCCCCCCAAAATATCTTCTCTCAGGTAAAGGTTGTGACAGGAAAGGATGGGCAGACTGGTACTCCTGTTGCTATAGCAACCCAGCTTCCTCCAAATGTTTCTGCTGCTTTTTCATCCCAGCAGCAACCATTTCAGGTACTTTTTCAATGGTTCTAAACTTGTAGTTTCATCCCAAGTGATTATTACTATTCCTTTTTTTCTCATTCAGATTTGGTATTTGAAAATAGAACCTGCATTTCCCCACCCCACTCCCTGAGAGCCCATCCCTTTTCATCTAAAAAACAGAAATGAATAGTAAAACCTCTTAAAATTTCAGATGCATGAGTGTTTACGGAGCTTTGAGGAAGTTACTTTTCCCCACCTCTTGTTTCAAAGTTGCTGGCTTATTTCATTAACTTTCAGCTTTTGATGTGTTCCGCTTTGGTTTGCTTGTCTTTGGTTCCCTTGTGCGTTCTGCCTAGTAACAGTGTGGGTCTCTGTGTCTGTGGACTATGACTGTGGATTCTTTCTAAAATTCTGTTCTCTCTCTCCTCCCCCTTTTGTCCTTGATTTTGAAGGTTTTTGAATACAGATACAAAAAAGGGGCAGAACTGCCACTGCACCTTTTCTCTTTCTGATGCAATTTAAATTACCACACTTTACAAATGCATAATAAAATACCTTGCTGTTTAATAGTCAAATGTATGCACAACAGACCTTATGAATTGCTGGATTAAATTGTGGGTGCCAGAAAATAGAGTGAAAGAGTTATCATGCCCTGCGCTGAAGGGTTGTGCTCAAAATAATGGTCTGGTTCAGATGTAATGTAATCATGTAAAACCATGATTGATTGTAAGGTTAGAGAGCCTAACTCGCATACTATTTTTCTCTCTTTTTCTCCTGAGAGGAGGACAGCTTCTGCTTTGAACTAAGCACAGTTGTGGGACCTCCTGTGGTCTGCTATAACTATAGCTTGTTCTTCACAAACAAGCTGTGGTTTGGTATCTTGGTTTGTTAACTAACTGCAGTTAGAGCAAACCATAGCTCTCTGAGTTCAGAAATAATGGAATTGTGGCTTAGTTCAAAACTGGAAGGTTTTGATCATAGGAACATAGGAAGCTGCTTTATACTGAGTCATGTCACTGGTCCATCTAGCTCAGTATTGTTTACAGTGATGGGCAGCATCTCTCCTGGGTTCCAGGCAGAGAAACGGGGAAGACATAGGTCTGACCCTTTGGCCAGCTCATTCTAATAAAGACAAATTAGCTTTTTTTTGGTTCTTAAGCAGGCCATTATGACAGACTAGGGTGCCTCCTAGGCAGAAAGGCATTTCAAAATATTGTGTACAGAAAATGTCATCTACAATTAGTGTGTGGGACATTACTTTAATGATATTTTAGTTGCATATATTCAAATGTTAAGAACTTGTTTTGTGTTCCACACTTTATTTGGTATTACAATTCCTTTTATTATTTTGTTCTAAACTATATCTTTATGGCAAGCATCAATTCTTTACACAGGGTGAGGTTTTCCCCCATCCTTACCTGATATATCATATGTGCATCAGGTATTACCTCCTTTGTAAACAAAACGAAACAGAAACCTAATGTCTACAAGTATATCTCAATCTGTAAATCTAAATTTATGTAAATCTAAATTTCATATTTACCTAAAGTGTACATTTTAAAAAATTGCTACCTCTATTATAGTTATAGTTACAATTCTGAAGCCATTTGGTGGACCTTGATGAAACTCTCCAGCCTTAGGCTGTTATGCCAACACACTAATGCCAACACACACATTCAAAACAGAATTCAAAGTAGGAGTTGCTTCCAAATAAATGTGCTTAGGTACTGGTGCTAATGGTAATGGTAATACGTACACAGTTTGTAGCAATGTTAGATCATATTCTTAGACACTCTTACCTGGGAATGAAGCTACAGTCCCACATCCCTTTATTTGTGAGTAAGCCCCTTAATTCAGACTTACCTCTGAGTAGACATGTGTAGTGTTGCACTGTTAGTTGGGTTCTTTCCATTTAACATTTTACGCTATATTGACATGTCCATTGAAATCTAGATGAGCTCTCCGACGGCAGCAGTCTAATGACCTGTTTGCTCCCATCAAGACAGTGGTGGCTATGCAGCTTCAGAGAACGAGAGACACTGACTACATGAGCAGATATCTGCCCAGCCTCCTGCCCTCCAAGCGTTTTGTACTACAACTCCCATCAGCCCCAGCCAACATAGGCATGTTCAGGGGTGATGGAAGTTGTAGTCTGAAACATCTGAAGGGCACCAGGTTGGGGGGAACCAATGGGGGAGGCTTCTTCTCCTGCCAGGGGGAACTACAAGCCCTCCCTCCACTCAACAGGCCTATAATAATGATGGACTTTTTGCCCTTGTATGGTGATTGGATTAATGAATCACTTTTGCTGGTACCCACTTCGTTTTCAGATTTCTGCCTCCAGTATCTTGAGGATTGGTCTGTCCTAGCATTGTTGTTTCTTGCATACATTGGCATCTACTGTTTTGGGGAAATTGGATGGTCCCTGTGAACTGGGGGTGATGGGAAGGGCACAGAATCTTGGTGGGATTGGTTGTAGCATTGAAAGCACCAAATTCTTGGTGTCTCCATGCGTGAAGCAAAAAAGGTTATGATTTCATTCCAGGATCAAGCAAATGAAGGTTTTCAGCTGTGGGGGATGAAGCCTTTACCTTAACTTTGCTTTGTTAGGAAAGAAAGAGAGAAAGCTGCATAGATTTCCCTTTCTGTAGCGCTACCTGTGTCATATAAAAATGAATATTCTTTGTAAAATAGATTCAAAATCATCTTTAATAACAATCATTGAAAGCTAAGAGGTAAGTATATTGGAGTTGCTTTACATTCCTTCATTATAGACATGTTTTAAAAAATGGCCAGCAGCTCTTGGACAGATTTTCCCCTAGATTTTCTCATGCACCATTTTTCTTATTTAAAGAAGGGTTCGTGTATATAAGGTTCTGTCAAAGAAGTTGAGGATTTAATTGAATTCTGACTGCTCTGTTTTTGTTTTATAATAGCAGGCGCATGCAGGGACTCCAGTAACAGGAACTGTGAATACCATAGAAATTGAAGCTTTTAAGAGACAACAGGCACTTACATCAGCAGGTATGGTTCCTTTCAGTGGAACTTTGATCATCCCTTTCGGCTGTTAACACCAGGACCATCTTAAATCTAGTGCTTACTTTTTAAAAAGCGTGCTTCAGTGTGACCATGTGGCCTGTTCGTTGCGATGGGAGTTTTGGCTTATGCCATGTGCTCCTCCCACAGCCAGTAAGCTGGATTTCACATGGGCATGGTGTGCATTTGAGCCAACTACTGCCCTGATGCTGTACTTTTCCACAGTAGAGCCGTAGATAAACAGAAAGCCGAATTTAAAACTCACGGGGCATCTTTTTAAAACACTGTAACCTGAACCCCTTCCACTATACCCTGCCGTAAATGGAATTTGAATATCACCAGATTCGTCTAAGAGACCCCGAATTGAAGTGGGCCGTCATGGGATGGTTTTTCAGCATCCAGGTGTGACTTCAGGAGTCCCTCTTCAACAACTCATGCCAACAGCACAAGGTACTGTGTTGCCACATGCCAACCGCAAATTAATTTAGCAAGGGGGGGCATTGGCACCAGAAGCAGAAACCTCACAAAACACAGCCTTTCTGATCTCTGGTTCTGCCCTATGCTTTCCCCTTGTAAATTAATATTTGGTGTGAAATGCCTCGTTCCCTTTGAAGGAGCTGAGTGGTAGGCTCCAGTAGTGCATGTGGGCCTGGAAAATGGCCACGCGAGTTGATGCGGAATCATTCACTTGGGAGTTTTCCAGTTTGCAAGAAGGGTGGTTCTCTTTTAGACGTTTTTCATTTTAATTCCACATTAGTTCTTGCATTTGTGTGTATTTTGTTTTGTTTTTGCTTACAATTAACCGTGTCAACAACATTTTAAGACCATAGGACATGTAGGTGACCATTTAAAAAAGTTGTTCGTGTTGTGTTGTGTGTACGTGACTCATGATTGGAAAAAACCATAAGATTTTGTGCATGGTAGATTGATGTTGACCGAATTTCTTACTGCGGTTCACCAATGCTAATCTTACTTTAAGTGATGCTGTAAGTGTGTCAAAGTAAGTACAGTTGTACCTCTGCTTACGTATCCCTCCGCTTATGTAAACTTCAGGATACGTAAGTGGCAAGCCTGGAAGTATATTTCTGAATTTTTGCCGCATGCGCAGAAGCGGTCTCTCCGGTTGCAGAAACCTTAGGATCTGACCGGAGCTCCGGAACGGATCCCTTCCGCAACCGGAGGTACCACTGTGAAGAGTTAACTTTTATCTCCTTGACATGCTCTGGTGTCCTACAAGTCCAAAAGCCTTGGCTTGTGTAATTCAGCTCTTTCCATTTTTCTTCTTGCTTGCAGGTGGAATGCCTCCCACCCCTCAAGTGGTACAGCTCACTGGGCAGAAGCAGAGCCAGCAACAGTATGACCCCTCCAAAGGGCCTCCTGTGCAGAATGCGGCAAGTCTCCACACTCCTCCGCCTCAGCTGCCTGGGAGGCTGCAGTCAAGCAATGTCCCCCTCCCACCTCTCCCAGCGACCCTGCAGCTTACGCAGCCGCCACAGCCGCCGATCACAGACTCTCTGGCGCAACCTCAGATTCACGTGAAGGCCCAGCCGCAAAGCGTATCCGTTGCCGCTGCCGTGCCGCATGGCCAAGTTCAAGTGCCACTTCAGCAGCAGGTTCAGTCAGCGGCACTTGTACAAGGGCAGATAACAGCCCAGGTATCCCAAGCACAAGCTCCAGCACAGCAACAGGTATTTGGGCAGGAGCATGTGAAAATGTAGCCTTGGTGAAAAGTCTATCCAAAATGTTTATTTATCTTATTTATCTGTCTATACGTGCAATCTCAGGAACTCCAGCCTGCACTTCTACAGGCACCACACTGTTTCCATTCTGCATTTGCAAGAAGTCATTCCTTTGGTGTGGTAGCATCTGTACTTTGCAACTCCCTGCCTGTTGATATCAGGCAGGTACCATCACTGTATTCCTTTAGACTCACCTGTTGAAAAAACATTCTCTTTCAGCAGGCCTGTTAGACACATGATTTTTTTAAAAATCAGATGTTTTATTGTGTTGTTTTTAGACTTTTTTTACAACTTTAAAATGTTTCAAATGTGTTATCATTTCATTTTTTGCTGCCCTGAACCAAGGGCTGCATATAACTTGAGTGAATACATGGAAAAGTAAGGGGCTGGCAGGTCCCGTCTAGAAATACATAACTGGCCAGTCAAATGTGTGTTTTGCAGCTGACCAGCTTGTTCCTTTTTATGGAGGGTAAGCAGTCATGCAAACAGGCTTCAACACAGGGGTACCACTAACAGAATTATTTTCTATTCAAGTGTGATACCAGGATACCAGGGTGCACACATGTGGAAATGCCTTCTTAAAAATACATGCAAGATGGGCAGCTGATCATTTTCCAGTCACTGCTCACATCAGGAGAGAAGCAGCTAGAATGCACAGGCATTCATTTCGGATACACGACTTGCATACTTTGTTCTTACACATCGTAACCAATGCCTATCTAGGTGCTCATAGGTGGTCTAGATTTGAACATTCCTTGTGGTTTCCTTCCCCCCCGCCAGGTGAAAGCTGAAGTTAGAATGAGGAGATTTATTGGGGGGGGGGTGTAACTGACATTGTCTCCCAACACTCCCCTGCTTTTCATGTTTTATGGTTACAGTTGCAGTTGTTAGAATCCAAACCATGTAGTATGAACCCCTGAATTGGCAGAGAGTTTCAGTTGGCATGCTTACTGCAACTTAAAAAGCTATAAATGAATAAATTCATGAGAACAAACATCTTTAAGGTGAATTGACATTTGATGTTTTATCTTTTATATTCTGCTGGATACTGCCCAGGGTGGCTGGGGAAACCCAGCCAGATGCGCAGGGTATAAATAAAATGATGATGATGATACTGCTACTACTACTACTACTAATAATAATAATTTGTGTTACTTACATGTGTATATTTGTGTACCCAGAGTGAGGCTAATCAAGATTAAGGATGTCTCAGTTCTCAGTGGCTTCTATTGACTTCCATAGAACAAGGAAAATGGATGTGATGGGTGCTGCTTTTAGGGATGATGAATGCAAAGGCTACCCTCAGTTTCTGACATTGGGTGACATGGCCTTTACTTGTAGGTAAACTGTAGCTCTTCAAGCTTGGGATGGCACTTGCTTGTTTGCTCATCTTTGCAGTACAAAGGCATCGCACCAGGCACCTCACAGGCTAAAACAGCTGGTGTTTCCTATGTGCTGTTGTAACTGGCTACAGTAGTATTTTCTTTGAAACAGCCTGGTTTGCATAATTAGGCCAATATTTGGTCGGTGTGTCTTTGTATCATACTGTATTACAAATGGCAGCAGTGTCTCACTGCTGAACCCCTTTCACTTGGTCTTTTTAACATGGATGTGTGCCTTTCACAGGCAGTGACCCCAGCGCGACCTTCGGCAGACACCGTCCAAAATTCCCAGCGTCTTCCAGCAAGTGTGCTTCCTCCTACCTCATCCAACCCACCAGCAACTGTTTCCAGCGTGGCACCACAGCCCACTTACCCGACACAAACCAGTCGAACTTCGCCGGCGACAAATAAAGCAACTTCTCCTATTGCTTCCAAGCCCCCAGGCTTGGCTGTGACAGCAGCACCAAAGATTCAGAGTCCGGCTCAAAATACAACAGTTCTAGCACAGGACAGCTCCCAAGAGAAGCTGGCAGAACAAGTTAAGCTGGTAAGAAAACCCACCGCACAATCCGATGCCAGAATTCCCAGTATGCACACAGATTATTCATTTTTTTAAAAAAGAGAAGCTTTGAGGTGATGGCTGGATTCTTTTGCTGCTGCTTGAGAATATTTGCAATATCATCTGCCTTACGATTAGCGGCAATGAACAAGGAGACCCTTTGTTAGCGTTGTTGAGTTTCTCAGAACAACCTTCCCTGATTGCAGATCAAAAGCAGAACTTGGGTTTGTCCTCTAGCCGTGATTTGATTCCAGACAGTTGCAACGGTTTCTTTTACCATCCCAGTTAGACATAGTTCAGGAAAGATTACTTTAGGTGCCTCTCTTTCCACAGGTTTCCTGATCTTTCAGATAGCAGCTAACCACAGGGCACCCATCTCAATCCTGATAAACTGATAAGTCACCACAGATGCCAGTCTGATGGGATGGGGCATAAACTGCCTAGATCTTGCAGTGTGGGAGGTGTGTTCTTTCTAGGTATCCAGACATAGCATCAGCTGACTGGAAGTCAGAGCAATGAATCTTGGCCTATGTGCCTTTAAACCCTTTCTCTACTAATGCCATGTCCTGGTGAGGATAGACAATATAACAACCAAGGCCTGTGTGAACAGACAGCAATACCCAGGCCCAACACCCTAAGCATCCAGACCGAATCCCTTCTCATCTGAACAGAGGCCAACCTGTTGCCCGTCTTGGCACAGCTCATAGGACAAATTTTATTACTTGAATTTCTAAACTATGGATCTGGGAAAGTGGGCCTTGTCTCAAGAGGTACTTCAAGTGTGCTTCTGCCCTCCTCTCTTGAATTTTTTTTGCATCTCCAGAAAATGCAAAACCACCTTACGTTCCTATGGTACCTTTTCATTTGAGCAGAGAGCATAGATGTGTTTCACTCTACTGGGCTGAGGGGCCTCCTGTATGTCTTTATTCCCATCCTCTCCGCCTGTCCAGAGTGCTGAGAGAAAAAAAGGTGGAAAGGGCTACTCTGTGTTTCTGGTTGCCCCTCAATGACTGAGGAGGCCTTAGATTTCAGAAATCTCTGTGAGTGTGACATCTCCCCCAGTCCCACTTTACTAGGGTCCGGTACTGCTCCCAGATCCTAGCTGGCTGCATCCTGGTGACTGAATAGTAGGCTCTCCTCAATTTTGGAGGTGTAGCCTGTGGAATATATGAGACAACCTGGAAGGCCTTCATAAGGTGCTTCTGCTGATAAAGCCTAGACTACTAAGATCTCTTCAGGGTGGCCTGGACCAGGGACTTGAGCCCAACAGCCTATACAAGCAGGCTTCATCTCCCTCTTCCGTACTGTGAAATAAAGGAATCCAGCCACATTTACAACCCTCATGTAGTCCATAGGTTATCTTGGAGTCTTCTGAGAGTCTTCTGAAGCTCTCACATTCATTTTCTTTGAACCTGATAAGGAGGTGCCACTTAACTACTTACTTTGAAGGTAGCTTTTCTGGTGGCCAATAATTGCAGCTCACAGAATATCTGAACTGGGGGTCCTATCCGTGAGTAGTCTACACTGACGGAGCCATCCTGTGGATGTATTCCTGAGGTGACCTCAGCCATCCATTTTGTGTAGGAGCTGATTCTTCCATATATTGACCTGATACGTCATAAAGCTTAACATTACAGTGTATTCCCTACTTTTCCTGGGCAGAAGGATTACTTAACCCATTACCTACTGAAAGTGTTCAATCCAAAACAGAAAGGTCATTCATGACAGGTGCCCATTGTGCCTTTTTATTTAAGTGGGCCTTTTAATCCAACTTGTTTCCATTCAGTGAGCTGTAACCCCTCCACCCCCTGAAATATATTACATGACAATGCTTCAGGTAGCTGAATTACCTTTTCACCTGTTGCTGTTGATGTTTTCTTTGGCCTATTGGAAGTACAATTTATTTCCAACAACACCCATTTTTATTGCTTGCTTGCTTCAATAAGGAAAACCAAGTCCATCAACGAATAGCAGAGCTGAGGAAGGAAGGTTTGTGGTCTCTGAGACGGCTGCCCAAACTTCAAGAGGCTCCCCGACCCAAATCTCAGTGGGATTATCTCCTGGAAGAAATGCAGTGGATGGCAACAGACTTTGCTCAAGAAAGGAGGTGGAAGATGGCCACTGCTAAGAAGGTATTGTTGTGTTTCATTTGTACTGTATTGGCGAAATGTTGTTGTTAATTAAATTTATGTACCTCCCTTCATCTAAAGATCACAGGGCACATTACAACATAAAAACTCAAAATAAAACCACAAACTACTTAACATTATAACCAAAACAATAACACCCCCAGACACATTTAAAAGGCCATAGATCGGGGTCGGCAAGTTTTTGTGGCTTGGGCTGGTTCCCGTTCCCGCAGATGCTGCGGTGGGCCAGAGTGTGTGCATGCGCAAATGCTATTTCCGTTGCTCCTTCCGGCACAGAGGAGGTGTGTACAGCTTCCCATTGACTGAAGGAGCTTCCTGCAGCCAATGGGAAGCTGACAAGCATCGCGGAAGGTGGTCTCTGCTCTGCTCCACGCTGGTTTAGCGCAGCGCACGGGAGCCGACCGAGTGGGAGTCCATGGGCCGGTTAAACGACCCCCATGGGCCTCAGGCTGCCAACCCCTGCCGTAGATTGTTTAATCAACCAAAGGCCTGGTTGAAGAGGAACTTCTTTGCCTGGTGCCTAAGGAGATGTAATGCAGGCATCAGGCGAGCCTCCCTGGGAAAAGCATTCCACAAATGGGGTCTCCACCACATGTCTTCTCATGGAGTGGGCACACGAAGAAGGATCTTGGGTGATGATCACAGAGTATGGGTTGGTTCATATGGGGAGAGGCGATCCTTGAGGTATTGCAGTCCCGATCAGTTTTAAGGCTTTATAGGTCAAAACCAGCACTTGGAATTAGGCCCGGAAACTGATTGGCAGCCAGTTCAGTCAGGTCAGGATTGGTGTTATTTGCTCAAACTGTCTTGTGCCAGTGAGCAACCCGGCCTCTGGCCTTCTCAGTAGCTGTTTCCAGACTTAGGAACTTTCTCCCTAGAGCAGCTATAGACTGATTCAATCCTTACTTTTCCTTCTGCTGGCTGGTGAAGACTTACTTGTTTCAACAGGCTTTAGGGAACTGACTGCTTTTAATGAAAGTGCCGGTGCCATGCTGCTTTTTCGTAATTATTGATATGGTTTTAATAGATTTTTTAAGTATGTATATAGTTTTCAATTTATCAGTGTTTAATTGCTTTTTAACTATTTTTTTTTTACTACGTTTTTAGAGGTTCTTATTTTTATCTGTAAGCTGCCTCAAGTCCCATCAGGAAAAATAATAATGGTAATAGTAGTAGTAGTAGTAGTAGTAGTAGTAGTAATAATAATAATAAATTTGCGCCAGCGTTGGTTTCCAAACCATCTTCAGAGGCAGCCACATGCATAACATGTTGCAGTAATCTAACCTAGAGGTTACCAGAGCATAGACAACAGAAGTTAGGCTATCCCTGCCCAGTAGGGGTGCAGCTGGGCCACCAGCTAAAGCTGATGGAAGGCACTCTGTGCCACCAAGGCCACCTGAGCCTCAAGTGACAGCATTGGATCCAACCTCTACAGCTAGAATAGGAATAGGCAAGTTCTGTTCTGAGGGACTGCACTGTTTCCAGACTATAGGCATGGTGGCTCTTTTGCCTCGCAAATTTAGGTTTTCTGTTTTTTATTTTCTTAAAATTTCTCCTGTGCTTGAGTATAATGGAGGTTTTCCTTCCTGGTTGTGATATTGAAATTCCTGGTCTCCCCTAACAAATGGTTAATACGATTGTTGTTAATATGGCGTGTAAGCCCTCAAATGGCTTTTGTTAACAAAGAGCAAAGCCTGCAGTAAGCTCTTAATGCTGGGAAAGCTTAAGTGACAAGGAGGGCTCAGTGTCCTCCATGCTAGGGAGTTTCTGTTTCAATTTCAGAAGTAACAGTGAAAACCTAGTTTTGGTTTATCTGCATCCTGTTACGCTTGACAAAGTCTAATTCCTTTTCCAGAAATTTCCTGTTTCTGCCTTCACTTGGCAGTTTGCTTTTCAGTCCCACAAAAGTGGAGCCCATAACCCACCCCCCGTCTACATGAAAGCTCCCAGGTTCAGTCCCTGACATTGCCAGTTTAATATATTGGGTAGCAGGTGCTGTGAAAACCTTTTGCTTGGGACTCTGGAGAGCCACTGCCAGCCACAGAAAACCAGCTTTCCTCAATTTGGTGCTCTCCAGATGTTGTTGCACTCTGGGCTCCCATCAGTCCCAGTCACTGTGGCTAATGGTCAGGAGTGATGAGAGCTGTGGCTCAACAACATCTGGAGGGCACCAGGTTAGGAAATTCTGGAGCAGACAGTACTGAAATGGATGAACAAATAGGCTAACCTGCAATACAGCAGTTTTCCTGGAAGCTGGCTACTCGATAATTACATATGCTAAAATGGCCGTACACATAGTTGTAAAAAACAAAAGTTTATTGGCATGGAAGAATCCTTTCTCATTGTCATTGTCATTTTTATTAGATGGTCCGGACTGTGGCTCGATACCATGAAGAAAAGAAGCTTAATGAAGAGAGGGCCAGGAAAGAAGAACAGAACAAGCTGAGGCGCATTGCTGCGACGATCGCAAGAGAAATAGAGTATTTCTGGTCTAATATTGAGCAGGTAGTGCTTTCCTTTTCCTTTGCCACTCAGCAGTCAAGCGGTATTGGTTTTTAAAGCCTTATGCCACAATCCTTCAAAATAAAACCTTGCGTGGAAATAAGTCCTGTTGTGAACCCAGTGAAACTTAACTTCTGAGTAGACATGCAGTATATATTGTGTTGCACGTCATGTTTAATTATTTGTTTAAAATATCAAATACTTCATTTAAAGCATTTTAACCTCCTATTTGAAGGCTCTTTGAGTGGCTTCCAGCGATTAGCAGTCTCTTTTACCACCTTGGCTCTCTTAAATCTTCTCCATATCTTGTTGTTTTTTTCACTGCCTCCTGAAGGGGGGGAGCAGAGTGAGCTGCTGGCAGCTGCTCCCTTGCTGGTGTGGAGGGTTGCAGTATATAGAGGAGTACAAGTAAAAATCGGATGCCCTGAATTGTAGGATACAACCGCCTTATCTCCGCTAAGATAGTTTTAAGGTCTTCAATGTTAGCTGATGGTTCTGTCTGTCACATTTCATACCCACCTTTAGGTTGTGGAAATAAAGCTTCAGATTGAATTTCAAGAGAAAAGGAGAAAAGCGTTAAATTTAAAGCGACGACATTCCAGGAGAGGTAAGAATTGCTACTTTTGGATTGCTTTCTGCAAACGAGGCCGCTGCATAAATTGCAGGATGTGTGTTGTTGCTCAAAGATAGAATGCCCGCTGATAACTACGGTAGTATACTGAGAATGGTGTAAATACCTTTGCATTCTGCAGTACATCTGGAGATGCCTTAACTAAACAGCTACCCTAATCTGCTTGCTCTCCATGCTGTTCCTACTAGTGCTGCCTTAATCTTTGTTTATTAAAGGGTTAAAAAAATTTTTTAATACAAACTTTACAGGACAGGCAATGCTAAGTGTTTCCCTTACATTGCAAGTTATAGACAGTTTTTTATTCTTCTATATTTGCTTAAAGATTTTATATTTCTTGTATTTGCATTGAGAATTGCGAAAGGTTCACAATGAACCCTATGGTCTCTCAACGAATAGTCACCTGTTCTTCTTTACTGTGCAAGAGTACGTAGCATTGGGTCCTTTCTCTTTCTATGTATTTATTTTCCCCTTGTTTCTAGGAAATATAAATGTTAGGCTAATAAATGCAGGAAGTGTTTAGTGACTTATAAGAGGCATAACACCTAACAATTTTACAGGTAAAGATGCAAGACATTTAGAAGATATTCTTATGGACAAAGAAACAGACGTGGTAAGATTATCTATAGGTTAATGGCTTTTGCAAATAGCAAAGTATATCATGGAGTCCCCTAACTAAATCCCATGGGATGTCAGGTGACACAGTTTTTGTACACTGTTTCCCTAGCGCTGACAATCAGCTGATCGTCAGTGCTAAGGAAGCCCTGCGCACAACCCTTCTCACCCAAACCCGACCTTTACCTGGCCTGCATCTGATCATATACAGTGTCAAGTGTAGGGCAGGTGAAACAGTCTTGCAGGAGTCCTGGTGGGCCTCCTTAGGCCTGCAGGTGAGTGGTTTTCCAACTCTGATTTATAGAGAGAGGCCCATATAGAAATGTATCTTTTTCCCGTCCTCTTGACCCATAGAAGCAATGTGTTTCAATAGCTTGGTTAAGATCCTCACAAAGTTTTATTTGGAATAGTGAAATGTAGCAAGAAGCAAGAGCTATGTCGATGTCTCTCTTAGTTTTCCAGCTGCCAGTCATGGCATAAAGTTGGCACACTTTATGGATGGGGCTTGGATCTTACAAATACAAGGAAATATGCCTGAGTTGTAGGAATCTTTTGTCTTCCCTTTGATGAAATTAGCAGGAAGAAGTAATTGCATTTTGACTTTAAACTTAGGGACCCTTGTTTCAAACAGGAAGTGTTAGGTAGAGGTCTCCTCTAGATATTACTGTGTGTGGCATGTATACCCTTGCTGCTTTTAAAATTTATTGGAAACATTTATATGTATTTTCAGGGGCCATGGACATCTGGAAGAAAAAGAAAGGCAAGCACTTCATTGACAGATGATGAAGGTTGGTCACTTAATATACAGTGGTACCTCGGTATACGAACTTAATCCGTTCCTTAAGTCCGTCCTTAAACCAAATCCATTCTTAAACCGAGGCACGCTTTCCCTATTGAGGCCTCCCGCCGCCGGTGCCCTTCCACTGTTCAGCTTCCATTCATAGACTGAGGTAAAGTTTGCAAACCAGAGCACTACTTCCGGTTTTGTGGAGTTCGTAAACTGAATAGTTTGTAAACAGGACTGTTCGTAAACTGAGGTACCACTGTAGTAATTTACAGCTCTACTGTTTTAATCTCAGCTGATCTCACCCATTTCTCTGTAAATCTGATAAAACTGATGGGGCCTGCAGAAAATGGTGAGGTGTGGAAAGCTCCTGTTCATGATGCTCCATTGCATCCCCCTTATCTCTAGGTTCCCCACCAGGTCAGTCAGAATTCTGTGGCTACTGAGCACGCTCAGTGCTCACTGGGCTCTTGTAGGGGATGGGGATTGTCACCTCAAGGTATTCTTCCTAAAGATTTGTTGGTACTTCTGCAAACCTCGTGAGTTCCCTGACCCTGTCAATGCCTCCCACTTGTCCATGGATGGTGCCATTTTGACTTTGTAAAGGATTGGAACTCACATAGCTGCCTTTCAGCCATGCAGTTCCCAAGGGTGGCTTAGAATAATTTAAATTGCTCTCACAATGGAAAAACCACACCAGAAACCCAAAGGAATTAGTGAATTTTTAGAGTGGAAAGAGAGGGAGAGAAAAGTACAGCTTAAAAATACAGAAATCTGTTAAATGCCACAAAATTACTGGTTTGGAAACTTCAAGCGGTGCAGAATTCAGCGGCTAGTTTGCTCACTGGGGCAAGATGGTTTGACCATATAACTGGCTCTGCTGCGCTGGCTGCCAATTAGTTTCTGGGCCCAACTCAAAGTGTTGGTTTTGACCTCTAAAGCCTTAAACGGCTCAGGACTGCAATACCTCAAGGACCATCTCTGCCCATATGAATTGACCTGGACCCTGTGATTATACTCTGGTCCTTCTACACGTGCCCTCTCCACGAGAGAATGGGTGGTGGCTCCCCATTGTGGAATGCTTTCCTCAAGGAGGCTTGCCTGTCACCTTCACTACATCTCCTTAGGCGCCAGGCGGAAACGTTCCACTTCAAACAGGTGGAACAATCTATGGCCTTTTAAACGGTGTGTGTGTGTGTGTGTGTGTGTGTGTGTGTGTGTGTGTGTTATTGTTTTGTTTGTTGTTATGGTATGTGGTTTTTGTGTTTTTCTATTTTAAACTGCCCTGGGATCTTTGGCTGAAGGGTGGTGTATAAATTTAATTAGATGATGATGTAGTAGTATGTAGAATATGACCATGAAGAAGGTTTTGTCATGTCTGGTAGCTGCCTGCCTCATCTTTGAAGGCACGAAGTCCTGGAACAGGTCCTCGAGTGAAAATCTTGATCCAGGTGTCCTCACCCTTTTTGGGGCCTGGTGGCACATTACGAAATAATGAGAAACTGTTATAGGCACCACATAGTGCCCATTTCACTTAAAGGAATACTGGTCATGCTCAGAGAGACACCCCTCAGCAGGCAAGTTACCACATGTGCTCCCCCACATAAGCGCAGGCAACTCCCTTTGCAGCAGCTAGCTCCTCTGAAACAAACCAACAATATACACACTACTGCTGCATTCATAATAAAAATAAATAAAAATAGGCATACGCAAAAAGCAGGAAGCATCCTGTAATGAGTATGGGTTGCTTGTGCGTAAGTTGCCGCCTCTCCTGGCTATGTTGCCTGGTTAAACCTTTCTGTCTGGACAGCCCTTTACTTCGTGGCTGCCTCAGTCGCTAGCAGAATCCGTCAGTGGGCGTTTCTTAAACCTTTTCCAACATAAAAGTTGTTTGACGCCAAGTCTCCTCGTACTCTCCCTGCGTGGAAGTCTTCTGCGCAGGGAGGGCGTGGGTAGCGGAGGACCCGTGCTCTCCCCACTGGTGTCCGGTGAAGAGTCCTGGAGCCATCTCGCCGATTCCCCCATCTGCCCCCCTTTATCCCGGGTGTTGCGCTGATTTGCTTCCCAATCTGCTGAGCTGCCTCTCTCCTGCTGGGCCCTTCTCCAGCATCATTTGAGAGCCTTTCCTCCGCCTCTAGCTCCGATGTCAGTTCCCTGACACATCCCTTCTCAAAAAGCAGCAAACAAAAGGTCAGGGGAAAAGCCACACCCTATTTTTGCCTCCATTTCTCAAACTTACTGGGTAATGGCACCTTTACCAGGAGTTTCAGCAGGAGTGTGGAAAGCTCAGATTCCTCTCCAGCTGCCCCACTCTCTCCCTTTCCTTTTAAATACGTGAAGGGAAGAAGGCAGGGCAGCTTAGAAGAAGAAGAGTTTGGATTTGATATCCCGCTTTATCACTACCCGAAGGAGTCTCAAAGCGGCTAACATTCTCCTTTCCCTTCCTCCCCCACAACAAACACTCTGTGAGGTGAGTGAGGCTGAGAGACGTCAGAGAAGTATGACTAACCCAAGGTCACCCAGCAGCTGCATGTGGAGGAGCAGAGACGCGAACCCGATCTCCAGATTACAAGTCTATCGCTCTTAACCACTACACCGCACTGGCTACATATTGTTTTCCAGCCAGTCCAGTTGTTGCCCAAGTTTAAAAATAAAAAAGTTCCAAACTTTAAAAGGTTTCAGACTTAAAGAGAATATCAGCATCTTAGCTGGTGCTAAGGGTAAGTGTGTGTACATATCTGGGGGTGCCGTGGGGACCCCAGCTCTTGGAGTTGGAGTCTACAAGAGATGCTTAGGTGCATGTATTATGAATGGGTGTATCTTTAGCACTATGTTTGATTTTTAGTTCTTTTTACACGGGCAGGGTGGGAAGGCTATATACTGTAATGCTAAAGGTGACAAGCTGAATCTTTCGCCAGCACCATGCAGCTTCCTACACTCAACTTGATACATTGAATTTGTGTTGTCTTCTAGTTGAAGATGAAGAGGAAACCATCGAAGAGCAGGAAGCTAAAGAAGGCAATGTCAATCATCAAAGTGAGCTATCCACTTTGGCAAAGGAAGGTGAGTCCAAAGACTTCTGAATAGCATTTCCACTGAATGACTGAGAATATATGCCTGGAATATATGCCTGAGAATATATCCCTTTCTCTTTGCATGCTGCTTTCAGCCTTAGGTAAAGGTAAAGGTACCCCTGCCCATACGGGCCAGTCGTGTCCGACTCTAGGGTTGTGCGCCCATCTCACTTAAGAGGCCGGGGGCCAGCGCTGTCCGGAGACACTTCCGGGTCACGTGGCCAGCGTGACGAAGCTGCTCTGGCGAGCCAGAACCAGCGCAGCACACGGAAACGCCATTTACGCTTTCAGCCTTAGCATCACTGATATTCTTGTTGACTTCTTATATATTTGGAGAGGTGGTAGGCTAGACTCTTGGAGTTCAAAACGCTTTCCAATTCATATGTTGGAACATGGCACAGATAAGAAATGCATGATGGTCTGGTTCACACATAGCGAATGGTTTACTGTGAACACGCTGATCTTTATGTTGTTTCATTCCTCCCTGCTAGTGCACGGGGAAACAAACCACAATCCTTGGCTTAGTCTTCCATCTGTACCAGTGAATTCTGGTTTGTTTTGCTCCAAACAAATCATGGCTGGCAAACCAAGAACAAACCTTGACTTATCACTATGGTTTGTTTTGAGTGAAACAAGCCATAACCTCTGGTTTGGTCATAATGCTAAGTTATTGTGTGTGTAACGAAGGAGGTTAGTCCGGATCAGGAGTCTTTCTCTCTACCCTCCCCCTCCGCTTCCCATCATCCATAGATGCTCCTTGGTTAGACTTGGTCATACCATACTACTCCGTATTGGTTTGAGCACTTATGAGACCAGCTGTGGAAGGAGCATGGAGATCCATTTGGAAAAAACCAAAAACTCGAGAGGTGATAGGGAAGGAGTGGCGTGACATAATGCCCCTGTAGCTGAGAAAAAGAAATTCAGAAGGAGGCTGAACCACCTTCCCCCTGGTCAGACTCTGCATCTGTGAATGAGTCCTCTTTTTCCTCTCCCAGGCCTCCCAATGTCTGTGGGAACTCTGCTCTCTGGTGAGCCTGGGCATTTAACCTCATTTGTGATCTTAATTAAATTGAAACTTGAGAATGCAGACAAAAAAAAAAGTCTTTTCTGCTCTAGAAACGAATACCTTCCAAAATGACCCTCCATCCATCTGTGAAACATTTTTTAAAAGTGCTCTGTTGATGTTAACATGAAAGCCTTGCGTGGATGTTAATTAGGAAGTACCCTTTTAAAAATAACATTGTCCTGTCTAAAATGGTTTTCATCGTGCTCTGCTTTGGTGCTAAGTAACTGCAACGGCATCACACTTTGCTTTTTCAATCTCATTTAGCTGAACTGTCGTTGGATGATTTGGTGAAGATGTATGAAGGTGCCTTTGCCGAGAATTTTCACTGGCCCCAGCCAAAGCCTGAAGAAGAGACTAGTGAAGAAGGTATATTTTGGTGGCGTTTCATTCCAAAATGCCATTGAGCTGCTCTGACCTTTTTAAGGAGAATGTTTTGCATCCACAGTTCCGCAGATGTGTTTTTTTTTTCTTTTAAATTTAAGTAGCCTACCTTCATCCTGTGTCCTTGGGATGGTTAATATAATAATACTTCATATTGATGTAGATCTTTAGAATTTTCAGAGGATTCTGTCTAGGAATCCGTGCAACGGCTCTGTCAGCATTGTAATCTTATCGCAGATGATGGGTGGAATTAAAGCTGAGTATGAGAGTTTGTTTAAGACCACCTAGTTGCAACCTTGTAAATTTGAACTATAAGGGGATATTCATTCTTAAACTGCTACAATACACCAACAGTTTATTTGCTCATGCTTTAACGTTAGGAAGGTTGCAGGGGAGGAAGACAAAGGAGAGAAGAGAATTCAAAGCATGTGTAAACAATTAGCAACATTTCCTCAGTTATGCATGTTAACAGGTATCGGACGTACTCATGTGCACAGGATCCCTACAGTCAGTGTGCATTTGTCCCATGCATTTTGGTTTGTTTGGTGGCCGCCAAGGATCAGGCTGCATTACTTAACAAAGCATGATTTCTTCCTTTTTTTCTCAGCGGTGGGGCAGTGCGAATGTGCTGGCCTTTTCCAAAGACCCTTTCACAATTCTGCTGTTTAATTTTTATTTTGTTCTCTTGGCTGTTTTGTTTAGAAGTGCAGCAACTTGTAAGAGGTGGGTTAGTCTGAGAAACACTGACTTTCTCAAGGCCACCCAGTGAATCCAAGACCAGTTCTGCACTATATTTCCTGACAGTGGAATGGCTTCATGCTGTCTCTTGAAAGCCTGCATGCTGAGATGAAATGCCATCTAAACCAGGCAGGGTAGATAACCTGTGGCTCACTTTTTGGGCTCCCAACTTCCACTAGCCTTGCCTATTGGCTGTGCTAGTTGAGCTGTATATGGAAGTTGGTCTCTCCAAAACATCTGGAGGGCCACAGGTTACCCTTTCCTGATCTAGGTCACTGGGTTATTGTTTATGATCCCATTCTCATCTGGATTCACTGTCTTGGATTCTAGTATGTGCAGAAATATTTTAATGTTCAGGTGTTACTCTGATGATTCTGCCTGTGCAAAATTGATTATTTGGTATATCGTTTTGACAGAGATGGAAGACCACACAGCTGAAAGGGAAAGTGTCCAGAAGGAAGTTATCCTGATTGACTCTCTCCTTAGCATTGATCAGTATAAGGGCGCTGAGAGAGCAGTTCCTACTAAGAAACACGGGAGGGACATCGCAGAGGTAGCGGCTGCAGCAGAAGCGCTTTTGCCAAAAGGCAGCGCCCGGATCACAACTTCGGTAAGTAGTTTCTGTTCCATATGTGGCAAACAGTTGACTGCATGTAGAGATGTCCCCACCGCATTCTTGCAGTGCAATTCTAAACTCATTGGCTCAGAAGTGAGACCTGCTATGTTTAACTACACTTTCCCCCCAGATATGTATGCACAGGATTGCTCCTATCTGCTGCCTTCTTCTTGCAACCCCCACCCCCGAATCCATAGTTTTACAAGTGCAAAAGTGATCTTTAGTTTGAGTGCTCAGCAATCTTACAAAACTGTTTCCTCTGTGGAAGCCTAAGAATTGATATGAACGTGTCATTTTTGTTCAATTGACCATTTGAGTGCCCCTGGAATTCCTTTAACATTTGTATTATAAAAGAATTCTGCAATGGTGGGGTTAATGCTGCTAGATAGAAAGTGGCGGTGGGCTAAACAGAATTACCCCATATTTTAAAAAACAAATATCCACCGGCATCCAGGACAAGTTCTTTGTGAACTGCTCTGAGATCTGAGGATGAAGGGCGGTATACTACTACTAATTCTGTTTGAGAAGGGGAAAACTTGTCTAGATCTTTAGAAATAAACTTTACTACTTTAGTAAAAAGCTGCTGGTTGTCCTGTGAAGGAATCTTGGAAGTTTTTAAAGTGTGGGGCTGCATGTCATTTTGTTGCAGGTTAAATACAACACTCCTCCCCTCTTGTACGGCTCCCTTCGAGAGTACCAGAAGATCGGATTGGACTGGCTTGCCAAGCTGTACAAGAAGAATCTCAATGGCATTTTGGCAGATGAAGCCGGGCTTGGCAAAACGGTGCAAGTTATTGCCTTTTTTGCACATCTGGCGTGTAATGAGGGTAAGCCTGCCCTCTGCTTTGCGGCTACTATTTACTGAAATGGGAAATGGTCCAGGGCTGGCTTTCATGCCAGCGTTGGGCTCCTCAGAAGGGAACAGTTCTCCTACATCCTGCTGCTTCTCTTCCCTTTGCCAGGTGACTGGGGCCCTCATCTCATTGTTGTTCGGAGTTGTAATATACTGAAGTGGGAGCTTGAACTGAAGCGATGGTGCCCTGGGTTGAAAATCCTGCTCTACATTGGCAGCCAGCAAGAACTTCGAACAAAAAGACAGGTACAGCACTCTGTAGATATTTTTTAAAAAATAATTCAACATCTGACGGCTGAGCAAAATTCCACCTATATTTCTCATTCACTATAGCTATGCCCCATCTTCCAGCTGAGATTGGCTTAGCAAGCAAGTAGCTTACAAAAATTAAAATCCAAAATATATGTGCAATATATTAGGAATAGTGTATGTACATTTCAGGCTCTTTTGGCCCCTGGCAGTTGGATGTCACACCCCAGGTTCCAGGCTTTTGCCTGTAAAGGAGGAGTGGGGGAGCATCAGACCTGGCAGACAAATGTGTCCCTTCAGGCCTCTAGCCTTTGGAAATCTCCGCAGGTCAGATCTCCTTCCCAGGGCTCAATCCTTAACTGGATCACTATGTAGTTTTCCTAGGCTGGAATGTCTCCTTGAAATCTGATAATGCCCCTTGCTTGCCTGGATAGAGGATACAGAAGGGTGTGTAAGTATGTGTAGAAACTAGCATGCTGTACAAAGGCAAAAATTCACATTCGTTGCCCACTTTTGCCTCTGGCCATGCCTGCCACATGCAATTTGCCTCCAGAGGATTGCAAAGAAGGAAAAGTGGCCCTTAGGCTGAGACAGGTTCCCTACCCATGCACCAGAGGGATGAGGCAGATTGACCTGGGCTGTTGAATAGCAAATGGTGCCAACTCACAGAGATAACTGCCTTCCATTGACCTGAAGGCCTCTTCTGACCCCTGTCGTGAGACACAGTCCACATTCCACAATCTGTGGGTACGGACGGTGTGGCCGTGAAGCTCACAGGGTGACTTTGGGTCAGCACTGCCTCTCGGCCTAACCTACCATGCATGGTTGTTGTGGGGATTAAATGAGGAGCAGGAGAACAATGAGATCCTTGGAGAAAAAGGTGGGATATAAGTGCAGTAAGTAAATAAATGGGTTGCATTTATATCCCCCCCACCTTCCTTAGAGTTGCTCAGAGCAGCACTTAATTCAGTATTGGTGGATTTGGCTCCTTGCAGGAGATCCCCTGTAGTAGTTTAGACCAAGAGGAAGGGTCAGTAGTTCAGTTGTAGAATTTTTCCATTGCACGCAGAAGGCTTGGAGTTCACAGCATCTCCATGGAGGGTTCCAAAGGTCTAAAAACCCTGGGAGCCCCTGTGTATAGACAAGATTGAGGTAGATTTTGATGTTGTTTAATTGTGTCCGACTCTTTGTGACCCCATGGACCAGAGCATGCCAGGCACTCCTGTCTTCCACTGCCTCCTGCAGTTTGGTCAAACTCATGCTGGTAGCTTCGAGAACACTATCCAACCATCTCGTCCTCTGTCGTTCCCTTCTCCTTGTGCCCTCCATCTTTCCCAACATCAGGGTCTTTTCCAGGGAGTCTTCTCTTCTCATGAGGTGGCCAAAGTATTGGAGCCTCAGCTTCACAATCTGTCCTTCCAGTGAGCACTCAGGGCTGATTTACTTAAGAATGGAGAGGTTTGATCTTCTTGCAGTTCGTGGAACTCTCAAGAGTCTCCTCCAGCACCATAATTCAAAAGCATCAATTCTTCGGCGATCAGCCTTCTTTATGGTCCAGCTCTCACTTCCATACATCACTACTGGGAAAACCATAGCTTTAACTATACGGACCTTTGTTGGCAAGGTGATGTCTCTGCTTTTTAAGATGCTGTCTAGATTTGTCATTGCTAAGGCAGTTTGGTGTAAGGTAGCTTCCCATGTTCCTGTTTTATCTATGGAGCTGCACACCTCAACAGGGATTTTGATTTGGGTTTGCAAGCTTATTTAACAACAAATTATTTAGCCCTTGAGGTAGCCAGGACTTTTCCTTGCTCTCAAGTCAGAATCTTGAGAAGGCAGGCAAGATGGGCATGATTTCTTGTTCCGAATCTGGATGTTTTTTGCGTACCTTACATTCGCGAGGGGCCTTAGCAAGAAAATACAATACAAACGTATGAAGGTGCCTTTATTCTGTAAGACGTAACAGTTCATTACTGTGATTGGCAGTAGCTCTCTTCAAGAGCGCTGGCAAAGGTCTTTCCTAGTCTTGCTGTCTGGTATCTTTTCAGCTAGGGAATCAGTTTGCAATCAGTTTGCAAAACTTGTTCTCTTATCCCTGGGCTCAGTGACCCCCTTTGCCGGGTAGATCCTGCTTATTCGTTGTTGCCTGAAGAAGCTGCAGTTCATTGGGAAGGAGCTGCTGCAAGAATTCCCCATCCCTTTGCAGAGTCTAAACAGGGTAAGGGGCAGGGGCCTGCCTGAGGGAAGAAAGTGTATTGTGTGCTGATGGATATTTATTTAAATAAACATCCTCAAGGCAGCTTAGAACAGAGCAATAAGATGCAATAATAAAAACCAGTGAACATTGTCAATCGCATCCAAAGGGACCAGTAAAAATAAAAAATCGTTACTCTCTCTGACGCTGTACTAAATCCTTAGTGGTTTAGCAAGTATGCTTTAAAGTGCAGTGAGATTTCTGGAAAGAAAAGGCATGGGGAAATCCTCAAGTTGTCTCAAAGGGGGAGCAGCCAAAAGACTGATATTCACCACCCCCTTGCTCTTCATCCATCTTGCCTGCCTGGTGCCACACGTATAACTGTATGAATGCCCTTATTTTGAATAAAGCCATAGGCTTGGGAAGTTCTGCCTTCTGCCTGAAAGTTTTGACAAGTATAGTCATCTCCTTCCCTCGTTTTTTGCAGGAGTGGATGGAACCCAACCGCTTCAATGTGTGCATCACATCCTACAAGCAGCTCTTCAAAGGCCACCAAGCCTTCACAAAGATGCGATGGAAGTACCTCATTGTTGATGAGATGCAACAGATCAAAAACATGACGGAGAAACACTGGGAAGCACTTTTCAGTCTCCGCAGGTCTGACACATGTAGAAGTTTTGCACCTTGCACTTCATAGTGCTTTATGTTGGTCTAGGACAGTGGTGGGTAGCCTGTGGTCCTGCAGATATTGTCGAACAACTTCAGTTCCCATTATTCCTGACAGTTGGCCATGGTGGCTGTGTGATCTTTGTTTGGACCAGGAAGAAATCTATGGGTTGAAAGGGGGGTGAAATTGCTAAATGGGTCATCCCAAATACAGGTGAGCACAGTATTCAGTGGTACAGGACACTACTGTCTTACATGAGAGGTTGGAGTGCAGATGAGCATAAGCTGAAGACTTGCTCCCATCATACTGAGTTCTCAAAATAACATCTAAGGCCAGGGCCAGATTATATCTTTGCCATGTGATTGTCTGTTCTGAAGACAGCTGCAGGGAGATAGATCTGGACCACAGCATGTAGAGAGGGGATGTGTTGGCACCTTTGCAGTCAAATAGCAGCTGGGCAGTGTAATTTTTGTTGAGAAAATGGGAGTAGTTGTGTTAGAATAATGCCCACCCCACTTCAGTTCTAATTGGGTAACCCAATTGCAGTTGCTATTTCTAAGGGAAACCTGAGCCAGGCATAGATAATCACATGACAACTTTATTGTTAATTCCTGGTCTTAACTGGGACCTGAATGTGTTTCCTTTTTACCTGTGTGGGGTTTCCCCCCTCTTGATTTTATTTACTAGTTCTAGTAAATTGCTAGATGGACACCAGTGGGATAACTGTCCCTTCATAGCATTTTGAACTGTTCTTCACAGCCAGCACCGCTTGCTCCTAATTGATACACCTCTGCACAACACATTGATGGAATTGTGGACCATGGTGCACTTCCTGATTCCAGGAATCTCCAAACCTTACCTGGATTTCCCAGTAAAAGCAGCCAATGAGGAGAATCAGGATTACTGCCACAAACTTGTCATCAGGTTACACCGAGTGAGTGACCTGACTTTTGTCTGAGTGCATGCATGGCTCTCCCAGCTTTGCTTTAGTAATATGTTTTAATTTAATGAAGACAATAGTTATGTTAACTTTGGTTTTTCTATTTTCATCCCCCCCCCCAGATGATCCAGCCGTTTATTTTGCGAAGATCGAAAAGAGATGTTGAAAAGCAGTTAACCAAAAAATACGAGCACGTGCTTAAGTGTCGGCTTTCAAACAGACAAAAACTGATGTATGAAGATGTCATTCTGCAGCCAGGGTATGAGATATGCAACTGGTTGAACATGCTGGTTATGCAGTTCACAATGCAGAAATTTCAGATTGCGTTTAATGTGCTAACCAACTCTTTAGCCACCTTCAAATAATAGGATGTAGTTTAGTTGTAAACACCTGCACAAAAAGCCTTGTTGCTGCTTTATTCCTCCTCCTGTGCAAGCTGCAAAATGAACCAGGAATCACAACTTCATGTTGCATTCAAACTAGGAAGTGTGGTTGAGGACTTCTAAATGAGCCAGATTCAGAAACATGGTTTAAAAATTGGATTCTGAATCTTGCTCATTTGGGAAGCCTTTAACCAAACCTAGGTGGTTTGCACGTAACAGGAAAGTATGATTGACTAGTGGGTTCCTGGTTTGCTTAGCTTCTTGTGTGAAAGGAGGAACAGACTGGCTGCAAAGAGCACACATAACTCATGGATATTCTGGCATATTAAGTCAGGATTTAGTCAGTGTATTGTAGCAAGCGTTAAGGGGGAAAGGAGTCCTAGCTACAATTTTAACATTGCTTTTAGAACCATAATTGAATCGTGTGAGTCCTGGTCAACACATGCTCAGAATGAGGTAGAATGGGCTGCATCTCTTCAGTTATCAGGTGTGGAGACTTGCAGTATGGAATGTGTGTACCTGTGTTAAAAATGCTGTCACTACAGATCTAAGAAGAGTGCCCACTGTTGCAGAATTGCTTAAGCTAAGCTGCTGTGGATCTGATTAGTGTTTTGATAGGAGACTGCCTTGTGTCTCATGTAAGCTTCTTTGAGCTTTCCAAAGAAAGTGGGATACAAGTACTGTGTAATAAATTAGCATTTGAGAATCTGCACCACAGCCATAAAACACTGGTTCAAGTGATGAAGGATGTTTCACGGGGCTTTTTTAACATTTGATTCAAGTTGACATGCTTCTTTCCTTTGGCAGAACCCAAGATGCTCTAAAAAGTGGGCATTTTGTCAGCGTTCTTCACGTTCTGATGCAGCTTCAGAAGATCTGCAACCATCCTGATCTGATAAACCCTCGGCTCTCCAGTTCCTCCTATGTCTCAGAGACACTGCAGTATAGAACTGCTTCGCTGGTCTTAAAAGCACTTGAACGTGACGTTTGGAAGGTGAGTCAAACAGTGGACAGGGATTGGGAAGTCGTGGCTCTGCAGATGTTCTTGGACTCACATCAGCCCCTGCCAGTATGGGACAAGGATGATGGGAGTTGTAGTTCAGCAGCATCTGGAGCAGGGTGGTCCAACTTTTCATACCAAGTGGACTGCAAGAGTACTTTGACATGGAACCTGCAGGCCACATACTGCCTTGCGTGTGCAGTGACGGGAGGGGAGAACAGCAAGACCAAACTTTGACAAGCTTGTAACTCTATTTTAAAAGAAGAAGAAGAAGAGAGATTCATCTGGCATGACTTGTTTTTATGAAACCCATGCTGGATCTTAGTAATCTCAGCATCCTTTTTTAAGTGCTCACAGACCGACCATTTAATTATCTGTTTTATGACCATTCCTGCTTTACTCAAGGGCATTGTAGAGGGTGATCTTTACAAGTCTGCTTCTATCTGCACAGAACAGCATGGCATCTTCATCAGATAGTTAGTAGCACAATGTTGGGAACTGGCCTCATCTATAGAATTCAGTGGCAGTCACTCAGAGATCAGGATCCAGCACTCTCCCTGTGAAGATTCACTGTTGCTTTTAATACAGAAATTGAAAACAATTTCTATTCAGGCAGCCTGTCACTTTTTAATATTTTTAATTAGGCCCTTCATTGACTGTTTGAATTTTTGAATGTGTGGAATTGTAATGGTTCTTCATATAATGTGGTACGCTGCCTCGACAAGTGTGTCTGGAAAGGTGCCCCCAAAAATACTTCAAGTAACTAACTTGGTGGGTTTTTACCATTTAAATTATTATTTCATTGATGTTTCTTGGGTTTGTTTTGTTTTGTGAACAGAAGAGTAGGTTATAAATGATAATGATCGGATGAGTGGTACTAATGCTTTAAATTTCTCTTTGTCTACCTGTAGGATACGGACCTGAGTCTCTTTGATTTGATTGGGATTGAGAATAAAATGACTCTGTATGAGTCACAAGTGCTGCCAAAGCAAAAAGTGACCAGAAAGCTCATTGAGGAAATATACACCTCTCCTCTACCTCCCCCAAGGCCTAATCCAGTGAAGTTGAAGCCAAGCAGGTATGCAGCTTTTAAAACAAACCTTGAAAACCCATTTAATTTGAGCAGCTATTCAGTTGAGGCATTGAGCTGGGCATTCGACTGTTTAATGGCTTATGTCGCTGCTGGTTGGAAATTATTTCTGAAGGGAGGGAACACCCCCCCCTGTGTGTGTGTGCTCCCCAAATGTACTCCAGAGTGCTGGGGGGGGGGAGTCTTGTGGAGCAGATGCAGAGGGTGAGGTACAGATGGGAGGAGAAGAAAGGGAAGCTAACATTGGGAGTAATGCAATTAGTTTACATGGGTTTTACTGAGTGTTCTGCTGGACTGTGAAATGATTTTAGACTGCTGTTTCTAATGGTTTAGTTTTATTGGAATGAGGCTTTGGGTTTGTCTGTTTTTAATGTTTTATTTATGTTTGCAAGCTGCCTTCAGAAGTGTTTTGCCCTAAAAGGCAGTATGGAAAAATGTTCTAATAAACTGGGACTCAATTGCACATATTTTTCATTGAGGGGGGCAAAGTGGTGTCTATTCCATTCTTTAAAGTTTATATGTTTCTTGTGCACTGCCTTAAGTGCCCTGTGACTGAAAGGTGATTTGTAAAAGCTACTTTCAAAACATTCTGTTTACTGTGATGATAACCACGTCCCATGTTGTACTTTTAAGCTATGCAAGTGCTTCTGTTCTGTTGTCCAAAACTGTAATTCAGAATGAGGTTTTGCTCAGTTTTGTTAGTGTTGTGCTTGTGGGAGGAGGTAATAATGAAGTGATGCCCAACCTTTTCAGGTTGTTCCAACCCGTTCAATATGGCCAGAAGCCTGAAGGCAGAATTGCGGCTTTCCCCAGTGCTCAAGTGCAACAACGCACAGTGTCGACAGCTACGGTGGCTCAACAGGGGCAAGTGCGTGGAAGGTCACCTGTAGCTACAGTGTCTGCAAATCAAGGTACGAAAGGTATTGCCACTCTAGTTTTCTTCTGGGTCTTAGATTGTCATATACCAGTCTGATAAATTGAAATTGTCCTCCCACCTGACTACAAGTATGGCCATTTCTTTACAACTAAACTGCCAGGTTAAAGCTGTGCACTGAGTGGATCAGGGTGAAATTTAACACAGTTGTGATGGTGTACGTGCTTCCTCTCAAACTCTGTTCATCACTCTTACCTGTGTTTACCACGCCATCAGAAAGCCGCCCAAAATAGGTTGACGGGGAATTTTTGTGTGTGAAATGCGAAGTATTTGACTTAGGTTTGCTGCCTTCCAACCTAAGCAGGGTCCTGTTTTAGCAGTTTGAAATTGGCTCTTAGTTGCATGCAGTTGTGGTCCTCAAAATGTGAGGTGAGCCTCCCTGAGAAGAGATTTAAGCTATGTCCTGACCACACCACTTTTTTGTGGGTGCTGACCTTTCCTGCCACCTGAAAAACGATGCACCGTAGGCCTACACAACAGTTCGTTTTGAGATCAAGTGGAGACCACTCCACGATTTTTCACGAGCTTCTCTCTGAAAGCTTTTGAACCAGTTAATGGGACAAACATACTACTATGGTAACAGTTCTTTGGGGGCTATGCCAATATTAGGATATGGTTAGCGAACTGTGTGTTGTTTTTTTAATGCTTTCCCATGGCAAGAGCTCCTTGTCACATTGAGAAAAAGGATTCTAGCCTAGTCTGTTTGCTGATGTGCTAGTTTTCTATGTGCAAGGAACCCTTGAGGTGGGAAGAACATTAAGGCCTCTGAATACCAGTCACTGGGAAGAGAGTTGTTGTGCTCAGGTTGTGCTTGTGGGTTTCCCATAGGCACCTGGATGGCTGCCACGAGAACAAGACGTTGGACTAGATGGGCCTTTGGCCTAATCCATCAGGGCTCTTCTTAAGATGCTGATCTTTAGTATGCTGTTTTCACCTTCACTGCCCTGGGAAGCATGATACCATATGCTTGGGGGAGGGGAGAGATTTCTAATGCAGGACATTAAAGCCTGCACTCTTTTTGCTTGCAAAGTCCTGGAAGGCTTCCACCATATTCCTCCACTCCCCCGGTGTTTCCATCAGCTCGGAGAATGAGCACTGTAAGATTTTATCAGCCTTAGTTATACTGGCAGTGGGGCGGGGGCATAATTCCAATTTGTTCATCGGGATCTTTGATTTTTGTATTAGATTTTGTCTGAGCAGCTCATCTTTGGCACAGCTCAAGAACCCCATGTCCTACAATACTAACGGCTGTGGAAACAAACTAATAGCCGGTTGATGATTTTGTGACCACCTAAAGTTGTGTGTATGTGTGTGTGTGTATAATGAGCAGGCGGGCCTAATTGATAACACATGTAGTTTTCCATGACTTCTGTGACCCAGTTGGTATTTACGTTGCTGGTTGTTGTTATAGCCTGTGAAAACAGAGGATTTTGCAGCACTTCTGTACCTAAAAGCTGTTTTGTTTTGTTTTTTTAATTACAAAAAAAATCTCCAATGCTATAACCCTTAAAAAGCGGACTGAATCTAACAGCTTGCACAACCCAACCTTATTGATTGCAGCCTCCGCAGCCGTCTCCTCCGCAGCTCCACAGTTTCAGACAACTCAGTCTTCCATCAGTGCTCCTCCAAGACAGCAGCCAGCAGTGACCTTCACAGCAGCAACTAGCCCGGCCAATCCTGCGAAACTGCGGGGTCAGACCACTGTGCAGGCCTTACAGCTAGGCCAGGCCCAGCCACAGGCCCCCCCGCACACCATCCAACAGAGTGTGCTGCCTCAGAGGCTGGTATTGACCTCTCAGGCTCAGGCACGGTTGCCTAGTAAGTGCCCCAACTCCCCACCCCACCCCACCTCCCCTCTACAGGTTTCTCCCACTTTTTTATTTTTATTTTGTTTCCAAAGCTTCCCTGAGGTTAAGTTATTAGGCACCCTAAAAAAAATGTGTACAGAATGATTTTGTTGTGGTGGCTTGTTTTGTGGTTTTTTTGTTTTTGTTTTTTTAAACACAACTCCCCCCCCCCCTCACTCTGAGTAGCCTTGCTCACTGTTTTCCACTGCTTATATGACCATGGAGAAAGGTCCCAAATTTGGATAAGAAAAAAATATAATAGAAGGGGGAAAAAATGCTGTGGACATAACATTAGCGGTGTCAACTTAATCTCTTCATTTCTGCATGTTTCCTTCGCTGGCCAGACTTCTTTTGGACCCGGAAACAACTTCTACTCCCCCTGCCTTTTTTCTTTCCTGCACAGCTCTCCTCTTCCTAATTTGACTCTCTTTTCTTTCTTTTTTTCTTTCTTTTTTTGAAAACACTAACTTCATCCTGCTAAGAAGGCCTCTCGACTTCCTTGGAGGCGAAAAATGCAGCTGTTAGGTGGAATGGGGAGGGGAGGGGAACGGTTCAGATTGTACGTGCACTGCCTACAAGCATGTCTAGAGATTATTGAGCACTGATATACTAATGTTTTCATCCCTGGGGGAATAAACTGCCTTTGCAAAAGTTCAAAGATCCACGGTGACTCGGATCCAGAAATTCAGGTGAAATTTTTATTTGGAGCTTTCTCAGTACATTGAAGCACAGAGCTATGCTTTCAGATTTAAAAAAACCTGTTGCGAATATTTTTCCAGTTGACCTAAATTATTTTATGATTGGTGTTATCATTACTTTAAATCTATTCTGAGACACCCTAATCACCTGTTTAAAAAACCCCCAACAACCATAGCTTAACAATGCAGTTTTTTGAATTAAGTAGATCGTGGAACTGACGTGAAACAAACTTGGCACATTTTGAAAATGCATTATAAAATGCTTTCAGTGAAAGTTCTACCACAGGCACGATAATGATTTATTATTCTTGATTTGTTACCTTCCTGTTTGTTGCTTTCTATCAAAAAGGCTTACAGGCAGGGAGTACTGGAAACAAAATTGTTTCAGCCAAGTCACTAAACACTGTGACAGTCCTGCTGAAATTCTTGGCGTCCCTTGAATGCGTTTTGCTTTTGAAAAGGCAGTGGAGTCCCGCTTAATGACTTTCTACTCTCTGGTTTACAAAGTGTCACATGAGTTTTTTCAGGTTGCTGTTGTTTCCTGCAAAAATGGAAGGGTAACTTCTACACACCGCAACCCCCTGCGTTGTTCTACATTAAAACAAAACAAAAGAAACCTATTTGTTCACCCCCTGTATGCAAGCAGTACCTGTGGAACTTTTATATGACACTTTCCCCCCTCTGCACTATGTATAATTCTGCATGGGAGCAGCTTCAGCATCAGTTTTACTAACTGGAGTGAGGACAAAGACTGTTTGGAAGGCAGCCCCTCCCCTTAATGTGTGGTTCTGTTCCTCCCCCTCCTCCAGGTGGCGAAGTGGTAAAGATAGCCCAGTTGGCATCCATTGCAGGAGCACAGGGCAGAATTGCTCAGCCAGAGACTCCTGTGACGCTGCAGTTTCAGGGGAATAAATTTACTTTATCCCACAGTCAGCTTCGCCAGCTCACTGCAGGACAACCTCTGCAGCTGCAAGGTATTGTACAAACCTAATTTCAAAAGAGCGCATCTCTCTCTCCCTTCCCAAATGCGCACACTCTCATGCACACAATATATCCACGTTGGGTATGACGGCTTGCACCATCTCTGTCCATTTGCTATGCCATCTGGGGCTGTTGGGAATTGGAGTCCAAGAACTTCTGAAAGAGCCACAGCTTACCTGTCCGTGGGCTAAGAAAAGGAGTTGGATTTTTTTTCCACGGTTGGGGGGGGGGAGGAGAGAGTCATGTGGCATTGTCACTTTTATTACCTGCATTTTAAGGATAACTCAAGAGACGTGGAAGGTTTAGGCTTGCCTGCTTTTGCGATGCATGGTGTAAAAAAGAAAACCGGTGGCGGGTTTTTTCCTTGTTAATTTTTGGATCATTTTATGACCTCTTATGTTTCAATTTCTACCAATGCAGGCAGCGTTCTACAAATTGTGTCAGCTCCTGGGCAGCAGTACTTGCGGCCTCAGGGCCCGGTAGTCATGCAGACAGTGTCTCCGGCGGGGACTGTTCAAAACGCTCTGAACGCTTTGGGAAACCAGCATCCAGCTGGCTTGCCAGCTCCGGCAGTAGCACAGCAAGGTAGGGGCTCTTTCCTGCATGTCTACCTCTGGGACATTTTAAGAAGCAGATTTTTAAAACCATATGGGGATTTTCTGGCCTTCCTATGTTCCCTCCTCCTCCCCATCCCATAAGTAAATAGGGGAAATGATTTCAATTGGATGAAGCAGATGCAGTTACTTCCCCATCCCTAGACTTGCATCTGCAGCCTGCAGGGCTCTCAACTGGAGCTGTTTATCTGCGGCTAGCTTTTTACATCCCTTACAAGAACTCCTACACCCCAAAATTCAGGAAACAGTTGAGCCTCTCTCCACCCTTGCCCCTTTCTCCCTCCTTGGTGTCTTCTGCAAGCTGAATACCACCTCCCCTAGGTAATCATTTGCCCCCACCACAGAAGCTGTGTTTGGACATCGACATAAACTATGGTTTATTCACGACAGGAGTGGTCCCCCAAGGGATGGTACAAATAAAATAAAATTGCATGCTAGAAATGCAGTGGGCTGGCAGAGGAGAAGTAGAGTATTCTGCACCTCTTACAGCAGCTCGTTTAGTTTCCTACACCAGGTGTGCTGCAGGAGCAGACTTTTTCTTCTCCCCAACACAGCGTCTAAACGAAGTAGGCTAGCTAGCGGTAGAAGAGGCACAGAATGTCTGTCCTCCCACCTGCCAACCTGCACGGTCTACAATTCTTTGTCCCCTATGGCAACCAGGCATGTGGTTAAATGCAAGGCTGGCCTTGGGATTGCCTTGGGTGGGGCGTGGCATGTTACGGCTTGTAGTAGCTTGAAGTCCTTTGTAAAGAGTGTATTTGGGATGTATAAACACATGGTTTATCTTTAAGTGTGTGTTCTAGGTAGAACAATGGGTGGTACTAATTTAGCTTCGGGGGACTCGGCGTCATCTTTAAAACCTGGCCTTATTCACGGAGGACACTCACAGGTACTCTTACTGATTTTTTACTGTGTGTGTTCAGTTGTCAAATGAATAACTTCCCTTTCAGTTCCTTCGAGGACTGAAAAGTGAAAATAAATGAAGTTGCAATATTTAGCTCTTTGATTTTTCCACTTTATTTTGCTTGTCAACAAAGTTGTATGTTGTAGCTTCTACTTCCCAAGTGTGGTGTGTGTGTGTGTGGATATAGTTACAGATGCACTCCTGCAGGTGAATTACTTTTGATATAAATTGGGCTTGTAAAGAAGTGAACCCCACCTTTAATTATGTAGAAGCAACTTTTGGCAGATTGGAGAGGTTATGAACATATTTTAAGTATGGAGAAGGAAAAAATGCAGCTTGGCTCACTTTCAAAAATTAAATGGTGAAATTTGATTTTGAAAGAGGGACAATGAAAGGTACCCACAGAAATATGAAAGGGAAGCTATGTATTAAACAAAAAAATAATAAAGGAAAATACCTTCTCTCTGATTTGGAAGCTGTATAATGTTCAGTATGCAACAAAATAGATGATTGTAACAAGCTGCCTTTTATACTGTTAGACCATCTGGCTCAGTATTGTCTGCTCTGACTGGCAGCAGTTTTCTGGGGTCTCAGGAAGAGTTCTTGGCCCTTCCCTTTTCCCTGAGACCTTTTTTAAAATGGAAGGTGCTGGGAAACCGAATCTGGGAGCTTCAGTATGCTATGCATGTACACTGCTACTGAATTATGCCCCCACCTGCTAAATTTATGCTTAAGACTAAAATGTGGACTATAACCTTACAGAATTTAATTTAATACAAGTAGAGCAGAATGGGGGGATTTAATGGATTATTCTGGAACAGAATCTGCAGAGCGCTCCAGTAGCGATGCTAGCATATAGCTGTATGAATCAGAATTGTTTTGTTGGAGGTTGTGCCAAAAAAAAGGGGGGGGGAGATCCCTTTGCCTTGGGGTACATATGCAGTTGCATTCTTATGCATCTTTGCTTGGAATTAAGACCCATTGAATTCAGTAGAACTTTCTCTGGGGCAAGTGATTTTAGGATTGTAGTCAAGTAACAGACTTTGAACTCTTTATAGTTCTGATTTCAAAGCATTCTGCCCATGGTATACACTTTTTTCTCGTGTTTTTTCCCCACATTTTTATTGCAAAGGAGTCGTTTGAGGAAAAAAACAGGATTCTAAAGGAGCGCCTCGACCGGATCTTTTCTTGCAATGAGCGCCGCTGTTCCAGAGCACCAGTGTATGGCCAGGACCTCATGAGAATTTGTTCTCTGGTGGGGGACAGAAAGATGACCCCTCAGTTTTCCGCTGGAGGCAGCAAATGGAGCTGGGCTGGTTTTGCAAACTGTCTCCTCTCATCAAATCCCTCTTGGGACCACAGTGATCCACTGCAGGGGATGACACGGACACTGGAGCAGCAGCAGGACTCTCTGAGGGATGCTGTTAACAGGTGATCACTGGAATGTTTCCCTTGCTCTTGATCCTAAACAGAATCTGGAACAGAAGCCTGCCTTCAGCCACCTCTCACGTTCCTCTTCCCCAGCCATGCCACCCCTTTGAAAGGGACCGGAATGAGAATCTAGGCTGCCGGTTCTGTAGTTAACAAGGCCACCATGTAATGATTAATACATCCAAAGTACTTAGCCACGTGTCTGCTTTTTGTTTCCCAGGCTGCTCTGTGTGCTGCCATCTGCAGTGGCTGCTCCTCCATCTTTGCACATGGCGAGGCTTCCTCCTTTGTACAGCCATAGAATGAAACTACTCAGGCACCGTCTGAAAGAGGCGGCCTCACCTTACTTGAGTCAGCTGCAGCAACTCACCACCCCACAATTGCTTCAGTTTCCTGATCTCCGACTTGTTCAGTACGATGCAGGTAGAGGAGAACCTTTTTGTATTTTCTTTTCTTTCCCCCCCTTTTTTTTCTTTTCGCTGGATTGTGTAGAACCTGGAATCGGGCAAATGTTCTGTGGGAAGGCTTTACACTTTCTTATTTTACAAAATTTAGGCAAGCTGGAAGCCCTGGCGGTCTTGCTTCAGAAGTTGAAGTCGGAAGGACGCCGGGTGCTGATCTTGTCCCAGATGATCCTCATGCTAGACATCTTGGAGCTCTTCTTGAATTTCCATTTCTTCACCTACGTGAGGATTGATGAGTGTGCTAATCAGGAAGAGCGGCAGGTAAACTTTACTTGGAGCAATCCCTCCATCTTATTCTTTATACGAGGGGTGGCTAACCTGGTGCCCAACGGATGCTGCTGGACTCCAACTTCCAGCCAGCACAGTGAATGGTCAGGGGCAATGGGAATTAAGCGGGTTACGTCCATCCCCACTTGCCCAAGAGAGACAATGAATCATGAGCTTTAGTATCTATCCAGCTCCGTGGTAGCTCCTCATCGGTTTAACGCTTTACCTTGCCCAGTAAAGAGCACTTCACTCCTTCTCTAAATAGTTTGCTATCACTTTTTATTTATTTCTTGCTTCTGATTTTCAGTCTCTGTCTTTGTTTGTTGTTCATTTGTTCTCAAAAGCTATTTGGTGGTTCTGAGTACTTCATCACTTTTCCCACAGGGAGGAGGGGATCCTCGAATGGTTTGCCCCTCCCACTTGTTCCACTTGGCAGGTCTTATGTAAAGTGTACTTACTGTACATCCACATGGGAGGGAAACTTCTCTTCAGTTCCTTCCTGTTTGGCTCCCTGTGCAGCCCGGGTAGCAGGGATCTCTGTACGCTCTGTACATACGTTTTTTAGATTCTGAACACCACATCCAATCAGATAGGGTGGCCTAGCACTTGATCCCATGTGTGACAAAGGTGTCTGCTCTGAGAATAAGTAATGTGATACTTGTCATCTCAAAGTGAGTGCTAAATGCCTTATGGTCTGTGATGCTTTTCCTCCCCACCCCTCTTTTCTGATCAAGGAACTGATGAAGACTTTCAACAGAGACAAGCGCATCTTCTGTGCAATTCTTTCTTCACACAGCCGCTCCACGGGTGTCAACCTTGTGGAGGCTGACACCGTTGTGTTTTATGACAACGATTTAAATCCAGTGATGGATGCTAAGGCTCAGGAATGGTGTGACAGAATTGGCAGATGCAAAGACATCCACATCTACAGGTGATGCCTGCAAAGTAGCTGTTCTACAAATAGAAAATGGTACCTCTAGTGAGATTGGCAACAGGCAGCCTTGCCCATAGTAGGCACGACAGAGGCTATTTGTGCTCCGGAGATTCCTGATACCATAACTTCATCATGTCATCTAAAGAGGGCAGGCGTTGCCCATATTTTGTGATAATCTTAACAGATTTGCACACACCATCACTTGGGAGTTCTAAGGAAGGAAGCAAGCAGTGCAGTTTTGAAAGATTAGTCTGTCATATTGATTCAATATGGCATCAGTTTGTATTCAAACATAGAAGAGAACCTGCTTCTTGATCCCAATAATCATGATGCAAAATTTGGTTGTGAAGGGTGTCCATAGTGAACAAAGGACTTTTCAAAATATGTAGTAGATAAATGATTATGTCCTAGAGCAGTCAACTTTGCTCTGCTAACATGCCCAGCAATAAAACATTGCCTAAAAACCATTTTCTGATCTTGACTACTCAGTAAATTCAGTCTGTTCTGGCTATCTCATTTTGCTCTCAGCTTTAAGGTTTTGGTACATCTCCTTGGTTTCTTCTCTAGGCTTGTCAGTGGAAATTCAGTAGAAGAGAAGCTCTTAAAAAATGGTACGAAGGATTTGATCCGAGAAGTAGCAGCTCAGGGAAATGACTATTCTATGGCCTTTTTAACACAGGTATATATTATTTTTAATAAGTATAATAATTTTATCAAGAAACCTTCCTTGTTTCCCCAGATACTTTATACCCTTTGTTTCAAAGCATCGGCTCCTGAGCCTTTATTGTTGTCTTGAGACACAACTAGCAGGACTTCTAATTGGCTTTCATCATGGAGGTTATTTAGGATTGGGCTGCTCCAACTTGGCTTTGAAAGTTGGGAGGACTATGCAAATGTATTTGTGCTTGACCCCTCCCAGTAGGAGGAGCCTCCTAGTCCTGCCAGCTTCAAAGCCACTGGGACTTCATAGCAGATTTGGTGGAGAGTGTTGATCATGGTGTCTGAATGGCTACAGCTTTTCTTCTGCTCTCCACCCACATAGTTTAATCATAAGAAAGGAAATGGAGAAAAAGATGCACTTATTCGTTTGACCTCAACGAGGAGAGTTTCTGCTGATTGTGTCTTTTGTGAATCCTTTGGAGGAGAAAAAGCTGAGAGTACTTCGCACAGTGCATCCGTAGCTAGGGTGTCTCGGTGGTGTCAGGTTTCAGACCCAGCCTCTCTGATACCCTCTGAACTGGTTTCCCAAATCCTGGCCAGTAGCAGCATCTGTATTTTGTTAATGAATGAAGAAGGAGTAGGTGTGTCAATTTTAATTTCTTTTGGCCTCAAATCCCTCCCCTTCAAAGAGAACTGTTAATGGAGTGCTGTGGGATGAGGAGACATTCCTTTTGTTCCTCCCTCGGATAGAAGTCTGGCCCTGAGATAAGTTAGAATGGGGGGGGGGGGGACATAAATTGACACTTTTCCAGGAGCTTGATATGAGACGTATTTCCCCTCCTTCCACAGCAAACGATTCAGGAACTCTTTGAGGTTCATTCTCCAATGGAGGACTCTGGCTTCCGCGTGAAGGCTGAAGAATTTGTGATGCTTACACAGGAGCCCTCCCCGGCTGAAACCATATCTCCTAAGGTTGCAAGACCTTTTATAGAGGTAATTAAGCACAAATAATTTGAACAGAAATAAAAGAGGATATAGAACTGTGTGGCAGAACTGTTTTGATTGCCTTTTGGGACTTTCCAAGTGCTCCCTTCAGAATAATCATGTCGTCTTCTTTTTTTAATCTTCTGAATCATTTCTTTTAAAGGTTTCTTGAAAGCTTATAAACTATTCATGTAGGTAATACACTACTTCCCCTGAGAGCTATTTAAGCCTTTTAATAATACATGCAATCTCTCCTCCTCTTTCTCTGGGTGCAGTATTTCAGCACGTTTAGGAGATGAATAGGGTGAAGTATCTGCATGATGCAAATGTTTACTGGTTCTGCATTACTGGTTCAACATTAAGGTTGCCTGCAACTATTCTGACAGAAACCTAACATGGGATGTACTGGTTAAACCACAGGTGGGCTGTCTGCAACTTGGCTGTATTTCATGCAGCCTCCTACACCTCTTGAAGCTGCCGCATTCTTCCATCCCATCAGAGTTCCTCCCTCCCTTGATTTTCCTTGCCTCTTTGATGTCTCCCCCTTATATAGTTTGAGAACAACTGAATGCCATACTATTTTATTAAATAAAAGCATACAGCCATTGATAACCGCTACCATCAGCATTTAGCTGTTGATCTCCTTCTATACAATCGTCTTAAGGCAACGTATAATAACAACTGCAGGAACCAGTTGAAAGCTTAGAGGCAGCAGATGCATTTAAGATAAAACTAAAACCCTATGGAATAGATACTCACAGTAAGGATTCATTTATCCAGCTGGGAAAGCCTGTGGGAACAAAAATGTCTTCCAGTTGTTTCCAGAAAGCTCAGATAGTGGGTGCCTGTCATATCTTGATATGGATTCTATTTCACAGATCAAGGGCAGCAGCAACACTAAAAACCCTGCTTTAGTTACTGCAAAGTGCGCTTCTGATATTTTTCTACTTGCGTTTTGGGGTTTTTATAAATGAGATTTTTTTTTAACGGGGCTTAGTTTTGAGTAGACCTGCATTGTATTAGGGGTCTGAGAGAGCCACGGTGAAGACTGAAATGGATTATCCTGGATTAATTGGTCCAACTCTCAAGGGGAATGCAGCCCTTGGCTCAGGTGGAGTTGGGGAGGTTGTATGCCCTTTAATCAAAGCATCACATTTTCCCCAAATTCCTAGTTATTACTGCAAAATCTAGAAGGCCCTTTCCATGCAATATGCTAAGAATACTTCCAAAACAAGTGCCCTGCACATATCTACCTTGAGAGTCCATGTGGCACAGTGGTTAAGTGTTAGACCAGAATGTTGGAGACTTGGGTTCAGATTCTTCCTGAGCCTTGAGACTTGCTAAGTGACACTGGACCAGTCAGTCTCTCTCACCCCACCTATCTCACAGGTAAAGTGAGTATGAGATTTCCATTGCTCCGAGTGCCAGGCTGAACAATCTCTTACAGCTTCCTTACCTATGAATAGCAGTAGAAATTGCCTTAATTTGCTCAGTTTATTTAACTGATAAAAAATTGGTTTTCTTATCATAATAACTTTTTAAAAAATGTGATGGATGTGCCGCTGCATTTATACAAAAAAACACCTTTTGTGTGTTTTAAAAAGGCTCTCAAAAGTACAGAGCGAGAAGAGGAGGAGGAGTTGAACACATGCATTCAGGTCTCAAAGACTGAATCAGCTTTGGAACCTCTCATTTCTGAAATCGGCAAGTCCCAGTATCTTGATGAGCCTTCTCAGCTGCAGGAGTTGGTTGCTGTTGTGGATCAGGTACACTTGCTTTACATTAACAGTTGAAGGTATCTTTAGAGCATTGCAAACCAACCTTCCACAATGTGGCGCTTCCCAGGTATAGTTCATTCCCAGCTCCCATCAGCCCCTGCCAGCATGGCCAGTGGTCAAGTGTGGTGGGATCCAACAGCATCTAGAGGGTACTAGGTTGGGGAAGGCTTGTTGTTGTTTTGTTGTTTAGTCGTTTCCGACTCTTCGTGACCCCGTGGACCAGACCACGTCAGGATAAGGCTAGTGTAGATGAAATCAGTTAGATTGATCAATAACTTTGACTGTGTATGCAGTATCTTTCTGTGGAAAATGCCAGCTGTACCTAAGTTGTCTGAATCGCTTTGGAACTTATTATTATGGCTGTTAGTTAATTCAGGGAAATGACAGCTAATTTGATGAATCATTTTCCAAATGAGCAGAAGCAACTGTTTTGAAGCAGGAAGCACACTTTTGTTTGTGAGATACACATTTGTCTCTAATTCCAGTGTGGTGTAGTGGTTAAGAGCGGTAGACTCGTAATCTGGGGAACCGGGTTCATGTCTCCGCTCCTCCACATGCAGCTGCTGGGTGACCTTGGGCCAGTCACACTTCTCTGAAGTCTCTCAGCCCCACTCACCTCACAGAGTGTTTGTTGTGGGGGAGGAAGGGAAAGAAGAATGTTAGCCGCTTTGAGACTCCTTCGGGTAGTGATAAAGCAGGATATCAAATCCAAACTCTTCTTCTAAAAACAAAAACAATCTTAGAAAAGCCTTCTGCCCTTGACAAGAGAGAAGGAGGAGAGGTTCATTTTCTAAGATGATTCTTGCCATGTTCTTTTTTTCTTTTTTTTAACAAACACATCCGTTAAAAATAATGCACTTAAATCTGTTGGCTGGTTAATTGGACGTGCTTATTGTGTTTATGGTTTGGTAGTCCCTGGAAGAAGCATTGACGTACTCTTTGTCGGATAATTACTTCTTTGTATCTTCTCTCAGCTCACCCCAATTGAAAAGTACGCTTTGAATTACCTAGAGCTCTTCCATGTTTCCACTGATGATAGCGAACTGAAGGAAAATGAGGTATGGCATGTATATGCAGTCACTTCTACAGCAGTAACCTTTTGGGGGGTTGGGGGTGCATGCCCTTGGTGTGTGTGGCCAGACATACCGCGCTCCCCATCCAGGCAAGCAAGAGGTCTTACCCCAGTTCAAAGACACATTACAGCCTGGTAAGAGGACGGCCACTGAGGGATCTGGCCTGAGCAGATTCCTAAGGGCACATAAAGTACTGTGGGAGGCCTTCTTCTGCTCTTACAGTATTATGCAGCAAAGTATCTTTAAGGACTTCATGTGAACGAAAGCAAAAACTACAGAAGATGCTTAGAAGACCCAGGATTTTTTTTTTTAAAAAAAGACATGGGAGAGTGACATTTTTATTTCTGTAGCCCATGAAAGCTTATGCCATGGTACATCTTGTGGCACCTAAATATGCACACACACATACTGTATATAAATATAATAGTTATTTCCACCCTGGAAATCATTGCCTCTGAAATAATTAGCTCAGGGGTGGGCAAACTTGTGGGATCTACTTTGTTGGGTTTTTGAGGTCCAGCACCGAGGGCCTTCTGGCGGTTCCCTCATTGTGAGAAGCAAAGCTACAGGGAACCAGGCAGAGGGTCTTCTTGGTGGTGGCGCCCACCCTGTGGAACACCCTCCCATCAGATATCAAAGAGATAAACAGCTACCTGACATTCAGAAGACACCTGTTCAGGGAAGTTTTTAATGTGTGACATCTTAGTGTATTTTTGTTCTTTGTTGGAAGCCGCCCAGAGTGGCTGGGGAAAACCAGCCAGATGGGCGGGGTACATATAATAAATTATTATTATTGTTGTTGTTGTTGTTGTAGCAGAACCTGGATATCCTCCAACTGGCTCTTGGTGTAACAGCTGTGCACTTAGAATTAAAGGATTCTGAGCCCACAAGATTGTTTCGAATACCAGAACGGAGCTCTCGGTCTTTCCACGCAAAAATCCCCTCCTAATTACTTCAGCCTAGTATAATTTAGATTGCAGGGAGGTCATTTTGTTGCTGCTATTGTTAAATAGTATTTGGGGTCAGAGATCCTTATCGGTCTACTGCAAGTAACCCAGAAATTTATACCTCCTGCTGATTCCTGAGTTAGTTTTGTAATTGATCTTAATACATTACATTTTTCTTTTAAATATATAAAAATATATATCTTACCTAGATGGAAGTAAGAACTGCCAAAAAGGTGTGGGAAAATCATCACCTGAAGTCGCTGAAAGAACAAGAGGAGAAAATGCTTTTGGATGGGGAAGAGGAGGAACTGCTCACCTACACTCGGGAAGATGCATATAACAAAGTAATTTACCTGCCAGCTTTTATGCACTTCTTAAAACATTTGAGGGAAACCTGCAGGAAAACAACACTTATGTCCCTTCATCTGCAATGGATTGCCAACCTAGCTCTCCTCTAGGATACTAGAAGCTATAAGAACCTAGCTCTCCTCTAGGATACTAGAAGCAGGGCAGGCCATCTCTTCCACTCCAGAGTTTTTCCATTTTTCTAATATTTCATTGGGTACTGGTCCTTAGTTTTCATTGGGCTTTTTTAATTTAAGGGGGGTGCATTACCTCCCCTTAGCTTTTTCTTTTTTTAAAAAGGTTGTATCCACTGTTAATCCTAGATGCATTGAAATTAATGGACCAAAGGTAGAGACATAATTTCATTTAGTATACTCTTAAGTAGGACCACCACGGAGATAAAACCCACAATGAATTGTGCTTCTCATAGATTCTTGGAAGAAGTTGGAAGGCATTCCAAGGGTCGTCTAGTCCAACTCCCTGCAATGCAGGAATCTCTACTAAATCATACATGACAGGTGGCCACCCAAACTCTGCTTAAAAACCTCCAGGAAGGAGAGCACACCACCCTTTGTGGAAGTCTCTTTCACTGTTGAACAGCTCTTACTATCAGAAAGTCCTTCCTGATGTTTAGTCAGAATCTCCTTTCTTGTAATTTGAATCCATTGGTTCGGGTCCTAGCCTCTGGAGCAGGAATAAACAAGCTTGCTCCATCCTCCATGTTACAGCCCTTTAGATATTTGAAGACAGCTATTTTGTCCTCTGGTTTCATCAGAACTAAGTGTGTCTCTCTTCCCCCCGCTCCCTGCTCCAGGAATATATTTATGAAGGCCCAGATGGACAAACTGAAATAATGCCGGTAAGTCTGTATTGATTTTATTACCTCTTCAGCGTGGGGGTGGATGTGGGGCGGAGGCGAGGAAAACGCATACACACACGCTGTATGCAGAGGGGCAGTATGCTCTTGAGTACCAGTTCCTGGAAACTGCAGGAGGAGAGATTGCTGTTGCACTCATGGTCCTGCTTGCAGGCTTCCCACAGGTAGCTTGTTGGCCACTATGAGAACAGGATGCTGGACTAGATGGGCCATTGGCCTGATCCAGCAGGGCCTTCTTATGTTAGTGCATTCACACCTCTGCTTACATATCCCTCTGGTTACGTAAACTTCGGGATGCGAACACGGCAAACCTGGAAGTATTTTTCCTGGAAGGTTTCCCCATGCGTGCATGTGCAGAAGCTCTAAACCGTGCCACGCGTGCATGCACAGAAGCGATAAACTGTGCCATGCGCATGTGTCCTCCGGGTTGCAAAAACCTCGGGATGCGGCCGGACCTCTGGAACGGATCCCGTTTGCAACTGGAGGTACCCCGTACACACTCTTTCTCTTTCTCTTCCACACGCACGCACACCCTCTGCTTATCCAAGAACACAAAGCGAGGTAACTCTTCTAATGCTTTGTACAGCTCTGGACTCCCCCAACGCCACCTCAGGATGACAACGACATCTATATCGACTCCGTCATGTGCCTGATGTATGAGAGCACCCCGATCCCAGAGTCCAAACTGCCCCCCGTGTATGTCAGGAAGGAGCGTAAGCGCCACAAAACGGATCCATCCGGTAAACATCGGGTTTTTATGTAGGATATACATTGTCAGACACCTCCCGGCGTTGCTTCTGTGGGTGTGGAACTCCTTTGTTGCAGGAAGCCCAAGCTGAGAAAGTTGCTGTTATGTCATAGGCTTTCCAAAGATTATTTTAAACATTGAGAAACCGGCTGGGAAGTGGGGTTGTGCTGTTGTGAGGCCCAGCAGGAGGGGGCTCCTCAGGCAATTAGGTTGTGGGAGGGTGCTGGTGGTCAGTCCGAGGCAAGAGGCAGGCATGGATCAAATTCTGAACATTCCAGGATAGGCAAGAGATAAAATCAGAGCATGTGGTTTTCAGAAATTCCCGGTTCAACCTGTGGCATCTCCAGTTTGTTTGTTTTCTTTAAAATAAGGTATGAAGTAGCTGATGATGCAGAAGACCTCTCTCTGCGTAAGACGCTGAAGAGCTGCTGCCAGTCAGCAGACCAGGGATAGCCAGTGTGGTACTCTCTGGATATTTGTTGGACTACATCTCCCATCATCCCTGACCATAGGCTGTGCTGGCTGAGTCTGATGGGAACAACATCTGGAGCGCACCACATTGGCTACCCCTGCAGTAGACAACCTTGGGCTGGGTGGACAAACAGTTTGACCTCACACAAGTTTCTTACCCAGAAGTCTCAGGGCCAGAGGCAGGGAGTGTAAACCAAGGCAGACAGGAGGTGGTGTTACAAAACCAGCAGTATAAGGGGATGGAGAAGGAGAGGTTAGGTTTTCTGAAATGAACAGGTGGCTCAGGTTGAGGAGTCTGTGGCCCTCCAGATGTTTGTGACCTTCAGCTCCTGTCAGCCCCAGACAGCATAGCCCAGTGGTCAGAGATCATGGGAAATGAAGTTCAACCTGAAGAGCCCCAGGTTCTCTGGGCTTGAGCTTTTGCGGGGGATGTTCAAGGATTGACTGTTATGGTCAGCTGACAAAGTGCTCAGGCAGGTGATGACACTTCTGGTACTGCAGCCTAGGGGCACCTACGAAGCACAGAGCTCAGTCTGCCAGGTTTGTGGATGATATAGCACATGGGTGGCAGAGGTGCTAAAGCATTAGCGCCTACTGGCTGGTTGCAGTGGCACAAGTGCTCTTTTTGCTCCTCATTTGTCTTATGGCTGTGGGTCTCCCCCTGCCCTCCACATTGCTACAACTAGTACCTGCCCAGATCACTAAATTTATGACGGTGTTAGGGATTTGGGTTTTTTTTTAATTATTCCCCAGCAAACAGCTCAAAACCTCCCTGATCTGCCAGAGTACCATAGGCGTTGTGGTGGATCAAAGCTTATTACGCCTGTGGCCTTTGAGGGCTTTGGAAACTCTTCCATAATTTTTAACATCCTTGCGTAGTTTGTATGTTCATTGCCCCTTCCCCCTCCCCGCCACCAACTGCTTCACTGAGCCCAGCATCCCTCTTCCCAGCTGCAGGAAGGAAGAAGAAGCAGCGCCACGGGGAGACGGTTATCCCTCCCCGGTCACTCTTTGACCGAGCCACTCTGGGGATGCTAAAAATGAAGCGGGAAGGCAAAGAGCAGAAGAAGAACATCCTTCTGAAGCAGCAGACCCAGTTTGCAAAGCCGCTCCCGACTCTTGTGAAGCCGGCTGCAGAGGCGGGCCAAGACAATCCTGAGTGGCTCATCAGCGAGGACTGGGCGCTCCTCCAGGTGAGATGGCGTCTGCAACACTGGGTTCACTGCAGATGCAAGAAGTCTTTGGGTTACACTCACCTCTGGCTGTACTCCGAATAGACCCATAGAAACTGATGGGCATAGCCAACGTAGGCCCGTTGATTATCAGTGAGTGCTTTGAGTAGAATTTAGTTGGCTAGAACTCCATTGCTGAATAGCTAAATGTGTGTTTCTCCCAGTTTGTCGCCATCTGGCGGTCCTGGGTGCTTGATGCTTTCCCACTCCATCCACTAGGTGCCAGGTACGTTCCAAGAAAGACTTGGCTCACTTCCAAGTCCTTCATCTGCCTCTGCAGCGTACAGACATAAGGTCTGGCGGGGTGTGTGTGCGCTGCTTATTTATTGAGTGCCCTGTGCCCCCTCCCAATAAGAGTATTCCCAGGGTGGTAGACATTGCTACATGAAGTCATTTAAAAGGCAAAGACAACAGAATAAACCACTGCAAGAACAGGTGGATTTGGTTGCAGCATAAACCAGCCTCCTCAGAAGTTTTAAAAGCCTTTTAAAATAGTAATTTAAAAAGTGCAACACTTTCATTTTATTGCCTTTCTTGGAATGTCTAAAACTACAACCGTTAGCCACTATTTTTCTTTATTTTCTGTGCAGCTACTAAGCTCTGTATTCCTTGTATGGGTATGTTTCTTACTTGAAATTAAAAATGAGTTTAAAAGCTTAAAAGTAATAATTTGTTGAGTGGGATGCCAGGTAACCCTCCCAGGTGGGGGTATTCCATAGGCAGAGCTCCCCCTCTTACCCCGCCTCCCAGAGACACTAAGAGGGGTGTGTGTCCAAAGATGACCTTATATTGTATAGGTTGATTCATCTGGCATGTGTTGTGCCTTTTGGGATCCCGCTTGGTGGACATAATGGCCAACAAGTATCAAGCCAGTTTTGCTTCAGTCACAATGATGACCTAAACCTGTAAAGTAAACGGAAATACACTTGCTAATTTTGGAGAAAGTTAAGGAGACACCAGTGGGGTGTTGAGTAAACCTACCCCAATGCCCCCAGTTAATATGGAGGAGTCAAGTTTTCGCAGTTGTGTTGGCTTTGTTTTGCAAAACTGCAGCCCCACTCTGCATACCCCATTCCTTCATGTATATAGTCCTCACTCTCCACAATGGCTATCTTCTGCTTCCGCTGTCAGAGGCAGTGCGCCTCTGATTATCATTTGCTAGGGGGGGGGGTCAAAGGAGAATGCTGTTGTGCTCATGCTCTGCTTGCAGGCTTCCCATGGGCGCAGAATAGGATGCTGGACTTGATCAGTTTTGTGCTGATAAAGTGCGATAAAATAGTGAGTTCAGCTTCATGTGCAACATACTAACCTGTAACATATTTTATTAAGCAAGTGGGACCCGCAACAAAGTCTTGCAGTGTGGGGTGCTCTTGTTCAAGTACCCCAGAAAGCAGCTCTGTCTCTTTGGTTACTTCATTCCATTCCCCTTCTCCCGTCCTGTTTTCTGGGTCCTCCACTCCAACAGATACTCCACGTTCTGTGGCCACTGACCATGTGTAGTCCTGTTTTGTCTCTCACACACCTCAGGTTTGCGGTTTTTTTCTGTTGTACTGCTGCAAACCTTGTGTTCCTCCCAAGTGCCTCCTCTTCGGGAACCAGAACTGGACCACCCACACATCAGAATCAGCACTCACTCCCCAGATATCACTAGTGAAGAGGATAGCAATAGAGTCTTACTTCCTGTCTGTCCTCCCCCTTCTTTGCAGGCGGTCAAACAGTTGCTGGAGCTGCCTCTCAACCTCGCAGTCGTGTCCCCAGCTCACACGCCCAACTGGGATCTGGTCAGCGATGTAGTGAACTCCTGCAGCCGAGTTTACCGCTCCCCGAAACAGTGTCGCAACCGCTACGAAAACGTCGTCATTCCAAGAGAAGAAGGGAAGGTGGGTGTAAGCCGAAGTAGGCAACTTTCTTGCACACGCTTTAGGGAGTCAGAAGCATAAGCAAATCCTTATGAAATTTGTAAAGAGAGGACCCGTACCTGTGATACTTTTCTCTTTTGGATCATTTTACGTGGCACTCTTTTTCCTCCCTTTTTTTTGTATTTGGAAATAAAATAAAATTCGGCAATGTGCTATAGAGTTCTTGCAACAGCCCTGTGAGTTAGGCCAGCATTTTGCCCGTTTTACCAATGGGGAGTTGAGACTGAGACATAGTGGCTTGTCCAAGGCCTCCCGGCATGCGTTCCCCCTCCCCCTCTTTTTTTTTGGGTTGATCAGGGTACTGACCTCTGATCTCCTGGGCCTTAAGCCTCACCCTCTGTCCACTTGTACCACACTGGCTCTTATAGAGACTTTCTATTTATGTCACTAATCTAAATCCAAACCCATCACAGAAAGTCAAACTTTGCTTCTTATTTTACAGCTTATGTATGAAGCGAACCCTAAGAAGAAGACAAAAAGCATTTATAAGGTGTGCACTTACAAATTGTTGTTCCAATTCAGACAGTCTGGTATCTTAAGCATCAGCAGAGGTGGACACAAGATGAAGTAGGAGATCCATATTTGAGTCCTGATTTGAACGCTCAATCAGCCATTTAAAGCCTTCCCATCTATTTCGCGTTGACGCAATAGATTGTGGCGCCAGGCGACCTTTGTCTCAAAGATGTGATTTGAAGAGTGATTTCTCACACTTTAGCCAGCTTGAATTAAAAAATAAAAAGTGTTTTGTCCACCTCCCAGAAATGCCACCTCATTCCGCATGATTATTATAATTAGTACCTTTTTTTTTTGAAAAAAAATGTTTTGTTACTAGCTTTTTTTTACTTTTCATTTTGAAATCTGATTGCTTTGCAGACATTTAATGAATTAATCCCTGCAACGCCCCATCAGGTAATGTATCACCCCCAACTTAACAGCTGCAGAAGCGTAGTTGTAAATTAGTTGTAGTAGGGTTAGAGGTGATAGCAGGAAATATAAACAGCTTTCCGGAAACCAGACCGCAAAGGGGCAAAGTTGGGTGCCATGGAGAAAGAGCTTTTGGCCTCAAGTTACAGTTCCTGCTAAACTTCTTCTTCTGACCAAGATAATCAAATTTAGGGAAATATTTGGGATGTTGCCGATTAACATGGCATTTGTCGGGAGACCAGTATTACAGTGAGTGTGTGAGAGAATGCACATGTGCATATTTTTATGTGCACCTGGTGAAGGAGTACCTGAGGAAGTAGCATCACTGAAGACAAGCGGGTGTGCACCTGATCAGTGGCTCAGCTACTTCAGACTTCTGAAGTCCCCCATGCATGCTGCTCTGTGCTTTCCACAGAAGAGCAGGGTTAAGTAAGTACAGGAAGCAAATTAGTGCTAGCAAGTCCATCTGACAGTGTGTGGCCGATATGGTCTGATGTGACAGTATGGCTGGTTAGGCAGAATAACTGCCCTAAGCTCTCTGGCCCACTCACTTGACTGCTCTGACGTCTTAGGAGCCCAGGGTAGGTGAGCTCCGGGGCGGGGTGGGGGGACCAAAATGGGGAACGAGCCATTTTGTAAAAACAAAACAAAACAAAACCCGGCGCCAAAACAAAACCTTTGGCACTTAATCAAAGAAAGGGAGTTGTGGGGTACCCAGCCAAGCTGCTTCTCAGTGGTGCAATTTGACTGGTTCAGGCCAGGTTCCCTGTTTCTGGTCCCAGTCAGCCCAGAGTTCCTACCTGCCCCATGGAATAGGGGGGTCAATAATGAGAATTATTCAGCTGCTCAGCCTTAATCTTCTGGCAAGTGGGAGAGGCTTGTGGGATTGGGGAAGAGTGAGGGTGGGCTGGAGAAGAGGCAAAGAGGAGAGTAATAAGAAAGGGGGTGGAGATGAGACAGAATTGTTTTGGAGTGTGGGGATAAGAAGTCAGTTGTTTCAGGTTTGTGTACACTTCAGAAATACTACCCACCAGGACCTCCCAAGTGTTCCTAATTCTCCAGTCTCCATTTTCATGATTATATAAAATGGGAAATTAATCTGGTATTATTTTTCTTTCCCTACATTTCTGACACTTGAATCGGCAGCTTACAAACTTGGTACCGATGCAATATTTGGCATAACCTATTAGCCATGGTTATAAGAGGGAAAGCAAGCCACATATCCCCCTTTGCCTCCTGCCCATCTCTTACACATGCTCTCTCTTCCTTTTCTGTTTCACGGCTGTTTATAGAGCAGGTTTATTTAACCAGAGTTTGCAAGCCTCCTTCAATCTCTGTATACAAAGCTAGCTTGAAGCCAGCCATGTTGAGCAATAATACAGATATTCATTTGTTCATTCATTGAATACATCTGTACAGTGCCCTTAATTCAGTAGATTCCCAATAAATCCAGGAACCATCTACCCACACCGTGTTTAGCTCTGAAAAGCAAAGGAAGAGGGACAAACGTGAGAAATGGAACATTCAGATTCATGGATCACCCTGCTATTGGGATTAAGCTCTAGTAGTTTATAATCGTAGTTTGTGCTTTACTTGTTTCTTAGTATTTGTATACTTAGTATACAGTAAGCCTGCAACTTATGCATTTAACTTGTGTGCATTCAACTTCATGTGCTTGGCAAAAATAGCAAATTAAAAGGGGGGCAGAAAGGGAGTGAATGTCGGGGGGGGGGGGGAGACTTTGGCAGTCCCACCTGTCATTGAATCAAATGCGATTTTGGCTTTAGGCGCAGTCCCTGGAACAGAAGCCCTACATAAGTTGCAAGTTTACTGTACCAGATCTCTTACGTAGGCAGAAACATTACAGAGTCTTGTATTGCGCCTTGTAAAACTTTGTTGTTGTTTGTTCATATTTAGACAAAGAATAGCCGACCACTTCGAACAAACCAGCTCTATGCCCAAGATGAGGGCTCCACGCACACCCAGCTTTACACTAATCATTTTGAGATTATGAAAATCATTGCTGGGAAGAGAAGCCCACCGATCAAACCCTTGTAAGTTCATAGGGAAGACGCTCCTCTTGCAGCCACTGCAGTAAAACTATTCTATACAAAAGCCATTTGCTATGCAAGTCCATTGCAACAAAAACAACAGAGGCTTGTGACATTTGCAAGTAGCTTTTTATGGCATAGCCTTTTTGTGGACCCTTGTCCAGTTCATCAGGTGCATGAAGTGCTATCCTTGAGTTAACAGGTCTTGAATCGGGTGGATGTGACTTAATAGCAATGACATGAGAAAAAAACTTCATCCAGTGATTATTCCATATTTAATTTGGTTAGTTCAGAAGACAGCTGTTGATAGCACAAACGTTGTGGCATTGGGTAGCCAATTAACACATGTAATTGACAAAAATCCCATGTGTTTTCATATTGTCTCCAATGGCAGTTCTTCATATACAGTGTATTGATTGTAAACAGAATAGAAATCTGAAGTCCACTATATAATTCTTCCTTGGGGTTCTTTGCCAAATGCAAATATGTTGTGTTTTCTTAAGGTCAAAAAGTGTTCTGGTGGATCTGTCAGTGCATGTGTTGGTGCCGTGACTTTAGAATATACAGCACTGCTCCTCTCTTCAGGAGTATTATTTCTCCCCTCCCCTCCTCGGCCACCTTTAAATAAAGGGGCATTTTGGAAATGTGTTTCTTTGACAACAAATGTCCTCTTGGGTTGTATTTCAGACTTGGTATGAACCCTTTCCAGAAGAATCCAAAACACACTTCAGTACTTGCAGAAAGGTAAGAAGCTTCAGGTAGGAGGGAGGGGTGTGACAGGGCAAGATTAGCACCCCCCCCTTCTTTCTCCAAGCCCTTTAAGCAAAGAACAGGGAAAGGATGGAGTTGATCAAGGGTCAGCAAACTTTTTCAGCAGGGGGCCGGTCCACTGTCCCTCAGACCTTGTGGGGGGCCGGACTATATTTTGAAAAAAATAAATAAATAAAGAACAAATTCCTTTGCCCCACAAATAACCCAGAGATGCATTTTAAATAAAAGCACACATTCTACTCATGCAAAAACACCAGGCAGGCCCCACAAATCACCAAGTGATTCATTTTAAATAAAAGAACACATTCTGCTCATGTAAAAACACGCTGATTCCCGGACCGTCCGCGGGCCGAATTTAGAAGGCGATTGGGCTGGATCCGGCCCCCAGACCTTAGTTTGCCTACCCATGGAGTTGATCTTTTTAGCAGAGACACACACATACACAGAGAGATGCTCTGCATTGGGTGCAATCCAGCTAAAGCGAAATGCTTCTAAGTCCTTGTTGATATTGCTGGAAGTGATTTTAAGCATGTGCTCAACTCTTCCATCAAAATCAGTAGGCCTTAATAAAAGCTCTGGACTTTTGACCAAATGGTGCCCCAGTTCATCCCCCTTCATAATTTCTAATTTAGTTCGTTCCTCTTCATTCCCAGCGGCATCAACTACGACAAGCCACTTCCTCCCATTCAAGTTGCATCTCTCCGAGCAGAGCGTATCGCAAAGGAGAAGAAGGTACGTTGTGAAGGAGATTCCAGTTCCTGCGCCGAAACAGTGAGTCGGGGGATGTTGTTTGGTGATAGCTCCAGTCTCACTCCTCCCCCTCCATAGTGGGGATGAACTAATGTATATGGTATGCTGCAGCTATTTGAAATATGTGATATAAAGGCTTTGTATTGACACTGTAGGGGCTTTATTCACAGTCTAATCTGGACTTAGTTCATTTATGAAATTTGTTGTTTTACCAGCACGGCTGGTCTCTCATTGTGTTAACCAGTTCGGTTTTTTTAGGGCATGTTCTCACGTTCATTTTGCCAGTGCGGCTGGGGCAGTAATATTGAAACTTGGGAATAGCGTCATGGGTGTATCTTTCATTCATCATGTGATAAGTGTCTCCCATGCTTCTTATTTTGTTTAGAAACAGAAGCTGAAGTCGGGTGGTGGTGGGAGGGTATGATTCAGACTGGGACAGCAGTGCATGGGATTGATCTTGTCTCCCTGCACCATTATTTATTTAAATATTTGGAAACCACACTTCCGTACATAATAATCAAAGGTGCCATACAGGCTAAAGACACAGCATTGCAATAAAAATGCCAGACAGATCAGTAAGAGCGGGTTGGCACAGAATATGAGATTTAAAAGCATGTGGGGGGCAGGCTTTATGTTGGGGGGGGCAGAACTGAGTTATCTGTGAAATGATTGGTCAATTAAGTATTTTTTATTATTTTCTTAATGGGAGGGGCAGCTGCACCCCCTGGCTACGCCCATGTTTGAAAGGCCCGTCTGAATAATACAGTTTTTAGAAGACATCAGAAAAATGAACAGGGATGTCTCCTGCCAAACTTCTATTGGCAAGGAGTTCCACAGGGCAAAACGTGCCACACCAAAGACTCGGTCCCTGATTAGGGCAAGCTGAACCTCAGGGGCATGTGAAACAAACCAAAGTGTCCCAGGCCTCAGTGGCCAAGGTGGGCCGGAAGGAATTCCTTGCTGTAAATCCCCCAAATCTCAGCTATTTACCCCTCAAGTAAATTCGTATTTTGGGGCAGGTCGGAGGAAAAGATTATTGGGAAATGGCACGTGGAATTTTTCTGTACCACAGTCCCAACCTGGATTGGGGGTTTCTCTGTTGATTCCAAGGACAGGAGAGACTATCCTGTGATGAACCTGTTGCTCGTTTGGGGCCACTGGCGCTGCTGTATATAATGGGGTGGAAGAGGCATCTGAACAGCTATTCCCAAGTCTTTATATATTTTTCTCCCCCTGCCCCCCACCTACATTGGGAAAGGTAATATGAAGATCTGCCCTAAAGAACTGACACAAAATGAAGGGACTGGACCTTGTATATAAAGTTGTCAAGTCTAGGCAAATTCAACATATCCACCTGTTCCCAGCCAATTGAAGAGAGGAGCGTGAGAATGGCTCGCCTTGTTTGGGATGCTTTTATCCGCCCTTTGAACAGGAACCAACCGCTTTTTCTCCTTCCTTATTTCCCAGGCTCTGGCTGAGCAGCAACGGGCCCAGCAGCAAGCTGGACCTCAGCAGCAACAGCAGGCCGGCCAGCAACAAACACAGCAAGCGGCAGTACAGCAAGCCCAGCCTCAGCCCCAGGCTCAAGCCCAGGTAGTCCAGCAGCCCCAGGCTGTGGTGCAGACGGCTGTTACCACTGTGGCAAACACTGCAGTGCTGGTAAGACACTCTCGAGGGGTTGCAAATAGCCACTGGCCCAGATGCCTGTGGGGAGTGGAGAGCGTGTCTGGACTGATGCAGCAGTTAAGCTATGCGAGAGTCTCCTCTTATTCCTAAAACTCAGAGGACGCATAGCATCATAAAGTGTGGGAGAGGCAGGCTAAGAAGTGTCATGACAAGCCACATTTGCAGGGGTTCTTGTGGGCTTGTAACTTTCACGGGCAAAACTGTGTGGCTGCATTCTTGTTTTAAGACCAGCATCCTGTAGCGCTACAGGCACAGGCAGTGACCAGCCTTAACATCAGGCACGTCCATTTATATGCTGACTGTTTGTTTGACCCGTGGCAGCAAGGATGTTACCTGCTATAGGCTGGAAACCATAACCCTGATTTTCTGTAGGGAGGGAATCAGATGGTTATAGGCTAAATTCATGTTTGGTACTTCTCCTCGCCCTGCCCCCCCCCCAAGAGGACCTGTTATTTTTGAAATAAGTTTTGGATTTATAAGCAAACCCACTCCGTTTTTTAATTTTAATTTTTACTTTTTCACTTGTGCTTACATTTATCATTGTGTATTTTGCGCTAAATCCTTAAACCAGTTAGAAACATAGCTTGAATATCCATGGAGATCATTTGGGACTCTGGCTAATTCTCAGAAAGCTGTGTCACATATGAGTAGATAGCTTCACGACTCTTACATGGTGCCCACATTCACACATAATGCTGAAATTTCAACATTTAGCACTTGACTGTATTTTCCAGCTGCTTCTGAAAATAGGGCTAATGTCTTCCAAACAAACCAGGATAGGAAGCCATCATTTAAACTTTGCATCATATCCTGGCTTGTTTGGAAGGCATCAACCACAGGTTTGGGGTTCATGTGCAATGGGGAACTTTCATTAAATGCCAGCTTTTTAACTAACTGCCGGCTTCAGAGGTTTGCGAAGAAGTTGTGTGCAGCCGCACACAGCTCCTGCCACATCCTGGCCACATTGCATGCCAACCCTTCCACGTCCCGGTATGTTTCTCTCTTTAACCAAAATTATCTCCTGGCCAGGCTGGCACAATGAAGACCTCGGTGACTGGGACAAGCATGCAGACAGGTAAGTTGCACCTCCTGTAGTAAAGCATTGTGGGTGGTGGAGAAATGACTATGCCCGCCTCCATTGCAGGCCCAGACTGACCTTTTGGTTTTGTTTCTCAGCTACAGTGAGTGGGAACGTTATTGTAAATACAGTGGCCGGGGTTCCTGGAACGACCTTTCAGCCAATCAACAAGCGGCTGGCTTCGCCCGTGATACCGGGATCCCTGGCGGTGAGTATTTTCAGATGCCCAGTGTGTCACTTTCAAGCTCCCAATGAGGGCAGTGATTTCAACCAGAGTCCAGTGGTTCTAAGCAAAGTGTGTGTGCGGATGCAGTTTGATTATAGATAGGGGTATCTGGAAAAAATCCTACCCTGGAAGTGGGATTCTTTACTACGGCGAGGACAAAGCTTGGTTTGCCAAGATGTCTTGAGCTTGAGCCATTTGGTCAAGGATAATCTTAACTTGAGAGCTGCGACAAATTACATCTTTCTTCCTTTCCTTTAGACCGCAGGAGGAACGGCTACAGCCCAGGTGGTACATACTCAACAGAGAGCAGCTGCCACACCTGCTGCATCTGCAGAACTGGTGACCATAGCATCTACCCCAGGGGTCCGAGCAGTGACATCGGTGACAGCGCCAGCGGTTGTCACTACTAACCTGACCCCGGTCCAGACCCAAGCAAGATCCTTAGTCACTCAGGTTACGCCAGGTAAAGAGTGTACATTTTGCATAGTCTGATTTTTTTTATAAAAAAGGTTAAATCTTACCTATGGGATACTTTCCCAAACTGGTAGTAACATCTGCTTCATGTTTCTAATCCTCTGCTGACTTGACCTTGCGTGGGTTTTAACACCAGCAGCAGCAGCAACAACAACAACAATTTATACCCTGTCCATCTGGCTGGGTTTCCCCAGCCACTGTGGGCGGCTCCCAATAGAATATTAAAAACACGATAAAGCATCAAACATTAAAAACTTCCTTAAACAGGGTTGCCTTCAGAAGTCTTCTAAAAGTCAGATAGTTATTTATTTCCTTGACACCTGGTGGGAGGGCGTTCCACAGGGTGAGCACCACTACCGAGAAGGCCCTCTGCCTGGTTCCCTGTAACCTCAATTCTCGCAGTGAGGGAACTGCCAGAAGGCCCTCGGGAAGCTAGACGTCAGTGTCCGGTCTGAAGGATGGGGGTGGAGACGCTCCTTTAGGTATAATGGGCTGAGTATATTTAGCCCATGGATGGGGAACCTGCAGCTCTCTAGATGGTTTTAGACTCCAGTACCCATCGTGCCTACCCACTGAGCATGCTGGCTGGGGCATCTGGAAGGCCAAAGGCTCCCTGCTCTCAGTTAAATCTGTGGGGACCTTTTCAACTCGAAGGGCAACCTCCCCGGAGCGGGGAGCGCATGACAGAGTGCTGAGGCAGAGACGAAGGAGGACACCAAGGTAAATGCTGCCTTTGTACTTACCTCATTTCTGCACCCACTCCCACACCCCTCTCTATCCCATATCAAGGCAAGCCAGAGGCTTTATCAGAGTTCAAGGACACGTTCTAAGCTCTCTCAGAAACTAGAAACTCTGAGGCAGGGTGTGAAGCAGGGCCAAGCAAGAGTGTGGCCTGGGAACAGGGCTGGCCGAGTAGGGGGGGCTGTTGATGACTTGTAAATTGTGCTGCTGAAGCTTTTTGCTGCTTGTTACTGGGAATTGTTTTGTGAAATCTTTATGAATTGCATGCTGTAGGTTTTATTCCTTAAAAACGTTGCAGGTCGCTTGGAGGTGAGTTTTGTGTGTGTGTAATGAATGGCTAGGAAGTGTAATCAATCTCCTTTTCTTCTTCTCTTCCCCCTGCCCCCAGCAGCTCCAGCAGGTGTGCAGTTGTCGGGGAAGGCTATCAGCCCGGCTCACTTCCAGCTCCTGCGGCAGCAGCAACAGCAGCAGGCGGCAGCAGGCCAGGTCCAAGTCCCACAGGCCCAATCACCAGCCCAGATTAAAGCTGTGGGGAAGTTATCCCAGGTGAGGGAGAGGCTCCTCGATTTGTTAGCATTGGTCGGAGCGTTGCATTACACCCTATCCGCACTATGCATTGAAAGCAGCACCATGCTGCTTTAAGAGCCAGAAAAATCCTGGTGGCCCTCCAAGACCCACAGCAATTTTCAAGTGTTCAGGGGGTGGGAGTTTGGGGAACTCTGTAGCTTGGTAGAAGAGTGGTGTAGATTGGGCATATTTGCATCGTGGAGTTGCGGGGAAGGGCAAGGAGTTTGCCTGAGTGCTGAAGCCCTGCCTCCATCCCCTAGAGATTTAACCTGATCCTCTCTCACTTCTGAGATGCTTTGCCCATGCACAGCTGTCAAGCATATCTTTACAGTCATCAGAACTGGAAACCTGCTCTTTGAAACAAAAGATAAAAGCAGGGGCTCTGGGAAAGGAGGCTCCCACTCTCAACACCAGATTCTGTATTTTTAGCTCTGTCGCTTCCATGGAATTCTAGCATACACATAGCATTCATGTATTTTTGATAACATGGCATTTGATTTTACACCTGGACCTAATATATATATATAGCAGCTTTCTCCAACCTGGGGCTGATGGAGTTTGCAGCCCAAAGCATTTGGAGGGCAACATAAGAACCTGCCTTATACTGAGTCGGACCTTTGCCCTGTCTAACTCAGTTACTCCCTGTGTCAACTGGCAGCGCCTCTTCGTGGTTTCAGGCACAGACTCTTTCCCAGCCCTATCTGGAGAAGCCGGGGATTGAACCAGGGACCTTCTGCATGCAAGGCAAAGACTCTACTGCCGAGAGCAACCCAGATGGGGAAAGGTGCAGGGCATTACGTAACATGCACTGTGTTTTGAGATCTATACACTCAGCCAGGGTGGATAAAAATCAAGGATTAATTTTAAAAAATAGTAATAAATAAATCAGATTTTTTAAAATTTAAATCGGATTTTTAAAATAAAATGCTTTTGGAAGAGAAATCTTTCTAAAGATAGTTTTCTGTTTAAGTTGCATTATAGGCTATTCATCAGGAAATAAGGATTTGTTTTATGTTTTTCATGTGTGCTAAAACTCAGTCTACGTTGTTTTTTTTTAAAAAAAAAACCGTTTAACCACATCAGTTAACAGACATGGATACATATGCTATAATGTTATTGTTTTAGTTAAATAAATTGTTTATTAAGGAAATGGTTATTTTTCTCCTTCCAATAAAGTACAGCAGAAAAGTTGTCCAAATATAAACATTTAACGTATTAAACCTCACAATAATTTCATAATTATCTGTCCAGGTATTTATAATAGTATAACCAAATCAGTAATTTTTTATATAACTGTAAAAACTACTCTGAAAATTTATTATTCCAAAAACGAAACCTTCATCTGGTTGTAAATATTAAGATTATACCAGCAAGAATAAATCTTTCTGTAAAAAAATATGATTTAAATCAAGTCTTACTGACTAGTGATTTAAATCGTGATTTAAATCGATTTGATTTAAATCAAATCCATCCTGCGCTCAGCAAATCTTGCTACTGTATCAGAAAAGAAAAACTTTGGTTCAAATTCTCTCCTGGTATCAGAAGCCGTTTAGCAGAGCCAAAAGTCGTGGTGGTGGTACGATGTTGTGTTTCTCCTCTCTCTCTTCAGGAGCAGCTGATCAAGTTACAGAAGCAAAAGATGCAGATTCCCCAACAGCAGGCCGCCCAGCAGCAGGCCCAGCCTGGAGCCCAGCAGCAGGCCTCTCAGGTTCAAGTGCAGCAGCAGCAGCAGACCCAGCAACTCACGGCCGTCGCAGCACCGAGGCCAGGGGCGGTCCTCACTGGCACCACCGTCACGAACCTCCAGGTTGCTCGCCTTGTAAGTCAGCCTTGGGGATCCTGCAGAGGTTAACAAGCCAGCAGAAATTTCAGTTAGCCTGGCACTGGTGGGATGGTTGGCAAAGAGGAGAGACTGGGCACAAGCCTTCTCCTCTCTTTCTTTTGGCTTGGCTAAATGCTGCCTGCTGTGTGTGTGGGGGGGGGGGGGAGAGAGCTCTGCCCTTCCTCTGCTGGCTCATTCACTCTCCTGCATGGTCTTCTGTACTGGCTGGGCAAGTTCTTTAAATGCATTTAAGCCCTGGACTGGCAGCCACAGAATTCTGCTCAGCTACAGCACTCTTCATTGTGAACACAAGGTGAAAAGTCTTTCTGGAACAGCTGTCTTCTTTCTCACAGACAGTATATATTTGGGAAGCAGACCGTTCCCCACTGTTGACCCCTAAGCGACTGACATTTAGAGGACACTGCTTCTGAACACCAGGGCTCCATTTAGCCGTCATGGCTTCTGGGGGTCAATGGAGCCTGCCCCTCCTCTATGGATTTGTCTTAAGCCCCATTTGAAGCCATCTGGGCCAGCCTTCTCCAACCTGTTGTCCACCAGGTGTTTGGGACAACCACCATTTGTTCCTGTCCATTGGCCAGTTGGGCTGATGGGTGTCATAGTACAAAACTTCTGGAGGCTGCTGGCTGAGAGTTGGAGTGTAGCAGAATCCGGAGAGCCACAGGTTCCCCATCCTGTTTTAATCCAGGGGTGGGGAACATTTTTAAAGTTGAGGGCCACATTCTCTGGCAGAGAGCCTTCAAGGGGCTACATGCTGGTGACGGGCAGGGCCAGAGGCAAAAGTGGCCGGAGCACTTCGTACGAACACTCACAAACCTTTCTCCGTTCTGCAAGCAGGGCAAGCGAGAGGCATTATCAGAGTTCAGGGAAACGTTACAGACAGGCAAAGTGTCTCGAGGAGGGTGTGAAGCAGGGCCAATGAGGGCCTGAGTAGAGTTCCAAGGGCCAGATAGGTTTCTCGTTCCTGTCTCATTGCGTTGCCGTTCTGCATTCCACCAGAAATAGTCAGGTCTCCTCTCATGCTTGTGCAATAATCCCAATTCCTTACTGCTCAGACTCGTGTTCCTGCTTCCCAGCTTCAAGCGCAAGGCCAAATCCAGGCGCAGGCACCGCAAGCAGCCCAGGTGGCCTTGGCGAAGCCTCCGGTGGTGTCTGTTCCAGCTGCTGTAGTGTCATCTGCAGGGGTCACCACACTCCCTGTCACAGTTGCTGGGATTAGCGTCGCTATTGGACAGCCACAGAAAGCAGCAGGTGTGTCAATCATTCTTCTTAACCTGTGTGTGTGAGAGAGAGCATATCAAACTTCCAGAAGAAAAAGCCCGAGCTTTCATTTTAAGTCTCTTTTCTCCCTTCTCTCAGAGTGATGTTCAATATGTCACTTTCTTTTTCTTTCTCTTTTTAAAATCAGAGACTTACTAATGCCTAAACTGTACCATGCTTGTGACAGTGAATTCTCCAGTTGTCCAAGGACTTGGGATATTCAGTGGGTCAGGGAATCAAACAGATTGCAGACTTGCTTCTGTGAAGCAGAAGGAAAGCTGTCGGTTTAGCTTTAGCATAGGAGCTGGTGGAGAACTGGCAAGAGGTTTTATTTCTATATCAAAAACTTGCCCCCTGCTTCATCCCAAGATGATTTAGGTCAAGATATGAAAACAGTAAGAGATCAAAACAAAAAACACAGCAGCAGAATAAATACATCCCAGCAAAAACAAAAGAGCAGAATGAATGCAAGTTGCACAAAACACCTGTCCATTTCAAAGACTTTCCTGAGGAACTATATGTCATCTTGGTACCTGAGGGACCATAGCTTCCCAAAATAGCCCTCCTCCTCCCCCTCTCTCTAAAACCACCCCACTTTGGGTTGTGCTGTGTGCACACAAATTGCTGCCCAACACATTGCCTGCAGTCATCCTGCTCCAGTCAGGTCGGCAAGAAGAAGAAGAGTTTGGATTTGATATCCCACTTGATCACTACCTGAAGGAGTCTCAAAGCGGCTAACATTCTCCTTTCCCTTCCTCCCCCACAACAAACACTCTGTGAGGTGAGTGGGGCTGAGAGACTTCAAAGAAGTGTGACTAGCCCAAGGTCACCCAGCAGCTGCATGTGGAGGAGCGGAGACGCGAACCCCGTTCCCCAGATTACGAGACTACCGCTCTTAACCACTACACCACACTGGCAAAGTTGTGGGGACGTGCTAGTGGAGGGCAGGAACAGCAGTGCTGAGAAGGAGGAGGGTGCTCAGGTTCGCAGTGCTTTGGAAAAGCCCCTCCAAAGCACAGCTGCTCCAGAAACTTGGAAGGAGATGAGTAGGATCATCAATGGGCATCAGAGGCACTTACCTCCAAAATTCAACAGGACCCCAGGTGAAGGCCTCATCCTTCTGGAAGCTGGCTTGTGTGGCTACCACAAATGTCAAGTTTGTTTAGTAGCCAGGACAGGTGGGTCTCTGACTACTGATAAAAGAGCAGTAATGGGGAAAGATATGTTGAAGGAGGAAGGACTTCAGCAGGCACTGAAAACACAACAGTCTAATATTTAACAGGAAGGAATTCCAAAAAGGTATTTCGGAGCATCATTGTAAACAATGTCTCAGAACTTGCATTGTCCAGTCTTTTAGTTCTGTCCTTCATATCCTGCACAGGAGGACAGACTGTGGTGGCTCAGCCGCTGAACGTCCAGCAGCTCTTGAAACTCAAGCAGCATCACCAGGCAGCCCAGCAGCAGAAGGCCATCCAGCCTCAGGTTGCCCAAGGACAAGCTGCTGTTCAGCAAAAGGTACCCCTCTCCGTTCCCATTACTGCCTTTGCAAACGCTGCATTACCACTAAGGTGGGAAACTGGATACTTTGGCTATTAGAAGCATGCTAAAGATGGAGGAATGGCCTGCTGTTATCACCAACTCCTACCTGTAAGTAAATTGTTGCAGTAGAGCACAGCTGCATAGGGCAAAGATTTGCATGTACTTAACCATGTCCTGGATTCAGAGAACTCCATTCTGTTTGTTACGTTCCATATCTTGCCTTTCCCCGAAGGAGGTCAGGGCAATGTGCATGCTTCCACACACCCCTGTATCCTCTAAGCAAGCCTGTGAGGTAGGTTGGGAAGAGAGGTCGTGACTGGCAAAGGTCACCCAGGGATTTTCCTGGGGAAAATGGGGAATCGGAACCTGATTCTTCCAGTCGTAATCTGACATTTTTAACCAGTGCGCTGACTCGAAGAGGTTGAATGCCCTATTTTGCCCTTTCAGATAAATGCCCAGCAAGTCACCGTCCAGGCCCAACAGCAGACATCACAGCAGCAGAAAGTCTACGCTACGCAGCCGGCCATTAAGGCACAGTTCCTACCAACGCCGATTTCTCAGGCCCAGAAACCTGGTGGAGCCCAACAAGTCCAGACCCAAATACAGGTAAGGCTACTGTGCCTCTTCCCCTCTCTTTGACGAGGATGTGATATTGGTACTCATACAATAAGAGCCTCTTCCGTTTCCCTGCCGGTTGTTCAGTGTCTGTTTCTACCGAGTTCATCCCTACATCAGTCGGTGTGGAACCCACAGACACTGGCTTATGTCAAACATTTGCAGAATGCTGGATACTTTTTAAATGACAAACCCCTTCTCCCCCAATGTGTTGTTCTTAAAGGTTGCAAAGCTCCCACAAGTGGTCTCGCAGCAGGCAGCAGTAGCCAATATTCAGCAGGTGGTGTCTGTTTCCCAACAGGTAAGGTTTGTGGGATCCCACATTTCAAACTTGCATGCATTTTTTCAAAATCTTGAGCGGGGAAGTGTAACTTCTGAAATTGCCTTTAGAAAGGATTGAACCCTTAACAAAGTGTGATGTTCACTAGCAAGCATTTCTGTTTACCTCTTCCCCTTTTTCTCCCTCCCTGCACCCCTCAAGGTTCAAGCTCAGCCGCAGACGGTGACTTTGTCCCAGACAACAGCAGGACAGCATCAGGTCCAAGTCATCCCTGCCACCACCGCCACCGCTCAAGTGGTCCCACAGAAACTGGTCCAGCAGCAGGTTGTCACGGCAGCATCTCCCCAGATTCAGGCAGCCGGCGTACAGAACCCATCCCAGGTTCCGGCATCGTCCGACGGCCAGACTCAGCAAGCAAAAGTGCAAATGAGGACTCCGGTCAGGATAAAGGCGCCCAACAAACCCAGCTGAGTCCATAGTGACCTCACAGCAGTGAGCAAAGGAGGACACACTGTTTGTGCTTCCTGCAACCTGGCAAATGCTGGAGCCTGCAGACCTGTTTGCACAGGAAAAACTTTGCCGGCAGTCCCTTCACCAGAGAGCCTCTCCCCGAAAGCTGCAGGCGCACTTTGTGACTCTGATCCTGTGTGAAGTTCCCAGGAAGGCTGCACGTTCAAACCATACGCCGTGTAAATATTTAAAGACTTGGATCTCTGCTTGTTTTCATAAGAGAGATAATCGAAGAAGTTGCTCTCAAGTATCCGTAGAAATCTGCATAGTCTCGCATATCACCATCACTGCCATAGGGAAATCCTCTTTGAGTGGGTTTCAAATGACTAAAAGGCAATGCTCAGTCAATGGCTGGCAGAGCAAGAGTCCTCTCCACTTGTTTTGAAGTTGAGTTGTGACAAGCCCTTCATAAGTTGGCTGGGAGTAGGGATTTGTTAGAAGCTCTCTCCAGAACATTTAGCCAATAAATGTGAAGATTTGTAAGTATCTGTAATTATGAACCATATTTCAGTCTCCATTTTTGTAAGTCCTTTTTTTAAAAAAAACATTTGCTAGCTGTGTGTCAAGTTGTGTGTCCTGTTCCCTTCCCCAACTGTACAGTGTTTTTTAAAGCACTCACCCATAGGCTTTCACTCTCATTTTCCCACTTTTAAGGTAAATAATAATCCAGGCATGTGTCTTGGGGAAATAAATACTATGTGATAATATCTGTGTGTTTAATTATTACCCATTGTTTCTCTTCCTACCCCACTTAATTTGTAAAAAGAAAGGTTTCGTTAACAATTGATAAGCAAAAACGGTTCATTGCCCTTATTTCTCGCCTGGAGCAGCCAGACTAGGAGAATGCTCTGGTATTTTTTTCATTGTTGGGATCTGTTTTAAATGTCTCTGCTTTATAGGAAGAGGAACTGAAAAATTTCAGTCTAAATTCTTTAGTTGTGTAAAGAATTGGATTTAAATGTTTTTGTGCTCTTCTTTTACCAAACGATAAGAAATGAAATCTTCATGCGGGGCATTTGTGGGTTGCTAATTTTGCAAATTTTGCCTGCCTTACTAATTTTTGAGTTCCTGAGCAACTGTGAAACAATCAGGGACAGCAGCTTCTGATTCCCTCAAACCCCTCCCCCAATTCATGGCAAAATATCTTTGCCATGTGTTAAAAACTGACACTGCTTCTGGAATCTCAGATTGTCTGCTGTTTTAGTTGCTATGCTGCACAATGTGCCATGAGAACAAAATGAGATATTATTAAATGCTAGAAAGAGGACCATGGTTTGCAGGGAAGTGATATATCTGCATGCTACACAACTGGGGTCCCAGTTTTGGTGGGGTGGGGGTTCTGCCGTTCTTCTCAGACTACAGAGCCAGCCCATGACTACAGAGCCTGCCCAAAGCTTGTGGGTCACAGTGGGCTCTGTGCTAAGCTCTCGTGGATTGTGGCCAACGTAGATTCCTGTTCTGCATACATGAATTATTGGACTGCAACTGTTAGAGAGCACAGGCAACGTTTTGTACCTGCAGAGCCCCTAGCCCTTTCATTTAAATTCGGTTCCCTCTTGCAACATGCCTGCTTTTCTTGGAACCTCAGTTTTTACAATTGTCAGTTGTGTGTGTTTGTTTGTTTTGGGTTTTTTTAATAAAAAATAAGTGTTTGTACATAAAAGAAGTAGAGACAGATCAACCCTCCCTTGATAGCTTTGTACTATTACGTTTGTTGGTTTGTGTTTGTGTTTGCTGCTATTACACAGGCAGTGGAAGAATTAAAATGCAAGCTGAAGGCAACGGCAACACACAAAAAAAGATGGTTGGGAACCACTTGGAATGTCTCTTGTGTTAGCAGAGGGCTCGCCAACCTGGTACCCTTCAGACGTTATGGACTACAACTCCCATGAGCCCTCACCAGCCGAGTTGGCTGGGAACCACCCAGAATATTTCTTGCGTAAGCCTCTTTGGAGATGAATGGGTCATGCATAGAAGCTGGTTCCTGGTAGATCATTGCGCCTATTTCATACTGTATACTGATGTCCACCCCACCCCCCTCCAAAAAGTGTAGTTAGTTCTGGTTTTACTTCTGAAAAAAAATGTTTATATCTTTATTATGTGTATAAATGCAGTGGGGTGTAAATGTAAACAGAAAAGAAAAAGTAAAGGTTTCTCTCCTCACCCCGCATTTTTTTTGACAGCCTCTGTGTTTGGTTTTGATTGTGTCAGCAGAAGCAATGTCTATTTCTACAGACAGTGAAGATGAAAATTAGACTCTTCCCCTCTGTCTCTCCCTCCTCTTCCCTCCCTCTCACAAAAAAAGTGTGTTAGGAAGCCGGTCTAATTTGTAAATATCTTTATGAACATAAAACATTTGTACTTGACCAGTAGGATTGTAAGGACTTGTGATGTATCCTACCTGAAGGTGTAATAAAGTGTACATTTTTATAACACATGGCTGCCATTATTTCTTGGGACTTTTGTATTTTGCATTGACCCCTTAGGATCTGCTTCTTTGCTACAAAATATTAGTTCCTTCCCCCCCTGGAAACCACGAGGGAAGGGGAGGCTGATAAAACCCCAGAAACTTTAAAACAGCTTTGCAGGTTCAACCTTTTATCAAGATGCATCATCCTAGAGGGGACAAACAGGAAGAAGTTGAAATTAGAACTCCATGTGCACTAATGTCAAAACAGAGACATTTCCCCCTACTCCAAAATAAATAGGGAGAGCGAGTCTTGAAACAAAAGGAACAGTTGCAGTATAGGCTAAGAGCAAGACTCTGACACTGATCTAGAGAAGAAGGAAAAGTTGCATTGGGTACTTTACATAAAGGTAAAGGGACCCCTGACCATTAGGTCCAGTCGTGACCAACTCTGGGGTTGCGGCGCTCATCTCGCTTTATTGGCCGAGGGGGCCGCCATACAGCTTCCGGGTCATGTGGCCAGCATGACTAAGCCGCTTCTGGCAAACCAGAGCAGTGCACGGAAACGCCGTATACCTTCCTGTCGGAGCGGCACCTATTTATCTACTTGCACTTTGACGTGCTTTCAAACTGCTAGGTTGGCAGGAGCAGGGACTGAGCAACGGGAGCTCACCCCGTCGCAGGGATTCGAACTGCCGACCTTCTGATCGGCAATTCCTAGGCTCTGTGGTCTATTGGGTACTTTACCAGGGAGTAAACATCACTTGAGTTTGACCAAACTGCGGGAGGCAGTGGAAGACAGAAGTGCCTGGCGTGCTCTGGTCCATGGGGTCACGAAGAGTCGGACACGACTAAACGACTAAACAACAACAACAAAACATCACTTGAGAGGAAGCCAGACCTTGCCTTGTCGAGGGAGGGAGATTCTTCTGGAGGGGTAGTTGCCAAAAGAGCTGAGGGTTCTGGTATTTTGAATGTAGATATAAAATAGTGGGGGGGGGGGGAGTATGTTTAGTTACCTAATTAAATTAATGACTGAGCAGGGCTTTGAACATGATTCACCCAGGTCTGAGTCAATATTCTAGCCAAGGCACCAGAGTGCAGGGCATATGGGGCTTGTCAACCTGGGAAGGGAGCCCACTTAGGAGGAGGAAAACTCTGACCCTAAACCTCTGCTTCCTTGCGGGATATATTTGGGGGGAGAAAAGGCTAAGGCGTAAACCTTACACATCTGGAGTGGAGTCCCTAAGATGGTTGGATGGCACCTTGTACACCTCCTGGTGCCAAACGTATTTCCCCCCAGTTTTCAGGGTTTTTATTATTTGCTTTTATTAAAAGATTTTCATGGATAACAAAGATACACATAACATCTCTGTTTTCAGTTCATAGAGTCCTTTCTACATGTCAGTTACACTCTGTGTGAGACATTGCTGTCAAAGGGGAAGGTATCCCCAATATACGAAATACTACAAAAGTATTGCTCTGCTGTCCTTTGGACCTTATTATCAGTGAGGTCGAGAGGGGGCTCTTGTCTCTGGGCATCTCACAGGGAGGCCACTTTCGAGTTGCTAACACAGCGGTTTGACTTCACCTCCAGAGGCTTACTCCATTGTCTGCGAGACAGATGTCGAAACGATAGCCTCCTACCAGCCAGGCCAGATCCCTTAACGCAGAGGAAAGTAATTCTAATCATCTGTGGCCATGTTTTTCCTATGCTTTTGGTGTCTAACCTATGTAATGTCTCTCAACTTCTGTCAACACTTACTGTGGTAGCCCTGAACCTGAGATCAGGATACCTGAAAGACCAGCTGAGTTCTTAAATCCCAGCCTGGTCACAGAGCTCATCCTGGTCACAAAGGCCCAACTGGCCTCACTCACTTCTTTAAGTGTAGCTTGATAAATCTCCCCAAGTGTGACAGGGATGCATCCTGACACACTTTTATTTTTAGTACATAAAAATTGTTACACAGTATATACTACAAAACTGTAGAGTTGGAAGCGACCCTGAGAGTCATCTAATCGACCCCCCCCCCCGGCAATGCAATCTTTATTGTTGGGGTTATAAGATAAAAGGAGTGGGTTGGAGGATATTTTTTATTGAATTTATATACAGTGGTACCTCGGGTTAAGTACTTAATTCATTCTGGAGGTCCGTTCTTAACTTGAAACTGTTCTTAACCTGAGGTACCACTTTAGCTAATGGGGCCTCCCGCTGTTGCTGCGCCGCCAGAGCACGATTTCTGTTCTCATCCTGAAGCAAAGTTCTTAACCCGAGGTACTATTTCTGGGTTAGCGGAGTCTGTAACCTGAAGTGCATGTAACCTGAAGCGTATGTAACCCGAGGTACCACTGTACCGCCCTATATCCACAGGTCTCAGGGCTGTTCCCAGGATAAAATCAGAATTATAATACCCCAAAGTACATAATCAAAATAAAAACAACAACCCAATAACACACACATTTTTAAAAGGGCATACCATTCCAGCTTAGGAAAACAAGTTTGCAACATTACTGTCCAGGCCAAAAAAAAAAAAATCTGATCAAAAAACAAAGTGTAAAAATGCACGTGTTAATCGCTTTAGCATTCACCTGACCTCTATTGGCAAATCTTCCCCATGGCCGCTTTCTCTCTTCGGCTCCGGGCGGATCCTCGGCTCTTTACGCGCGCCTTAGCTGGGGCGCTTCGCTGCGCATTGCGCTTGCATCTAACGGAGCCTCGTGCGGCTTCCTCGCGAGGAAGGAAAGAAAAGCAACATAAGGAAACACACTGCCAGGACTGGCGGTCGCTGCTGCTGCTGCCGCTGATGCGGAGCGGAGGTGGAGCCGAGCGGAGTCTCTTCCCGCCCCGGAGGCGGAGATCGGCTCTAGAAGGCGGCGCCTGGCCGGGTTTCCTTCCGCGCACGTGGGCGCCCGGGCCCCGGAGTTGAGCAGAGAGCCATGGCGGGCCGTGGGACCGGAGGGAAAGGCGCCGCCGACGCCGAAGCCGCGCTGGGGACCTGCCTGGAAGCGGTGCTGGGCAGCCGGAGCAGCGCCAACCGCGTCTTCGAGATCCTGGAGCTGCTGCAGGTGAGCGAGGCGCACGGGCGCCGCCGGGGGAACCGGGCGCTCCGGCACCTCTCTTTTGGGGGGGGTGGGGGGTGGGGGGAATCCCAGGAGCCGCACGACCCGAACCAAAGAGGATGGGGAGGAGGAGCCATGCTCAGGAAGGGCAGTTGCCTCTGGCCACGAGTGGACGCCGGTCTCAATGCTTCCCATGCTTGGGTAGATGGATGGATAGATGGATACTGGGTTTAACTCAAAGGAGAAGCCCCACCGAGTTCGCAGGTGCTTACTTCCTGGCAAGTGTGGTTCACATTGCAGCCTTGGGCAGGTGTCTCTCTCTCTCCCTCGCTCTCTCTCTCTCTCTCTCACACGCACAGGCAGGCAGGCAGGCACACATACAGTCCAAGCCAGCACCTCCTATAGTTCACCAGTGCCAGATTTATGTATAAATTAAACAAGGGATGCGGGTGGCGCTGTGGGTTAAACCACAGAGCCTAGGACTTGCCAATCAGAGGGTCAGCAGTTCACATCCCCGCGGTGGGGTGAGCTCCCGTTCCTTGGTCCCTGCTCCTGCCAACCTAGCAGTTTGAAAGCACGTCAAAGTGCAAGTAGATAAATAGGTACCGCTCCAGAGGGAAGGTAAACGGTGTTTCCGTGCACTGCTCTGGTTCGCCAGAAGCGGCTTAGTCATGCTGGCCACATGACCCGGAAGCTGTACGCCGGCTCCCTCAGACAGTAAAGCGAGATGAGCGCCGCAACCCCAGAGTCATCCGCGACTGGACCTAATGGTCAGGGGTCCCTTTACCTTTACCTTTAAAAAAGCTATAGCTTAGGGCCCCACTTTCTTGGCTTCCGTTTCCCACACTTTCCAAGCATGGAATGTGAACACAGACATGTGATATAACAATCACACATCTAGCAACGGGAGAGAATGAAAATACTGACAAACCATTCATTATTCCATTATTGCATTCATCAAAACTTATTTACACTGTTGAATTTATCTTAATGCTGCCAGTGTTTTCAGCTGTACACAATTATTTCCCATATATTCAATAAACGTTTTCCAATCTTCTCTAAACATATGTTCTTCTTGTGTTGTTATTCTATATGTTAAGTCTGCAAGCTGAGCATATTCTTCTTTGGTTGGGACCTTGCTCGTTTTCCATTTTCCCTCCTTTCCATTCCCATACAGGATGAGCAGAAGGAGATTGTCTTGTGTGCCATCCGGACCTGCAGCCGCCTCTTTGGGTCTTTGCTTGAACGGGGAGAGCTCTTTGTTGGGAACCTGCCTCTGGAAGAGCCATCTTTGCAAGGTGAGGATGAATATTGCGCAGGAAACTGGACTAGGGGGGAAATTGTGATGGGCACCACTGGTATTTATTTATTTATCTATTGCTTGCCTGCCATTCACCCTAAGGTCCTAGGGCTAGGTCACATCATTAAAACATAACATTTAAACCAGTTTAAAACAACTCTGTGGTTGATCCGCAACCAGCTGAAGACCAGTGACTCCTTCTATTTCTGATATACAGGTGCAGCTGCCAATACAGTTCTCAAACTTAATCCGTTCCAGAAGTCCATTCCAAAACCAAAGCGTTCCAAAACCAAGGTGCGCTTTCCCATAGAAAGCAATGCAAAATGGATTAATCCATTCCAGTCTTTTAAAAACAACCCCTAAAACAACAATTTAACATGAATTTTACTATCTAAGGAGACCATAAAATGAAAGCAATAAAAAATGTACTGCAGTCACACAATCAATCAGTAGCTGAACTGGGTTCCACACACAGTCACCAAAAAAAAGAGCTGCAAAAAGAAAGACACAAAAAAATTTGCAAAAACAGACAGACCTCGGCATAACACTCAAAACGGATGTGTGGCACTCAAATTGGAAGTATAACACTCAAAACGGAGCACATTCGGCTTCTGAAAAAAGTTCGCAAACTGGAACACTTACTTCTGGGTTTGCAGTGTTTGGGTTCCAAGTTGTTTGAGTACCAAGGTGTTTGAGAACCAAGGTACCACTGTATTTATGCAGTCCACACAGCTCTATCTGAAATGGATATTGAATAACAGTATCCATGAGTTTTTAAAAAAACATGTATAATTAAAGGACTCTCAGACTTATCCAATGAACAGTAAAACAGGCGGAGCACTCTTTCCATGGGAGAAACACTCAGGAATTGTTCAGCAAAATAAAAAACCCAAACAAATTCCTAACAAGAGAGGTCATACATAGAATAAGGTTGTTGAACTTGAAAATCCTGACAAAAATCTGTTTGCTCATTTGTTTTTTTCTTTCTTGACTATAACTTGAACTTGGTTGACCGATAAACACGTGATTGACAAAAACCCCGTTCGTCATTTCCATCTGCCTTCTCTCTTTTCTCACTTCCTGCTGGGCCCACACCCCCATTTTCTCATCTCACCCCCTCCAGAGAGTTACAGTGCAGAAGACAAGTACAAAATTTGGATGAGGCATCGATACAACAGTTGCGTACATTGCTTGGGGGAACTGATGGGCCACGAGTCTTTCCAAGTCCAGGTGAGTTTTGCTGGGGTGATTAGTTTGGCTACATGATTCTACTGTCAGGGAGAAAGGCGGGGTATAAATAAATATATAGGCAGCCCCCCATTTACGCAAGTTTATAGCTTTGTAAACAAGCATTTTGGTTTCCCTGCGAATGTCCTGGTCCTCAAACACTCTGCACTTCAATCGGGAGAAAGCCGCACTCGCAGAGCTCAGGCAATGCTGGATTTCGGCATCAATGTTGGCCCTTGTGGAAAGATAACTGCTAAGAGGAAGGTATGCTTGGTAAATCCACACCATGATCGACTCCTGCCTGGAAACCAATGTCCCCACTGTGGAAGGACGTGTGGATCCACAATTGGCCTCCACAGTCACTTACGGACTCATTGTTAAAACCGTGTTTATGGAAGACAATCTTACTCGGCTACAAGTGATCACCAAAGAAGAAGAAGACGACGCAAGTTTAATATGTGCACAACCGTGTATACGCTCATCGTTCCGAACCTGGAAGAGACTCGGAAATGTCATAAAGGCGTCACTGGAAAGGGTGGAGTGGGGTGTTTGCAGGCTTTTTCAATGGGTTTCAATTATACGCGATTTCACTGGTGCTTGCGGTGCCTTGGAACATAGCTCCTGCATGAACGGGGGGCTGCCTGTAATAAAAATAAAATAATAATTTATTTATACCCCGCCCATCTGGCTGGGTTTCCCTAGCCACTCTGGGCGGCTTCCAACCGAATATTAAAAACAATACAGTGTCAAGAATGCTTGGGGAGGAGGCCGGGCAGTCTTAAGGCCCTCACGACTTAAGACTGTGGCTGCATTCGCACGTGCATTGCATCAGTTTAATTGATTATAAGGCTAGCTCTTCAGTCCTGTTTCCTAATGTTATCTTTCCCTCTCCCCCTGTTTATTTTAAGGAATCTGCCCTCTGCACCCTGATGAAATTTGTTGAATTGGAAGCCAAGCACCCTCTGGTCAAGAACGAGTGGCGGTTTAACTTCCCGCGAGAACTTTTGAAAGTAAGTCGCACTTTTGATACCATCGACCATGACATCCTTCTGGATCGTCCAGGGGAGTTGGGCGCTCTGTAATACAGTGGTTCTGCTCCTTCCTCCTAGGCTGTGTTCAGAAAGTGGTGTTGGGGGATGAGTGTTCAGACCCCTGGGCTCTCACTTCAGGGCTCCGTCCTCTCCCCCATGCTTTTTAACATCTACATGAAGCCGCTGGGAGAGATTATCAGGGGGTTTGGGCTGGGTGTTCACCAGTATGCGGATGATACCCAGCTCTGCCTCTCTTTTAAATCGGAACCACTGAAGGTGGTGAATGTCCTATGAGGGTGTTTGGAGGATGCATGGTGGTTAACAGATTGAGGTTGAATCCAGACAAGATTGTTTTGTTGGGGATGGGGTGGGCGGGTGTGGAGGACTCACTGGTCATGACTGGGGTAACTGCCCCTGAAGGACCAGGTGCGCAGCCTGGGAGTCATTCTAGACTCACAGCAACCTTTTTGCCATCATTTATTCCCTCTTCGTCTCTGAAGATTTGTTTATGGTCCAATTTGGGATTAACATAAAGTACTCCCCCCCCTTTTCTTCTTCAAGCATATGAATTCCTGTCCTAATCCTTTATTTAACAATAGTCTTCTGTGTTGTCTCTTTATACAGGTTGCTTGGTAGCAAATAACAACTAGTTTTTGTCTCGCCAAAATATGTGTAATCCTAATTCGTCAGTTTTTATTGTTCAAACCATTAGCATTCCGAGAGAGCAATTTTAAATCCATCATTGATTCTTTTTATACAGCTTAAAGTCATTTTAGAAATTTGTAATGACCTTATTTACTATCTTCCTCCCGCTATTCCACCTGCTTATCTCCTAGTTCCTTTTCGTATTTCCTCCGAAATGCTTCTGCTTTTATTGGCTCTACACATCTTTGCTTCATACGTAAAAGAAAGTCCTTCTGGATATTCCCTTCTCACAGATCATCCTTTGTCCTCTATTGGCTTGTTTTAGGGTTCTTCCCTCTTGGGGTATTTTGTTCCCTTAAGCATCCTTTTATCACTCTCTTTTTTGAGGGTGCTTAAGGATTGGCACTAGGGATGCAGGTGGCGCTGTGGGTTAAACCACAGAGCCTAGGACTTGCCGATCAGAAGGTCGGTGGTTTGAATCCCAGCGACGGGGTGAGCTCCTGTTGCTCAGTCCCTGCTCCTGCCAACCTAGCAGTTCGAAAGCACATCAAAGTGCAAGTAGATAAATAGGTACCGCTCCGGCAGTAAGGTAAATGGCGTTTCCGTGCGCTGCTCTGGTTCGCCAGAAGCGGCTTAGTCCTGCTGGCCACATGACCCGGAAGCTGTACGCTGGCCAATAAAGCGAGATGAGCGCCGCAACCCCAGAGTTGGCCATGACTGGACCTAATGGCCAGGGGCCCCTTTACCTTGGCACTAAGAAGGCGAGTTTGTTGTTTGTGTATTGCAAGCCAGCTCACATGTGGCTCTCCAGATGTTGCAGAACTCCTAACACCCATAAGTTCTGACCATTATCCATGCTGCCTGGGAATGATGGGAGCTGGACTCCATCAACATTGTTGGACAGCCACACGTTTTGTGGCATAGGTAAAGGTCCATTTGGGTCAGCATTTTTGTTCCAGCTAACCAGATGGTCTGGGAGGTATGCAAGCATGTAGGAAGGCCTTGCTTTGCGTGGTTGCTTGTTTTCATAGTACATAGCATTCAGAGATACACTGTCTCTGAAAAGGGAGGTTCTATTTGAGCAAGAAACGGCATCTCAGTGAAATGGGGGGAGCGTTGAGTGAAAAGGGATGGGTAATACAATGGTTCAGCTGATCTTGCCTGCTGAGCTCCTGGCTTCCTTTCCTTGCGTTTTTCTTTTTTAAAAAAACGTGTTTTTTTTTAAATTATTTTTTGCTAGGTGGTTGTGGACGGCTTAATCCCGGTGGAAGCTAATTCTTCGCTCTTGATTTCTCGCTTCCAAGAATACTTGGAACATGACGATGTCCGGTTCTTTGTGATGAAGTCAGTGGCTGAAAATGTGGGTGGCATCATGCAGAAGACCAAAAAGGTACTGGAAAATGTCAGCCGGCTGCAATGAAGAGGCTGAGCCCAGGGTGGAGCCTTGTAAATGACGAGGCATGTCTATATAGATGAACAGGTGGTGCTTATCGGATAAGGGTCAGTCTCCAAAGTCTGCTATCTCCAGGAGCAGAGAAGAATATAATAATAATAATAATAATAATAATAATAATAATAATAACAATAATAATAATAATTTTTTATTATTTATACCCCACCCATCTGGCTGGGTTTCCCCAGCCACTCTGGGCAGCTTCCAACCAAGTATTAAAATACAGTGGTCTGTTAAACATTAAAAGCTTCCCTAAACAGGGCTGCCTTCAGAAGTCTTCTAAAAGTCTGGTAGTTGTTTATCTCTTTGACATCTGGTGGGAGGGCGTTCCACAGGGCGGGCGCCACTACCGAGAAGGCCCTCTGCCTGGTTCCCTGTAACTTGGCTTCTCGCAGTGAGGGAACCGACAGAAGGCCCTTGGCGCTGGACCTCAGTGTCCAGGCAGAATGATGGGGGTGGAGACGCTCCTTCAGATATACTGGGCCAAGGCCGTTTAGGCCTTTAAAGGTCAGCACCAACATTTTGAATTGTGCTCGGAAACGTACTGGGAGCCAGTGTAGATCTTTCAAGACCAGTATTATGTGGTCTTGGTGGCCGCTCCCAGTCACCAGTCTAGCTGCAGTCCTTAAATCAGTGGTGTGTCCTTTGTCCCCCACTCTCTCTGCAGTTCATCTGAATCAGGCCAATGGCTCATCTAGTCCAGGATCCGGCTCCTGTAGTGGCCAACCAGATGCGTGTGGGAAACCTGAAACCAGGACCCCCCCCCCCAAGCACTACACTCACTCTCTCCTGCTGTGGTTTCCAGCAAGTGCCATTCAGAAGCATTTCAGTTGAACACATCATAATGGGTAGCCTGGCTCTCGTTGACAAGAGCTTGTGCTGAAATGCATCTCTGTAGAGGCATCTTGCCATCCCTTCCAGCCCTTCCAATATTATTGTTATTATTATTAGTATTATTAGTAGTAGTAATACCCCGCTGATGTGACTGGGTTGCCCCAGTCTCTGAGCAACTTCCAACATACCGTATTTTTCGCTCCATAAGACGCACCTGACCATAAGACACACCTAGTTTTTAGAGGAGGAAAACAAGAAAAAAATAATTCTGAACGAAACAGTGGATGTATGATTTTTGTGGTTCATGCTGCAACCACAGGCATGATATGTGATTTGATGGAGAGTTTGGGGTAGCCCAATGCAAAAATCCTGAGAATCCATGTGGATCCATGCTTTGTAACCACGTTTTTGCGCCATTGCGGCCCCACAAAACAGTGGATGCGTGATTTTTTTTGGTGCAGGCTATAGCCACGGACATGCTATGTGATCTGATGGTGAATTTGGGGTGACCCAATGCAAAAATCCTGAGGATCCATGCGCTTTTACCTCCCCCCTCCCAGGTAGCCTCCTTTATCACTAGCATCCCTTATCTACCTCCCAATTGCTTGCCAATCAGCTGCTCAACGGCTTCGTTTCAACACTCCTTTCCCTCTTTCAAAAAAAGAAAAAGAAAAGAAAGCATGATTTGCGTTTTGCCCCTGGGCAATTCGGCTCCAGGGACTACACATTCGCTCCATAAGAAGCACAGACATTCCCCCTTACTTTTTAGGAGGGAAAAAGTGCGTCTTATAGAGCGAGAAATACAGTATATAAAAACATTAAACATTAAAAACTTCTACATACAGGGCTGCCTTCAGATGTCTCCCAATGGATTTTTTTTATATACTACTTTCTTTTTTACATGCACCGACTACTTATTATAATGATGAAAAAATTCAGCTTGGAGAAATGCGCTAAGAAAGCATGGTTCTAAAGCAGCAGTAGCATGAAATCATGTTATTAGTAGTCGTATTACTTTTACTGTTATTATTACTACTACTGTTTAGGGTTAATGGCTTCTAAACAGTTCACAAATTAAAAAAAAACCCAATTGCAGATTGGCAATACCCCTTCACCCAAACACCAGATGATTCTCAGCACATGGTAACATGGAGGCAGGATTTTTGCATCAAGAGAAGAAGATGTAGCCCTCTCTGAGCTGGGGAGAAATTTAACCGCTCATTAAAATAAATTGCGAGAAATGTTTTTGCCAGCTCTGTTAGAAATAAGGAGGGACATTTTGCTCGTTGCCAGGAAAAGATTCCCCATGCTGCTTTTTGGTGCTTGTGATCACTGCCCAAAGCGGGGGACTCGCGCAACACCCTCATCTTGAAATTGGAGGCTTCAAGTTGGGTTCTCTCCCCCCCCCCATATATATTTTTATTGAGTTTCCATTTTTAACAATATTATAACATCATATCACCTTTTACAAATTTTAGCTCTGCCGAGCTTTTGACTTTTCTCCGTTCCATCATCTGGTTTTTATAGAACACAACTTAAACCCGCACATTTATAACCGTTGAAATTCTACATTTATCTTAAATTATTTAAAACCTAAAGCACAAGTAGAAGGTTTCTTCTTTTAAATGTCGCGAGCTTTATCGCTGTCCCGCTAGCGTCTTTATACATTCAAAATGATGGGTCTGTGTATTGAACAAATTTACTCCACTCTCCCTGGAACGCTTGGTCCCTCTGGTTTCAGATTCTCCCTGTCAGCGTTGCCAATTCCACATACGGTGGTACCTCGGGTTAAGTACTTAATTCGTTCCGGAGGTCCGTACTTAACCTGAAACTGTTCTTAACCTGAAGCACCACTTTAGCTAATGGGGCCTCCTGCTGCCGCTGCGCAGCTGGGGCACGATTTCTGTTCTCATCCTGAAGCAAAGTTCTTAACCTGAAGCACTATTTCTGGGTTAGCGGAGTCTGTAACCTGAAGCGTATGTAACCTGAAGCGTATGTAACCCGAGGTACCACTGTAGTCCATCATCTTCATCTGCCATTTGTCTATCGTCGGTAATTCTTGCTGCTTCCACTTCTGGGCTAATAAAATTCTAGCTGCTGTAGTAGCATACATAAACAATTTCTGGTCAAATTTTAATATTCCCACTCCTGTCATCCCCAAGAAGAATGTTTCCGGTTTTTTGGGGAAAGTATATCTAAACTTTTTTTTTTTTAACTCATTGTAAATATTTTCCCAAAATACTTTAACTTTATCACAATTCCACCACATACGATAAAAATCACCCTCTTTACCGTTACATTTCCAACAATTCTTATTACTCATTTTATGCATTTTAGCTAATTTAGTTGGTGTTGAATACCATCTATGCATCATTTTCATTATAGTTTCTTTCAGTGCCATGCATGCAGTGAATTTAATTCTGTAATTCCATAACTTTGACCAGGCTTTGAATTGAATATTATGGCCAATTTCTTTTGCCCACTTAATTATCACCTCTTTAACCTCTTCATCTTTTGTATGCCGTTCTAAGTCATACATTTTTGATAAGATTTTTATTTTTCCTCCCCACAATTCGGTTTCTAGCTTAGATCTAAAAGTTTCAAGGTCATTCTTCCTATTATCCTTTTTAAATACATCATTTATTAAATGATATTGCATTCATGTTTGGTTCTTTGTGTGTCTTCCACGATACAACACTGTGGGGTTTTTCTTCTTCTGCAGGTGCCACTTCCAGTGTACCAGAAAAACGCCTTTGCCCTCATTTCATCTATTTCCATGCCGAGCGAGGAGAGCGAGATACAGAACTTCCTAGTGAGAAACAGTGAGTGAAAAGTGGCAGCTGCTCGTTCGGACATATTTGTGTTAGGACTGGGGCGCTTTGACCCACGCAGCCCCCCTAAAGTGCTCAGCGACTCTACCTTGCCAGCGTTGGAGATTTCAGTGAGGTAGCCCAAGGGCCACATTCACTTGAGAGCAGCTTTCTAGGGGCCCCAGGCTAGGGATGGGCAGGGTCAGAGGCAAAAGTGGTCAGAGCCCTTCATGCAGCAGGCTGCATCCCATCCTCACGAATGTCGAGAGTTTTCTACCTGTACTCTCTAAGCTCCCTGGCCTAGGAAGCACCAGACATTTGAAACAGCATCACGCCACTTTCAACAGCCATGGCTTCCCCCTGAGCATCCTGGGGACGGGGCTGTTGTTTGCTAATGGTGTTAAGAGTTGTTAGGGGGCAGCCTCACGGAGCTAAAATTCCCACACTTATTATTGCTTATTATTTAGATGCCCTTCATCCATAAATCCCAGCATAAAGGTACTAGATCAAAATGCAAAATGCACGATAAAAACAAGAATGAAACAAAACAATAAAGCAGTAAATCAGTAGTACAAACTGTAGGTAATGCAAATCACTGTCCCGTGATTTCATATATGAGTTTGTACTACTGATGAAGCCCAAGACGGTGAAACAAGGCTAATATTCTCGAAATCCTTGTCTTACACTCTGTGAAAGGATTCTGTGGAACTGCAACAACCTTTCGTGTGGATTGTTGGACTCTATGAACAGACAGGTGGAATAGACACTTTCATATATATGGACCTTATGCATAAACTGATTAGAGAATGAACTGATCCACTGGGTCTTCTACATTTTTTGTTGAACTTCATGAGCTACTTCTGTTGAAATCTACATTGCAATACAATGAATAGGATATATTATTTTTTCAAATGTACAGCCAGTTACGTCTTGTGTGTTGAATATGTTTCACATAAACAGAGGTTTGTTGTTGTTTTGGGGTCTGGACTTTCTGCAGGCTGAACATGGGCTCCACAGACTTGCAGACTTGGTCGCACTTTGCGCTTTTGTTTACCTGACTGTTTCCTTCTTTTCCTCTCCCCCTGCAACAGCTAACCAGGAAGAATGGAAAGTCTCAAAGCTGAAGGTAGGTATTTTGGGTGGCTGAATGGAATTCCGTTTCTGCTCTTGACTTGCACGTCCTGTTTCATTGACAGCAGGATGGGGAGGGTCAGCCTGGGTGGGCGGCCGACCTCTGGGGAGCATCGCAATTTGCATCAGCCCCAACTAGCATGTCCTAGGATTGGGTGTGGGGTTGAGGGCACCAGGTTGGCTAACTGGGTTTAGGGTTGCTCTCTGATGCAACTGTTTTGCACCTGTGCAGGTGGCTGTCTGAGTGTTTCTGTCATGAATTCTACTGATACTGACCCAGAGCGGATTCCAACATGTAGTTAGCAGAGTAAAAACCTAAACACGTTGCAGGATTCCCAAAAAATAGACCAGACAATTAATATTTCATCCAGCAGAGCTTTGCTGTTATTTGAAGGCAAATGAGCATAATGGTCACAAATCCAATTCATTCAGGATTGGCACTGCCCATAAAAAATCCAGTTGCGGCAACTTACAATAACTTATACACTGGTACCTCAGGTTACAAACACCTTGAGTTACAAACACTTCAGGTTACAGACTCGGCTAACCCGGAAGTAGTACCTTGGGTTAAGAACTTTACCTCAGGAGGAGAACTGAAATCGTGCGGCGGCGGCAGTGGGAGGCCCCACTAGCTGAAATGGTACCTCAGGTTAAGAATGGCTTCAGGTTAAGAACGGACCTTCAGATCGAATTAATTTGTAACCAGAGATGCCACTGTAATAAGACTAAAACCTTAACGCTCAGCAGATCGGTACTCTGTTCCAGAAGCTCTGAGCTGGCTGGATTTCTTCCCGGAGAGTGACAGAGAGGCAGGGGATGGTGTGTCATGCTCTGGTCTTGCGTCGTAGCTGCCGTCAGGCCTTATTCTCAAACTCCTCTTCCTTCAGAGGAATGCTCTGCATATCCCAGCCAGCCCAGGCATCAGCGTAGAACCCCTGTTACAAGCATCTGCTGCAGAGTGGCACAACAGATGTTCTGGAGACTCCATTCTATTCATGATTGAAGTGAGAAAAATAATGTGCATCTCTCATTGAGAAATCTGGTACATGCTGGCTTCAGGGGCCTGACAAGGATGAGTGTGGCTGGCTCAGTGGTCGTCCACTGTGTGATAATGTTTTCCAACATGAGCCCACTAAAGCCCAATGAACGCAAGATGGTTCCTGCGGAGACCTACTTCCTCCCTGTTCTTTCTGCCCTTTCTGTTTCCAGGAGCACAGACGAGCGTTTGAGAGGATGTGGCTCGTATTTCTCAAGTACAAGGTGAGTGGCTAGTGCTGTTGAAGGTTTTTGTAGAATTGTAGAGTTAGAAGGGATCCCATGGGTCATCTAGCCCAACCCCCTGCAATGCAGGAATCTCAGTTAAAGCATCCGTGGGTTTTGCTTTAATGTCACGCTAAAAAAACAACAACTGCACTCTTTCGTTAAAGTAGGTTTTTTAATGATTTCTTTCAAGTGGTTTTATCCCGAAGAGGGCTCCCAGAGTGGTTTGCAGTGACCAAATATCGTACTGGCCCCTCAGACTAAAAGGGGACAGTGCAAAAGGGGGAAAAGGGGGATTTGGGAGGAAGGAAGGGAATGCAAAAGCTGGGCGCCAGTTCTAAAGTTCTTCATAAAGATCATCTGGAATAAGAACGGTTCTGGGAGAGGAGGAGCCGGAAGTTGTTATTCTTCCAGCAGAGCCGATGGTGTGGCCCTGCTCTGCTTTCTTTCCTTTCTTCTTCTATAGCCTGATGGATCGTCATCCATGGTGGATGATGCTGGAAGGAAAACCTGCTTGACTGTGACCGTCTGACTATCCTTCCTCTCTCCTCAGCTACCTGGCAGCCTCTACAAAAAAGTGCTGGTAATACTTCACGACTCGATCCTCCCTCATATGAACGAGCCAACCCTCATGATAGATTTCCTGACGGTCGCCTATGACGTAGGTAGGTCGAGAGGTTGCGTTCTCCAGGCAATGGAGAGTGGTAATGCTGGACTGGCAAGTCACCTGTGGGCCATATGAGCTTTGGGGTGAACTTGAGTGGCCAACCTGGGGGCACAGAGGCCAGAGGGGCCTGAGGAATCCGGGTCTTTTGCACTCCGGGCTAAGGAGGGTCTCTGGCTTGGCTCTGGCATATGCCGTATTTTTCGCTCCATAAGACGCACCTGACCATAAGACACACCTAGTTTTTAGAGGAGGAAAACAAGAAAAAAATATTCTGAAGGAAACAGTGGATGTATGATTTTTGTGGTTCATGCTGTGGCCACAGACATGTGATTTGACGGTGAGTTTGGGGTAGCCCAATGCAAAAATCCTGAGAATCCATGTGGATCCGTGCTTTTTAACCACATTTTTGCACCATTGCGGCCCCACAAAACAGTGGATGCGAGGTTTTTTTGGTGCAGGCTGTAGCCGTGGACATGCTATGTGATCTGATGGTGAATTTGGGATGACCCAGTGCAAAACTCCTGAGGATCCATGCGCTTTTTCCTCCCCCCTTCCAGGCAGCCTCCTTTCTCGCTAGCGTCCCTTATCTCCCTCCTGATCGCTTGCAGATCAGCTGCTCAGCAGCTTTTTTTCAACACCCCCTTCCCTCTTTCAAAAATCTGCTTTTCGCCCCTGGGCAATTTGGCTCCAGGGACCACGCATTCGCTCTGTAAGACGCACAAACATTTCCCCTTACTTTTTAGGAGGAAAAAAGTGTGTCTTATGGAGGAAAAAATACGGTAATCAGTCTGGCCTACAGTGTTCTTTGCCTCTCTGCCAGCATGGAACTTGATGATGGTCTGTGTGGGCCTCTTGGTAGTCACCCTTCCATGCTGGGCTGCTGCAATGCGCTTGATGTAGGGCTGCCCCTGGAGACTGTCTGAAAGCTGCGGTGAACACAGGATTCGGCTGCTAAGTTGAGGGGGGGGAGGGCAAGAATAAAAAAGGAATTAATAATACAAAATATATAATGATCATAATTAGCTTCAGCAAGGCAGCTGCATCATGTGCCTTCATCCTTTGACAACTTGGTAAAACATTCTGACTGCACGTCTTGTGACTCCCACACTACTGGCTGAACTAGGATTTATGATCGAATATATTCTGTTGACTTATGTATACAGTTTTTCAGCATTTTAGAAATTTGTTTCTAATATAATGGGACGCGGGTGGAGCTGTGGGTTAAACCACAGAGCCTAGGACTTGCTGATCAGAAGGTCGGCGGTTCGAATCCCCACAACAGGGTGAGCTCCCATTGCTCTGTCCCTGCTCCTGCCAACCTAGTAGTTCGAAACCACGTCAAAGTGCAAGTAGATAAATAGGTACCACTCCGGTGGGAAGGTAAATGGCGTTTCTGTGCGCTACTCTGGTTCACCAGAAGCGGCTTAGTCATGCTGGCCACATGACCCGGAAGCTGTATGCCAGCTCCCTCGGCCAATAAAGCGAGATGAGCGCCGCAACCCCAGAGTTGGTCACGGCTGGACCTAATGGACAGGGGTCCCTTTACCTTTATCTTTAATATAATAATCTATTGTAATAATTTATTATTTATACCTCTCCCCATCTGGCTGGGCCTCCCCAGCCACTCTGGGCTGCTCCCCACAGAATATTAAAAACATGATCAAACATTAAAAGCTTCCCTAAACAGGGCTGCCTTCTAAAAGTCAGATAGTTGTTTATTTCCTTGACATCTGATGGGAGGGTGTTCCACAGGGCGGGCGCCACTACCGAGAAGGCCCTCTGCCTGGTTCCCTGTAACCTCGCTTCTCGCAATGAGGGAACCGCCAAAAGGCCCTTGGAGCTGGACCTCAGTGTCTGGGCTGAACGATGGAGTTGGAGACGCTCCTTCAGGTTTAAATAATAGCATTCAGTCGGCACACATGTGTAGTCCTGCTTATGAGCTGAGAGCCCGGTTCCTACCCATTTGTTGCTTCCCCAATAACGTTTTCCCTAGGCTTTCCCTGATGCATAAGACTGAACCCTATTATTACAGAAATTCTGCTTTTATAATATATACTGTTTTCGGTTGTTGTTTTTCTGGCGGAAGGTGGTGGACTCCCCTTCACTGGAGGTTTTTTAAACAGGTTGTATGGCCATCTGTCAAGTATTCTTTAGCACTGCAGGGGGTTGGACTAGATGACCCTTGGGTTCCCTTCAAGCTCTACAATTCTGTGGTGTGCCCCTGGTTTTATGTTTTTTTTTAAAAAATTGGTGTATTTCTGTGTATTGCCTAGAAAAAAAGTAAGCAGTTTAGAATTGCTTTTATTTTAAGTAAGCGAATAAATGCTTCTCTCACAGGTGGAGCAATCAGCCTCCTTGCCTTGAACGGGTTGTTTGTCCTGATTCTGCAGCATAACCTGTAAGTTTCCCCGGCTCCCTGGGATGTGAGCCACTCTTGGGATGCCACCTGTTTGGATAATCATGCATTGAAGCCCTTTCGTATGCAGAATGGGCGGTGTTTGGCGAGTGAACCTTGGTTAAATATCTTGGTTGTTGCCATCTCACACAGAGATAGGGAGGCCAGCTCAAGATGCTAAATGTACAGGGAAATTGTACAGCGAATGAGCAGGTCCCTCGCTCTGTATCTGCGTCAACCCCACGCGAAACTCGCCTTTTGCAAGCCGAGTTGCGCTCAAACATCTATCGTCAACCATATTATAGTAGCATCATAAGTAAAACACAGAACACCACACGACACAGCACAAAATAATCATTAAGTGACTGGCTGGACAAGAGAGTTATGGGCAGCTGGACAGGGGTGTCTGCGTGAAAAAAGTCTTTAAGAGACTCCTGGAAAGCAAAAGTGAGAATTCCTACCAAATTCCACAGCACTTGGGAACAGTGAGGCTAAATCTCCAATTTCTGTAGCACAGGGGACAACTAACAACCCTTATCCAAAATATTTTTGGTGATCGAGCTAGGCTTTATAAGAGCTCAGGCGATCCTTAAAAGCTTTGTGTATTAACTCTAGAGCCTTGAACCTGGCTGGGTAGGCGTAGTTTATTTATTTTTTAAGAGATGACTTTGAGATTGGCTTTGACCATTTGCCCGACCATGCCCAAGAGAAAGGCCTCTGGTTTCTTAGGAAAGGTATATTTGAATACCTTTTTAATTCATTATATATCATTTCCCAGAAAGCCTTAATCTTTGGGCACGTCCACCAAAGGTGAAAAAATGTACCTTCAGTTTCTTTACATTTCCAACATTTGTTATCGGGCAAATGATAGATTTTTGCAAGCTTGACTGGGGTTATGTACCACCTGTATATCATTTTCATAATATTCTCTCTTAAGGCATTACATGCCGTAAATTTCATACCTGTGGTCCACAACTGTTCCCAGTCAGCAAACATAATGTTATGTCCAGCGTCTTGTGCCCATTTAATCATAGCCGATTTTACCGTTTCATCCTGAGTGTTCCATTTCAGCAGCAAGTTATACATTCTTGACAAATTCTTAGTTTTGGGTTCTAACAGTTCAGTTTCTAATTTGGATCTTTCCACCTGGAAGCCAATTTTCTTGTCCAATTTAAATGCCTCCATTAACCAAAGAGCCACTTCTGGTTGTTCTTGCTGGAGCTCCTGCATGTTGCGCTAAACCGTGGTTTGGTGTGAAGTGCAAACGCAGCCGCTGTGTTAAATGAGTTTTCACTATCTTTGGAGTCAGTAGTCACTCAGATGTGTAAGAGGGTTCAGCAAGGCAGCTTGCCTATCTGTTTTGGTCTCCATAGGGAATATCCGGATTTTTACAAGAAGCTCTACAGCCTTCTGGACCCATCTATCTTCCACGTGAAATACCGCGCCAGGTTTTTCCGTTTATTGGATTTATTCCTGTCTTCCTCGTAAGTACGCACATGACCAAAATGCCACAAGGCCCTTTTGTGTCCTGCTTGCTTAGACTTTGATCAAGTAACATGAAGGCTCATTTCCCCTTTGGCTGTTTCCAAAGGCTGGCCTAGCCCTCCTAAAACCTTCTTCATTTTCTTTGGGAACAGAGAATACAGTGGTACCTCAGGTTACATACGCTTCAGGTTACAGACTCCGCTAACCCAGAAATAGTACCTCGGGTTAAGAACTTTGCTTCAGGATGAGAACAGAAATCGTGCTCTGGCGGTGCGGCAGCAGCTGGAGGCCCCATTAGCTAAAGTGGTGCTTCAGGTTAAGAACAGTTTCAGGTTAAGAACAGAGCTCCAGAACGAATTAAGTACTTAACCTGAGGTACCACTGTAAATGAGACAGGTTTGAGGATCTCTTTTTAGTAGGTTTTAAATCCACAAAGAACCTCTGAAAACCCACCCACCTCCTCCAAAAAACTAAACAACCTCCCCACTTCAATTACTTTGATTTTAGGTGCTGGAGACTTTTGAAAGGCCTGCTTTTCTCTGCAGCATGCCTTAAACATAATTTGCAATAAGCAATTGGCAAGACAGGCGCTGAGATTCAGAAGCAGGGGAGAAAAATATATGGGGGAAGCTGTGTTCCGCATCATGTTTAAATTATGCAAATAAGCAGATTTGCATATTTGTTTTATTGCGTGAAATTTATACCCCGCTTAATTGTAACAAAAAAACCCCAAATCCCTTCAAAGTGGTTTACAATTTGAAGAGTTGCGTACCCAAGTACAGTCGTACCTTGGTTCTCGAATAGAATCCGTTCCGGAAGTCCGTTCGACTTCTGAAAACGTTTGAAAACAAAGCCTTGGAAGCCCCGTCGGACGTTCAGGTTCCAAAGAACGTTCGCAAACCGGAACACTCCTGGGTTTGCGGTGTTCAGGAGCCAAAACGTTCGAGTTGCAAGGCGTTCAACAACCAAGGTGTGACTGTACTGATATTTAGAGGCCTTTTCTTTGAGTGACCTTGAACTGGGCTTGTGTGATGGTGGGGAAGAGAGGAAGAGAGTTTTCACCACCCTCTCCTCTTCCCTTCCATTAGGCACTTGCCCGCATATCTGGTGGCTGCCTTCACAAAACGACTCTCTCGCCTGGCACTCACAGCACCGCCTGACGGCTTACTGATCGTCATCCCCTTCATCTGCAACCTCTTGCGGAGGCATCCGGCGTGCAAGGTCCTCATCCACAGGCCTGAAGGCCCTGCAGGTAAGAGGAAGGTGGCACAACCTTGAACCATTTCTGGACAAAGGCAAAGGCAGGGCTGAGCTTTTCTGTGAGCGTTCTTTTTGCCTCTGTCCAAAATTGTGAGACGTTCACATGCACATAGCTTGCATCAAAGGGGCGCCAACCTTTTGAACCCTATGGAACAGGGGTCGGCAAGGCTTACCGCGCATGGGCCGGAACCCTCCCGTGGAGATCCTCCGTGGGCTGGGCTGGGCTGGCGCAGCGCGACACCTGAAATCGCATCTACGCATGTCCACGGTGCCAGAAATTGCTTCTGCACAGAAGTGATTTTCCGGTGTCTGGGCATGCGCAGAAGCAATTTCTGGAGCCGCGGAAGAGAGTCCCCATGCTGTGATTTGCCAGTTTAGTGCAGTGTGCGGGGACTCAGTGAGCAGGCGGTTCGGTTCGGGAGTGGCTCGTGGGCCGGTTAAAGGGCCTCCGTGGGCTGCTTCCAGCCCATGGGCCTTAGGTTGCCGACCCCTGCTATGGAAGTAGGAAAGCCTGGAGTTTTTTTAGTACTGTTTATTTGATATTACCGACAACGAAAAAGTATTTCCAATCTTAATGCTTCCATACCATGCATTCAGATACTCAACAAAAAACTGTCCCACCTTTCCTCAAAATCAGCATTCCTTTTTATTTTTTGAAGGAGTGAACTTATCCATTTCGGCCACTTCCAAATGTTTTATTAGCTGCCAGAGTGTGTTGGCACTCCTGTTTTCTAGGTACCTTTCAAGGGAGAAGAAGACAACCCCTTTCACAACATCATAAATAAGGGAGGCTGTTTGGGTGGGGCCCTCAGAGGCTTTGACGGCATCGGGAAAGACCTCAAGAGAGCTCTGTTGTGCCTGAGGGGGCACCAGGCCCTCTGGCCTAGATGAAATATATGCCAAATTGTCTGGGCAACCTTGTCATGCCAGCTGGTGACCATTGGGACTGGTAGGGTGGAAGGCAAGCAGCCCAACAACAGCAGAGAGAGCCAGAGTTGATGACACCTAAAGACATAAAGGGACGTGGGTGGCGCTGTGGGTAAAACCTCAGCACCTAGGACTTGCCGATCATCAGGTCGGCGGTTCGAATCCCCGCGGCGGGGTGCGCTCCCGTTGCTCGGTCCCAGCGCCTGCCAACCTAGCAGTTCGAAAGCACCCCTGGGTGCAAGTAGATAAATAGGGACCGCTTACTAGCGGGGAGGTAAACGGCGTTTCCGTGTGCTGCGCTGGCTCGCCAGATGCAGCTTGTCACGCTGGCCACGTGACCCGGAAGTGTCTGCGGACAGCGCTAAGTGTCGGACACGACTGGCCTGTACGGGCAGGGGTACCTTTACCTTTACCTTAAAGGCATAAAGCAGGGAGGCCAACAGTAGGTGGCACTAGAGCCGGTTCTGAGGTGTATCCTCTTGGGACACAGGCCTCACATTTTTGCTGGTAATGGCGTTCTGTGTTTCCTTGTAGAGATGTCAGAAGATCCCTACTTGATGAGTGAAGAAGAGCCTTCGGAAAGCAGAGCGATGGAGAGCTCCCTTTGGGAGATACAGGTACGTTTCTGGGTATCTGAGCGGCTTCCTTGTGTGCTGGTGCCAGGTTCCAGTGAGGGAGCCTGTCGTGGGGGAGCCTGGTCACACCCACTCCAAAAGATGGCCCCCTTGCTACGCCATTGATGGGCTGTTCTAAAAGGGATGCAGAAAGCGCTGGTGGGATTCAGCACTGTGTACCTCTTCAGCTTGGCCTGAATCTAGAAAGCCAGGTCACCGGAGAGAAAGGCTTTGCAGAGACCTCTCCCTGGTGTGCTTGCTCTCTGCATGCAGGGAGCTCTTCACATCTGGCAGCATTCAAAAGCATGACTGCATTCCCTACTTTCAGAAGTGCAACAGTCCAGAATTTCGCCACTTCGTTTTGCCTAAAATGTAGAAAATGTTTAACGCTTGCCTAGGGAGACACAGGCAACTGCAGACAGGAGCGGGTAGCCCTACTCTCTAACAAAAGGGATGAGAACCATTTTTCACCCAAGATCTGGATTCCCCTTGGGGCAATTTGTGGGTGCGGCAACTGATGTGAATTCTGTCTTTGCACAATGAATCATTCTGCAGGTGGAAATTTTTTTAATTGAAAATATTTCAGTTGAACAAAATAAAGTGAAAAATAAATGAAAAAAGTAACAAGTCGTACGTAATTTTTTAAAAAACAAACAAACCCCCAAAGCAAAACAACATTATAATTCTATACCTTCTCATCTAGTACAAAGGTATACAAATGAAACTTTTATTATAATACATATCCATTTATTTATAACCTACTATAATTGTTATAAATGTTTTCCAAATATAATATTTGTCCATACACAGTCTATGTCTATAAGCTCTCCAATCGAGTTGTCATGTCTTCTATCCATTCATTAAAGGGAGCCATAGATTTATGTTTTTAGCGGATCAATATCAGTCTTTTAGCTGTAGTGAGGGCATGTAGAATCCTTTTATGTTAGCCAGTTGTCACATTCCGTGTAGTAGGTAGGTAATTTAAAATAATAGTACCCTCTGGCAACGTTAACGTTCTCCCCAAAGTAATATTTGTACAATCTAGTACTCTCTCCTAAAACTTCATAGGCATAGGACATTGAATAAACATATGTGTCAAAAAAGCATTATTACATGTACAACCTGTTGTCATAGATAGTCCCTTTCTAGACAAAGCTACTGTGTGAATTTGTGGCAAAATTGAGGTTTGGACAGGGGAGCCTATCCCCACTTGCTGACAGGAGTGTCTGTCAGAAGCAAGTTGGCAATAACTCACATGGTATTAGTGAAGTTAAGTCTTTTTTCAAAGAAACAAAACGGCCCAGGAGGCCAGGCCTAGTGGTCACAGCAACCCTTCCCCTTCCTGCAGTTGTGAGGACTGCCTTCCCACCGCTCCCTTAAGTCTCCTTCTCCAGGTCCTTCCCAAGCAACCTGAGACTTCTCTACCTGGTCTGTCTTTGCTGCGCCTTCTTCATACCTCTTTGGGAACTGGGAGGAGGGGAAGACGGCCTAGTTTCCTCACCAGCCAGACTCATCTCTGGCTCTTGGTCCTTCTTGGTCCCCCTCCTCTCCAGCCTCCACTTCTGCCTCTGCTTCTGGACTGCTCCCTGCCACACCCTCATCCTGCTCACTAAAGCCTGTCGCCTCTCCAGCTTCCGACACGTCCTCCCAGTCTGCTCCCTCTTCTCCCTCTGACCACTTATCATCATCCCACCACCAATCCCATGGCTCTGAGTCTTCTTCCCTTGGGGGTTCCCCAGCTAGTGCCTCCCACCACTCCTCTGTGTCCAACCAGTCCATGGCACTTACACACTTAGCTGCCGTATCTCGCCAGGGTTTTGCCGGGGCCACTCTAGCAAGGCCTTGACTTAAGCTGACGGTGAGTTCTGTTCTTTCCGGCGCCTCAGACCCTGCAGAGCCATTACCACCCAGAAGTGTCCAAGGCTGCTACCACAATCAACACGTCGCTGTCGGAGATGGAGGATGACTTATCAGAACTCCTGGAGCTGACGGCCTACGAGGTAACCGATGCTCTTTGTGTGAATGCAGCAGTGTGTGTTGTGAGAGTGAAATTCCAGACCCCCTTTTTAAAAACAAAGAAGCTGTGCATCTCCAGCGCTTTCGTTTGCAGAATCTCTAGAAACAGGGGAACAGCCTTTTTATTTGCTAACTTCAGGAGTGGGGAACTTTTCCCAGACTGATGGCCCCCCCGGCCAACATGCCTCTGGCCATATTCCAGTAGTGGGCGGGGCCAGAGGCAAAAGTGGGTGGGGCAATGGGATGCAAATGTCACCATTGCACAGTAAGCTAGTTTCTTCATATGCACAGAAACACCTCTCTCTGTCTTATATCTAGGCAGGCAAAGAGTCAGTGTTCAATCTGCCCCGCTGGTGCTGTTTTCCCAGTCAAATTTGCTCCACGGGGTGGGCAGAGGGAGAAAATGGGGGCCCGCAGTATTGGCGAACCAAATTGCAAAAGACTGATATTTTGTCTGCCTTTCTCTCTCTCTGTGTCTGTCTCCCCACTGCTACCAGATCTTTGATAGGGATGTAAAGAAAGAAGCCACAGAGATCCCACTGGAATTTCAACAAGCCCGAGGTCTGTTTGGCAAGAAGGATGATATTTTTGCTGAATATTTTACATTGGGATGATTAAAAAACAACAACTTGTAGTGTTGGAAATACTGTACAATAAAGCTTTGCTTTTGTTATTTAAGAGATTGCACATTGCTTGCATCCCTGGGGTGGCCGGTGGGGATGGGAAACAGATCATACCACTTCAGACTGTATGGTGGGTGTGAGAGAATGATGATTTATTCAAAACTGTATCCAACATAATTCTCTGCCCACTGGTACAAGGGCTAAGTTTTAATGTTGTGCACCCTGCAATTGTGCTAGTGGAAACTCCCTGTGCAGCAGAGGGCACAATCTCTTGTGCAGTAAAAGTACCAGCCACTTGGTTTATGCATGCAACCCCAATCTCCGAGTGGCGAGAGACTCTGGGGTTATGGTGCTGCTTACCCTGGTCCTCAGTTCCTTTGGAAGGAAGGTCAGCAGAGACTGGTGCCTTCAAGATGCACGGTTTCATTTATGCATATATACAACCTGAGTAGGGATGTGGGTGGCGCTGTGGGTTAAACCACAGAGCCTAGGACTTGCCAATCAGAAGGTCGGCGGTTCGAATCCCCGCGACAGGGTGAGCTCCCGTTACTCAGTCCCTGCTCCTGCCAACCTAGCAGTTCTAAAGCCCATCAAAGTGCAAGTAGATCAATAGGTACCACTCCGGCGGGAAGGTAAACGGCGTTGGCAAGCCCTAGGCTCAGTGGTTTAGACCACAGTGCCACCCGCATCCCTTGGGGCTTTCTGTGCTAGTACTAACACCTTGAATTTGGCCCAGTAGCTAAGAAAATAGTTCAACCCATGTTGCTGTAAAGAGGGGTGATAAAACTATTACATGACTTGGGATTGTCAGTGTCCTGACCGCAGACAGAATGGGCTTTTCAAAACGCTCCTCACGATTTTGTGTTGCCGTTGATTTATGGGGACCGCAAAGCCACCTCTCTTTTCTTTCTGACTTGACGACTGTCTTGTCCTTGAAAGCAGGTGTGTTCTTGTCTGCTCAAAGAGCTGCTTATCTTTAAACTTAATGCAGGATTTCTGGGGGCTGGTGGGGTGGGGAAAAGGATGCTCTGCCCATTCTCTGCTGAGTTGGAAAGCGGCTTTTTATAAATATTAAAAGTGCGAGGCTGTTCCTGGCGATGGCGTGAGCCTTATCGGCCTGCACACCCGCTCTCCCACGAGACTTTCCAGGGTCTCTGTAGGCTTGAAGATTATAGATGCTTTAATCAGTTTTGGTATTAACTGCAAGGCGAGATGGAAGCGGCAATGCAGAGGGGAGCATAAATCATTCCAGCCGTGATTTGATTTTTATCAGTCTTTTAAAATAAATAAATAAAGTGTGATTACTGAAAGGAAGGCACCTCTGTGGAAACACAGGCCTTGCCTCCATCTCTCTGGGCAGCTCATAGGAACACAGGAAGCTGCTTAACACCTAGTGAAACCCTTGGCACATCTAGCTCAGATTGCCTGCACTGACTGGCAGCACCTCTCCAGGATTTCAGACGGGCCTCTCCCAACCCAACCAGCAGATGCCAGGCATTGAATCTGGGAACTGTCTGCATCGCCAGAGTGTTGCATGCTCTGGTTATCTCTCGCTTGGACTACTGCAATGCGCTCTACGTGGGGCTACCTTTGAAGGTGACCCAGAAACTACAACTAATCCAGAACGCGGCAGCATAACTGGTGACTGGGAGTGGCCGCTGAGACCACATAACACTGGTCTTGAAAAACCTACATTGGCCCCTAGTATGTTTCCAAGCACAATTCAAAGTGTTGGTGCTGGCCTTTAAAGCCCTAAATGGCCTCGGTCCAGTATATCTGAAGGAGAGTCTCCACCCCCATCGTTCTACCTGGACACTGAGGTCCAGCTCTGAGGGCCTTCTGGCGGTTCCCTCACTGCGAGAAGCCAAGTTACAGGGAACCAGGCAGACGGCCTTCTCGGTAGTGGCGCCCTGTGGAATGCCCTCCCACCAGATGTCAAAGAGAACAACAACTACTAGACTTTTAGAAGACATCTGAAGGCAGCCCTGTTTAGGGAAGCTTTTAATGTTTGATGTATTACAGTATTTTAATATTTTTTTGGAAGCCGCCCAGAGTGGCTGGGGAAGCCCAGCCAGATGGGCGGGGTATAAATAATAAATTATTATTATTTTATTATTATTATTCAGAGTTTAAGGATTAACAGGAATAGATTCCATACCTTCCAATATTTCTCTAATGAAAATAGGGATGGCTCATTCAACAACAACCACAACAATAGTCATAATAGTCGTAATAATAATTTTATTATTTATACCCCAGACATCTGACTGAGTTGCCGCAGTCACTCTGGGCGGCTTCCAACATGTATAAAAACATAATAAAACTTTAAACATTAAAAAAACTTCCCTATAAGGGGCTGCCTTTAGATGTTTTCTGAAGGTTGTATAGTTACTTAACTCCTTGGCTCATGGGTCACATAACTCTATACCCTCCCAACATTTAAAAATAGGGGCATCCCAAGGAAAAGGGGACGTGGGTGGCGCTGTGGGTAAAAGCCTCAGCGCCTAGGGCTTGCCGATCAAAAGGTCGGTGGTTCGAATCCCCGCGGCGGGGTGCGCCCCCGTGGTTCGGTCCCAGCGCCTGCCAACCTAGCAGTTCGAAAGCACTCCCGGGTGCAAGTAGATAAATAGGGACCGCTTACTAGCGGGAAGGTAAACGGCATTTCCGTGTGCGGCTCTGGCTCGCCAGAGCAGCGATGTCACGCTGGCCACGTGACCCGGAAGTGTCTCCGGACAGCCCTGGCCCCCGGCCTCTTGAGTGAGATGGGCGCACAACCCTAGAGTCTGTCAAGACTGGCCCGTACGGGCAGGGGTACCTTTACCTTTTAAGGAAAAGTGGGACATTCCAGGATCAAATCAGAAACCAGGACGGCTTCTGTAAATCCAGAACTGTCCCTGGAAAACAGGGACACTTGGAGGCTCTGATCCGATTCACACATAAAGCAAGAATGGAGAAAGGGAATGATGGGCAGAGCAGAAGATGAAAATAATCTGGTTTATCTAATTCAGACAGCAGGTGCCAGCGGTAGTCCTGCCCAAGGATACCATGTGGAGATGTCAGGTGTAAGCAGAATCCATCGCAGTGCATGAGGGCATTACTGGGTGGTTGGTGCCAAGATTTCCCTGAAAGCTGAAACTTTTGCAGAGTGCTCAGCTCAGAATTCCTGTGCTGGTGGTGTTCACCAACATTAATCTGGATCTAGAGATTGGACACTAGAGGTCAGTAACGGCTTTTGCAAAGAGCAAGGAGCACTAGCAAGCTGTGGTTAACAGCAAGGAGAGGTTGCAAAGCAGAGATGTGGCGTTACTTAGGTGTTTTGCACGTACATGTCTGTGTACAGCATCACTCTTGAGGTACTTGGAACCTGATGGTGGCATAAAGGAGCAGAAGGTTGCATGCAGTGCGCCTGGAAGAACGTTGCAGGGGGTTGAGCTAGAATGATGACCGTTGGTGTCCCATCCAAGTCAACCGTTCTATGATCCTGTGAGCTATTGCATTGGGTTCTTCTGTTGCACAACATTAAAACTCACCAGAGCCCTTTCCTTAGCAGACAGTGAATGTTGAATGCAGCCCAAAGTATTAACAAGCTGTTGCTCGCAAAAACCTTCATTCTGGGAAGAGCAAAGGGCATATTTCCAATAATAATAATAATAATAATAATAATAATAATAAATAAATTATTTATACCCTGCCCATCTGGCTGGGTTTCCCCAGCCACTCTGGGCGGCTTCCAACAGAATATTAAAATACAATAGTGTATTAAACATTAAAAGCTTCCCTAAACAGGGCTGCCTTCAGATGTCTTCTAAAAGTTTGGTAGTTGTTTTTCTCTTTGACATCTGATGGGAGGGCGTTCCACAGGGCGGGTGCCACTGCCGAGAAGGCCCTCTGCCTGGTTCCCTGTAACTTGGCTTCTCACAGTGAGGGAACTGCCAGAAGGCCCTCGGTGCTGGACCTCAGTGTCTGGGCAGAATGATGGGGATGGAGACGCTCCTTCAGGTATACTGGACCAAGGCCGTTTAGGGCTTTAAAGGTTAGCACCAACACTTTGAATTGTGCTCAGAAATGTATATTTGTTTTTTGAGCTGGCAGTAGCAGCTTGGTTTCCATCTGCCAAGCTAAAATAGTGGGACAGAGCACGGCAAAGGAATCACGCTGTGTCAGGTGAAATCGATAGGGCTACTCTGGGGAAAGAATGCCTCTTCCTGCCATTAGGAACTTTCTCTGTAATGTTTAGCCACAATCTCCTCCTGTGCCATTTCCACGAAGTGGTCCAAGTTTGCTCTCTGGAACCGCGGAGAACAGATCGCCACTTTCTATGCAACAGGCCATTTGAAATTTGAAAGTGGCTCTCAAATCTCCCTTTCAACTTCTCCAGGCTAAATAGATAAATAAATGCTAATAAATATTCTCCCCCCCACACACTATGTAATGGCATTGGATATATGTGTGTGTATGTGCACACACATGAGTAAGAATCTCATTTCTTAAGTAATTAAAGTTATCTATTTTGACCCAAGTGTTCTCGATGGTGTGCGCATTGCGGAAAGCGGAAGGGAGTTCGTTCTTAACGTGATAAATTTTACAAATGAATGAAAAAGAACCAAATGGGAGGGAGGTGTATTGAGGCAAGGAAACGAGGGTTTAATTTGATCCAGGGCTGAGCCAAAGACCTTGACGACTTAAAAATACTAATTTATATAGCACTTCCCCCTCCAGTGCTCCGAGCCCTCTGCGTTACAATATCTTGCTTTCCCCCACACCACGGCATTTTCCAAGTTTATCCTATGGACTTGTCTGCAGTGGAACCCCAAGTTCCTGGGCCAGAGTCTCGGAGTTTTGCTGGAGATTTTGGGGAAAGAGGTTTTATCTCAGCCACTGCCACAAGGCTGTCACCTGTCCTGTGAAACCTCCCATACACTTGAACCACAGCTGCCTTGTTCTGTTCTTCCACATCAGTTGGAAGTGCTGGAAGTGGCTATGTGAAAATGGAGTCTTTTCCGTGGTGGCTCCAAGGTTGTGGAACTCGTTGTCCAAGAGGGCTTCAACTTGCCCCCTTTTTTCTTATGTTTGTCATCATTGTGCAAAAACAAGTTTAGGGGTGAATATTTGGATGTTGCAAGTTGGTGATGTTGGCAGCTTCCCAATAAGAACAGGAAGTGCCAACAGGGCTGGAGGATTTGTGGGCAGGGGAAATGAATTTGCAAAGATGCGCAGGAAATATACTCTTTGACCCAATGAGTTTTGGTAAGTTCTTTCTTGGGGGATATAGATGCAAGGCCGGGTTGGGCAAAGTTTTTTCTTTGTTTATGCCTTCCCAAACTTTATAGTTCTCATAAACTCACCCCCAGTGCCCCCTAACCTATAAAAACCACTATTTGGAATAGCGGTTTGCATGACCCACTAAGGAACATAACAACACAATAAAACTCCGAATACAGTGGTACCTCGGGTTACATACGCTTCAGGTTACAGACTCCGCTAACCCAGAAATATTACCTCGGGTCAAGAACTTTGCTTCAGGAAGAGAACAGAAATCGTGCAACGGCGGTGCGGCGGCAGCAGGAGGCCCCATTAGCTAAAGTGGTGCTTCGGGTTAAGAACAGTTTCAGGTTAAGAACAGACCTCCGGAACAAATTAAGTATGTAACCAGAGGTACCACTGTAGTAACAATAGCACATTTGTTCAAAATTCTCTTAGAACTATTTTGTTCAATTAATCTAACAAAATTGATAACTTGATTCGGTGAGACCAGCTTAGTCACTTACACCCCCAGCTGCCCCTTGCCTCTTAGCGCCCCCTAAGTAATCTCACACTTAATACACTTAAAAAATACACTTGCTTGGGTAAAAAGTGCATAAGGGGGGCAGTGCCACCCACTTTGAGAACCACTGGTTTGACTGGTTATAGATTGCCACCCAGAGCAGACCGGGGAGGGCTAGATATTTACCTCCTCACACACACACACACACACACACACACACACACACACACACACACACACACACAGCTACTTTCATCTGTGAATGGTCTGATGTTACAATGAAGTCAGGTGACTCCTTTTCGCTTGCTCATGTGCTTTGGAATCAAAGGGAGTTTCACCCTATAAGCAGCTGGCAGAGCGAACAAGGGCAGAGAATCTGCTATCGCCACTACTCAGTAGACAATCTTGGGCCAAGCAAACAACATCACCTGGTTGGAGGCAGCAGCTTCCCCCCACCCCCCAAAGATCTCCTAAGCCCCTGAGATATATTGTGGAGCAGAATCCACTCACAGTGATTAAAAACAGCTGAAATCTGGTTGAGCTCAACCAGCCTCCGGTTATCAGCAGGACCGCAGGCAGCGGAGAATGAAGCCGGACTTATGATAGATGGCTACCTTTTTTGATTCCCTGGCATGTACTTGAAGATTGCGTCGGGAGCCGATCGCTGGCGCAACATGATGAATGTCTCTTTGCTAAGCTGTGCTATGTACTTTCTAGAGCTGGCGGGGCATAGCCAGCTGCTGATCTAGCCGAGCGAGGCCTGTTTGTCCCTGTCGCCGGCGTTGCTTTGTTTTGCGTGAGTGATGGCGCCATATCGACATTACAGTTTTGCTCTTCCTCCTTTCGGCCACGGGGATGAGGCTGGGGTACGGCGTTGCAGCTACTAGCAGGTTTGGCCCTCCATATTGCATTGCTCCCCACTCCCTCCTGGGGAAAGGAAAACATTATATGTCTTGAAGTACTGGATTAAAGCATAAGCGGTTAAGGGAGCTTGAAGACTCGAGAGCAAGGGATTGAAAACAAAACTGAGCCGTTGGGCAGTGGTCAAGAGAAGACTGCCTGCAGTGTGTGTAGTCTGTCTGTAGGGCTGGCCCTAGCGTTAGGCAGAGTGATGCAGCTGCCTCAGGTGGCAGGTGCTGGGGAGGCAAGGAGCAGTGAGGAGGTGCTGGAGAAGAGAACTTCGTCTGCTGAGCAACCCTGCCCTGCTTCCCTTAAGCTAGCCAGCTGCCCACAGGTATGGTGGAAGCAGGGCTGGCACAAGGCATTTTGGCGCCTGAGGCAAACCACAAAATGGCACCCCACCCCCAGCCAGGGAGGAAGGGTCCCAAGGGCCTTGGGAACAAGAGAGAGGAAATAACGATATCCATCAGCAATAAGGGGGTGAGTGACGATCTACATTGGGAGCAAACGGGATCAAACCAGCCTTACCCAATGGTTGAAGTGGGAATTAATAGCCTTTGTAGTGAGGAAATGGGCTCACTCTGAGTCATGCCGGTTGCCTACAGAGCCCCCAGGAGACCCCAGAGGGCAGCCCTAGTCATTTCCTCCCTAGGTGTGGAAGGAGACCAGCAATGTCTCCCGAAACGCAGCAGCCCTTCAAAAGTTGCGCTTTTCCTGGATTTTGCAGTACGGCTCTCCTGCCAAGTAATGTGTACAAAAATACACTTGCTTGGGTAAAAGGTGCATAAAATGCGTGTATCAGCAACATTGGTTTGCAAAAGAAATGTGGATTTTGGGCAAAGCCAAATGTTCAATTTTGTAGATTTAGAGGAAAGTTTTCACGAGGATTTAAAAAGAAAAGAAAAGAGCAGATCAATGTGAAGAATTCAGCTTAAGGTTGGAAAAAGGAGAACTTGAGAGAGCCTCAAACTGCCTGGTTGGCCCAACCCTAGCAATGGGGGAAATCCTGGAGAGCTGCTCCTTGCCTGGGCTACATGGGCTGACTCACTATAAAACAGCTATCTTCTTTTAAGGAGCAGGTCCATAGCTGAGCGGTAGAGCATCTGCCTTGTGTGCAAAAGTCCCCAGGTTCAATTCCTGACATCGCCATGTAGGGCTGGGAAAGCCACACACACACACAGCCTGAAAACCCTGGAGAACTGCCTGCCCGTGTCAACAATACTGGGCTCGATGGACCAATGGCCCATGAACGAACAGACATTGTTAGACCACTCCTCCCGTTATCCTTGGATGACAGTGATGGGAGTTCAGCAGCATCTGGAGGGCCTAAGGCTTCCCACCTTTGATATATGTTCTATGTGGGTTTCATTAGATCTGCACCTATGCCTATCAGTTGGTTCGCCTGCAGGCATAAGCAGTGGCAGGATCTTTGGGTCTGTCCTGTTCTGCCTGCACACAGCACTACCCCTATAGGGAAAACCAATCCTATGATCTATTTGGGGACCTGCTTGGATCATTTCTAACCTGTTACATAAGTTTTATTTGAGCCTTTAGTGTGATTTTGTTTGTAGCAAAAATAAAGAATAAACCAAGCTTCTGAAATAGGTTTGATGGCAGCTGATTGCACTTTCCAGTTGTTAAATTCAACAGCCATATGTCTGGAAGTAAATCTCACAGTGATTCACTGATGCTTACTCCCCAGGTAAGTCTTAGAAATTCAGCACATTAAGATGATGCTAAGCTTTGCTTTTTAATGACTAGCTCCCAGGTGGGTCTTTTTTTTTAATAAAAAAAGCATTTAACGGTATGGTTACGAATACAACATACCAACCACCAAGTCCATGCAGTAAAAATGCATAAATGATGTTCATTGCATGCCTTCACCATATGTGCATTAACAAAGGTTTCCCATTGCGTGGTATATTTCCCATGTGGCCTTCAAAGCTCAACAAATCATGCCCCTCCATTTCTGGTGCTACTTGCTCAGTAACTGATGGATGGAAGACACACACATGAAAAATCTAGATTAATTTGCAAAGGTGTGCATGCATTTAAATTGCTCATTCCCTCCTTCTTTTCAAAACAGTATTATGTGCATGTGAATTATGATATTTTTTGCATTTATAATGACATGGATTAACAGATGGCAGGAGCTTCTTTTGAATCAACGTGATCATAAAAATATCTCCTTAATAGCTCAATTTGTTTCAGGTAGGAGGCAAGAGAGAGAGAGAGAGGAAAGAAAAGAAAAATGTTTTTCTCAATAATATTATCCACATCCTGACTCAGCTGATGCCATATATAATGCTATGAGTTTGCAGGTGAGTCTGGCTGGTACCCTGTGCCCCTTCCACACCTGTGATCTTGCGTACATGTGAGGGTTACAGAGCATAAGAGCAAGCCTAGCAAACCAATTCCTTTCTCTAGATCAGTGGTTCTCAACCTGTGGGTCCCCAGATGTTGTTGGACTACAACTCCCATCATCCCTGAGCTCTGGCCTTGCTAGCTAGGGGTGATGGGAGTTGTAGTTCAACAACATCTGGGGACCCACAGGCATAGCTGTCAACTTACAGATTTGAAAATAAGGGACCAGCAGCCAAAATAAGGGACCTGCAGCCTCACCTGTTCCAGACACTCCAGTCTTCCTGTCCTCCTGCAGTCTGGTCAAACTTATGCTGGTCACTTCGAGAACAATGTCCAACCAACTTTGTAACCAGAGGTTCAACTGAATAGAATCTGAATCACATGCACCACAAGGCCTATGCAGCCTCAGCTTAAGATGGTTCCCTGGCCTGGCTTTGCACTGCAAAGTTTGCAGCAGCATGTGCATCAAAATGGCGTCCAGCATTCAAAAAACCTCTCAGCTTGCATTAACTAGCCACACACAAGGCATGCAAGCTCCACCCCCCAGTCCTTCTTAGACTTCTTATTGGGTGAGCAACAGAGCCAAGCAACACAGTTGGAGCCTCCCTCCTCCCTGGCCAGCAGGGAGGGAGGGAGAGGAGCTGCTTCCTTTGAAATGTAAGGGACATTTAAGGGACATCTATCAATAAGGGACAGCAGCGGGACATGGCGCTGGAATAACAGACTGTCCCTTCAAATAAGGGACACTTGACAGCTATGCCCACAGGTTGAGAAAGGCTGCTCTAGATAATGACTTTGGCCGGCTAGTTAAGTACCATGATCAGCATAACCGAAGAAGTTGCTCTGTGCCATAGGAAAAAATGGATGGGCTCCCTCTTCCCCAACTAGTTGCTAGGTAGGGAAACAATAGCAGAGGAAGCGTGTGAGAGCTGGGCCGGAAGTGGGAGACACAGAGGACTCAGCTACATTCGTAAAGATAAAGTGCTTTATATGCATTATAACATTGTCACACCAGATGGCGCTGTGGAGTCCCATCTTTCACCAACGGGATTTCCCCGTATGAAATCTACAACACATTTAACTGAATTGCTTTTTTTGAGGTGTCTAGATTAAGCCAGAGACATGTTTTGCTGTGTGTTGGATCTTAAACTGACTCATAAAGAAGCAAGACCTTTGGGGGTGTGAATGCAGGGAGGCTCTCCATCTTATGCTTGGGTTGTATATATGTATAAGGAAAAATCAGTACCCACTGCTATGTGGGACACCTTCGGAAGCAGAAACGGCTAAGGAGAAAACCCTACACTAATCGAGTGGAATCCATAAGATGGTTGGATGGCGCCTTGTACAACTCTTTCCGGCAGTTCCTGTGGCCAATCTGGTGCCCATCATATTGCTCTGCCTTCCTTTGGAAGTCTTGTCATCTGGGCAGCCCAGGACCTCCATACACACTGCCCAGGCTTGTGTCCTGGAAACAATGCAAGAGGCAGCAGATGCAAGTTACCAGTCTCTGCAGCCACAGCAGGCGCTGTGATTCTCCAGCAGTTTGGCTGCACCTCCAGTGGCACACTCCATTGTCTCTCTAGACAGCTGGATGCCAACAACATATCCTAAAGACACCACTGACCTACATTCCAAGGAAATTGAGCCCTGGATAAGTGCTTGGAAGCTCCAGAGTATCTCACCACTCAGAGATTGGGGTGTTGTCTCATAATACCCAAGTGAACCATCTTGTTTTTCAGTGTACAGTGATACCTCGGGATAAATACGCTTCAGGATAAGTATTTTCGGGTTGTGCTCTGCGGTCACCGCTCACGCATGCACAGACGGTCAAAATGACATCAGCGCATGCGTGGAAGCAGTGAAACGCGATCCGCGCACGCACAGATACGCTGTTGCGTCTTACATTCTGTTCAGGATGTGAACGGTGCTCCGGAACGGATCCCGTTCGCATCCCAAGGTACCACTGTACACATAATTCCCCATCCCCAGCCTTTATATGCATGGTTCCCCAGGTACGTTACCTAAGGCTCCTAGAGCCCACATGCACATAGAGCATCGGATGCTCACTTTTACATGTTGCTAAGAAAAATGAGATGTGGGTGGCACTGTGGGTTAAACCACAGAGCCTAAGGCTTGCCAATCAGAAGGTCAGCGGTTCGAATCCCTGCGACGGGGTGAGCTCCCGTTGCTCGGTCCCTGCTCCTGCCAACCTAGCAGTCAGTTTGAAAGCACGTCAAAGTGCAAGTAGATAAATAGGTACCACTCCGATGGGAAGGTAAACGGTATTTCCGTGCGTTGCTCTGGTTCGCCAGAAGCGGCTTAGTCATGCTGGCCACATGACCCGGAAGCTGTACGCTGGCTCCCTTGGCCACTAAAGCGAGATGAGCGCCGCAACCCCAGAGTTGTCTGTGACTAATGGTCAGGGGTCCCTTTACATTTATCTTTAAGAAAAGAAAAGGCGGCAGTTTTGTTTAACTGATCAATAGGTGTGGCTGCAAATTTAGAAATGATTACTGTTATTTTAATAGTGAGGCAATATACCTCCCCATAGTGGAGATGGCTGTGACCTGTGTGCCTGCTTAGTCAGTGTCCACTTACTGTTGCTGGACAATAATATAATAATAATAATTTATTATTTATACCCCGCCCATTTGGCTGGGTTTCCCCAGCCACTCTGGGCGGCTTCCAACATAATATTAAAATACAATAGTCTATTAAACATTAACAACTTCCCTAAGCAGGGCTGCCTTCAGATGTCTTCTAAAAGTCTGGTAGTTGTTTTTCTCTTTGACATCTGGTGGGAGGGCTTTCCACAGGGTGGGTGCCACTACTGAGAAGACCTGGTTCCCTGTAACTTGGCTTCTCGCTGCGAGGGAATAGCCAGAAGGCCCTCGGCACTGGACCTCAAGGCCCCTGCTTGCTCTCCCTTCTTATGGTTCTTGACTTCTAAACCTGACTTGGACCAGATAACCCTTCATATAAAAGACTCCATCGAATTGCCTCCACTGAAATGGGGAATGGCTGTAGCTCTGTGGGAAAGGTTTGCATGCAGAAGGTTCCTGGGCCAATTCCCAGCATCTCCAGGTAGGGCTGGGAGAGACAACCCTGTCTGAAATCCCAGAGAGTCGCTGCCAGCCAGTGTCAACCATAGTGAGCTGGGTGGGCCAATGACCTGACTCTGCATAAGGCAGCTTCCTGTGGTCCTATGAATGAAGCAAAAGTGTGGTGATTTAGCCACATCTCACTTGATAATTTCCACCTTGAACACTGTTGCACGATGGGATTATCTTGGCCCTTCGGTAGATTATTTTAAAACAGGCCAGGCGCAAAGCTAATCAATTTTCTTACTGACACAAATCTCCTTTCCTTATCTGTGTTTACAGGCAGTAATCCCATATTTACATAGAAAATGCTGTCATGCTAGCCAGCTATCCCATAATATAATAGCTAGGCTTCAGGGATCAGAGCGAGATGATAGGAACCGCTGAATATTCTAATGCTTTGCCTCGTACACAGCCAGTCTTAGCACTCTGGGAGAAAATAAGCAGAGGTGGTCGTGTGCAGTGGGAGGGTGCTGGGGAATGAGAAGAGAAACATGCAAAAAGAAATGCTCATTAAATGTATTACAAAGCAATGTTCTAATCAGAAGTTTCAACATGCAGGAAGTTGCCTTATGGTGAGTTAGAGCAGGCAGGAGCTTCTCCCAGCCCTGACTGCAGCTGCCATTGTAGATTGGGACATTCTGCATGCAAATGCTTTAACACTGAGCTACTTGCCCATTCTCC